AAGTTTTTAAGCACATTCTATGCATACACTCAAAATCAAAATCACGCAAGCAATTTACTTAAAATATCCGCTCGGGTATTTAATGTACTGCAGGCCCGTTGATAGCACTTTGATACCAATTTATTTTGTATCATTTTTTTTGCTGTCCGCCAATATGAGATTGCGTAGATTGTACAGTGAAGCCTGTGTCTGCGATGCCTGCCAACGCGGCGAACGCATCGGTAAACAGCGCACGTCGCCTCATGAGGCGAATGTTTTGTTTTTGTTGCTTTGCTTTGCTTTTGTCTTGCGAGCAGCTGCCAGCCAATGGGCGGCATTCACACACACACACACACACACACGCACATACACAAATGCACGCACACAGTGAGAGCCGGGGTATGCAGTTTTTGCGCGTCTCAAAAATTGTTATTGCACATTTAAAGGCGTCATTATTAGCGCTACATGGAGGCACTAATAATTGTTTGCATTTCAAATGGAAGCGCCTCACTAATTGGGCCAGCAACTAACTGGGCCCAAAGCAGTTGTTGCTGCTGCTGCTGCTGCTGCTGCAGTTGTTGTTGTTGCTGCTGCTGCTGCTGCAAGCACTTGGGTTTTGTTATCACATAAATTGTGCGCACAAATCTTGATCTGCAAATCATTTTCGACAACTTTACGGCGCACGGCGCAATCACAGAATGAGTGCGTGAATAACGTGAATAACTTTTGAATATGCACGCGTTAGTGTTGCCCATTCAGCTACTTTATAGCCAAACGTAGCTATTTTCAGCCGTTAACAAGTACTAGCAGCCCTGCGTATTCACAATTTCTGCCCAATATTGCAGCTGGTAACGCTGAATCCAAAGACAACAGCAGTTACAGTTATTTCTTGAAGCTGGCAGTTGGCAACGCTGTTTTCAATGATTGTTACTTGCCTATTTTGAATATTATTTACAGCTATTTTGCCTTTTTGAAGCGGCAGTTGGCAACACTGTTCGCTTGGGCCACGTTATCTGCTGCTTAGATCTACACAAAAACACGGCGCACACACACACACACACATACGCACACACACACGCGCGCGAGTGGCCACGTTTCCTGTCGGTTGTTGGTTGCATCACTTTGCCTGCTCCTACAAAAATATTGAATTATTTACGCAGCCAACTAAGCTGACATTTAATTTAAGTGCCAACACCAGGTAAAGACTCCAGTCTCCGTCTACGACTTTAACTCCGACTCGGACTCCAATTCTGGCCAAGAACTGTCTGCGCTTCAAAATTTATACGCGCAGCGCCTGGCAGCTAATGAAATTTATGCATTTATGCCAACTGGCTTAATGTGGAGGATGTCGACGACAACTCGGACGCCGACGCCGACGCGGATGCCATGATCCATGTTAATGTCCATCAAATAATGTGGCCCAGGCTGTCAATTCGATTGTTGGACATGTCCAAGCATGAGCCGCTGCCGCCGCTGCTGCTGCTGCTGCCGCTGCTGCTGCTGCTGCATTGAGATCAATTTGCAATTAGCCGCACTTGCAACGGATATGGCCAACGTTTCGGGATGTGGTCCATCGATGTGGTGGATGTGGTGGATGCCCTGCGCGCAATAGCGACACTTGCCAGCTGAGCCCGTTTCCCGTGAGAAATTTCAATTATTTTAATTAGCGTTGCGATCGCCGCGCGGCTGCTTTATTAGGCGACGACAACAGCAACAACAACAGCAACAACGACAACGACAACGTTGAAGGCGATGTTAGCGCGTCTGCGTCTGCGTCGAGTCTGTGACTGCGTCTTGGAGTTGCCGCGCTTAAGCGCCCCTCTGCTGCCAATTTCCGCTGTCGACGCCGACGTCAACGTCGCTGCCGCAGCGCTGTTCGCTTGGAATGCAAGCTGATAGCGGTGTCAGAACAGGATTCTGGATAGCTCGTTGCCGCAGTCAACGCTGCCGCCGTGCAACGCCGCCTAATGACATGTTTTGGATAATGATGACGGGCAACGGATTGTGTCTGTGTCTGTGCATGTGTGCATGTGTGTGTGTGTGTGTCTGTAGAGTTTTGGGTTTCCAGTTGGATGGCTGTTGGAATGGCGATAATGACTGGAAACTTAATTGAAATTGATGAGAGACTGGCCATTTGGAAAATCGCGTACAAAGTTGCCAACGTTTTGGCCCAAGCAAATCAATCTGCATGCCAGACCGCGGCCTCTATGTGTGTGTCAAGTCAATGGACCACCCGGCGGTTGAATATATTTAAATAAAATAAAAATATAAAAGAGTTTTGTCCTCGCTGACTGACTGACTGATTGCTGGAAGCTTTCTTTTGCTTCGAAAGTGTGCACGACCTCCAAGGGGGAGGGGGATGGTGGCCTGTATGGAAACAACAACAACAAATCAGCCGTAACATAGACAGGAATAGTATGTTTTCGAACAGTTACTGCTTAACATAGAAAGGAATATATTTAACAGAACTTTAGTATGTTATCGCGTTCTGTTAACGTTTTTACAGACGAATTGCTAATGGTTGCTGCTTAACATAGACTGAAATATATTTAACAGAACTTTAGTTTGTTATCAGGTTCTGTTAACGTGTTAACATAAGAGTTGCTATCGGTAGCTGCCTATGTCATAAGCCTGCGTCGGACTAACAAGCGCAAGCTCGCCGGTTCAAATCCAGTAGTTATTTTCATGATTCATAGTTGTTTATTTCGGACGTCGTCGGGTAATTTCTTATATTTATAAGTATTCTCCAAAGCTGGCAAAACAATTTCAGGTGCTTTATAATTGGCCGCTGCGGTGTCAATTGCAGCGCCAGCGCCAGCTCCAGTGGTCAATTAAACTAGCTGCCTACGCCGCCTGCAGCAGCAGCAGTAGCCGCAGCAACAGCAGCAGCAGAGTTAGCCGCGACTCCCCTGGGAGCTGGCAAATGTGACTTGCTGCTGGTGCGTAGTGAAGCCGCCTGCTGTGCACGGGAATGCCAATTTCAGCAATTAACAACAATGGCCATAAATGCGTGAAACGCATAAACTGACTGCAAAGAGCAAGAGAGAGAGAGGGAGCGAGAGGGAGAGCGAAAGATTGGGATGCTGCGATATAGCGGCTTACACATTCAGCCAACGGATTATTATTATTGAAATGGCAACTGGTGTTCACAGTGGAGCTTAACTGCTGACACGATCTTGAATTTGAATCTGGGCCCCATGTTCGGCTCTCGCGACTGCCGCCATTTTGTTTAGCCGGAGTAAAAGTAAGCGGTAGCTGGGCTCCGCTCCGATCCGCAGCGGTTCGGGCGACCAATGACCGAGGCAAAGGCCAATGGCGCACATTAATCAACCGATCATATTCATATATATTGGCCATTGTTTATGCAATTATTAGAATAAATAAATAAAAGCCTGCTAACGCTAGCTGAACGACAAGACAATACTCTGTAAAACAACCACATTTTTAGGTCTGTGAAAATGAGAAATCTTAAATGAGCTTTAAAAAATGTGATAAATTAAGAATACCTAATAAATAATAGTAAACTAAATATATATTTTGATTAATCAATAGTGTATAAATGGACTATTTAGTATAAGAAGAAATATTGGAATGTATTTAACAGTACTTTAGTATGTACTCGCGTTCTGTTAACGCTTTTACATACGAACTGCTAACGGTTGCTGCTTAATATACACTGGAATATATTTAACAGAACATAAGTATGTAATCGCGTTATATTTAACAGAGCTTCATTATGTTATCGCAATCTGTTAACGCTTTTACATACGAGTTGCTAACGGTTGCTGCTTAACAGAGAGCCCAATGTTATTGCAAGCAGTTGACTGTTATCTGATCCTCGCTTAAATGCAGGTACTGTGCATACCCTATACAACTGAATTACTGGGTATCGGCAGCAATAAATTGCTCCACAAATCTTTTGGTGTTTTGCCCTTTGGCTGAAATTGAAACTGAGACTCCGTCTCCGTGTCGTTTCGGCTTCTACTTCATTATTTTTATTCAAGGCGCTGCAATCGAAAGCCAAGTTCAATGACTCGATAAAAAAAAAAGGCAAAACTGATATATTGTTGAAAGTGTCTAAAGCTGTGAATGGGTTGTCTGTCTGTCTCGCTGTAGGTACTGATATAAAGTTGCATGTTTTCGAGATGTGTTTGGCCTTGATTCAGTTTCGGTTTCGGTTAGGCAAATGAACTATTTAACACTATTTAAAAATGTTACCTGTCAGCGGATTGTTTAACCTGCGTTGGGCTAACTTTGATAAGGCCGAGCAACGGCAACGGTCAGCGGACAGTCATTTCCTGTATCCACTAGAATATGTTCATATATGTATATGTTCTATATAGACAAGAGTCAAACAAAGAGAAGCAGTGGCAAAATGTACAATTTGATAGAGAGACAGACACACACATCCCAGTCATTTCGTGAAAATGTGTTACAAATGCAGTCAGAGCAGAATTCGGAAACAGACACGTTCGGCACATAAACAAGTTTCGATTATTACGAAACACGGGCGTTGAAATTAAAAAATTGAAGACATCGTCAAAGCGCACCTGTACTACAACTGAATTATTTGCACCTTATCAAATAAAATACACAGAGCACAAAGCACATGAATCGCACAGACCAAATTAGAATATCTATCTTACGTTTCGGATCGTAAACAACTCTGGCCCACAGTTCGATATATACATATATGTATATTCCGAATACTCCAAATGCCATAGTTTATGATAGCTTCTTATTTTTCGAAATCGAAATTCGAAAACTTCGAAATTAAAGCGATTTCGGCACGTCAAAAACTCAACCAAAACGCGTTCCAAGCCAGATCCCCACAACAACAAAAAAGAGCAACAGCAAAAACAACAACAACAACAACAACAACACGAAGAAGAACAAGAGCGCAAAGCCGAGCCGAGGGCCGACGCACGTCTCGCATTGGGGGGCTGCAGCTCGTGTCTCGGGCTTTCGCTTTCAGTTGCTGCTCGTTGCTGCGTCCGATTGGTGTTGCTTTTATTCGCTGTCCGTCGCCGTTCGCCGTGTCGCCGTTCGCCGTGTTCGCTCTTCGCTGTAAATGCTTAACGTTCTGTCGCAAAGCCAACGGTAAAACGCTCAATTGTTATCGATAACCGCTGCGCAAGTGCAACAGGCTTGGAAAATGTGTCAATAATTGTTAAAATATTGTTGTCTGAAATGGATAACGCCTCGCCTGCGCAGGACAATCATCGCGGCTCGGTGTCCTCCAACAAATCACTGGACATACCCATAACGCCGTCGCGCTCACCCAAAAAGGTCTCCTTCTCCGACGAGCTGCCCGGCGGCAGCAGCCTCGGCAGCCGCAGCAGTAGCCAGAGCAGCTCGGAGCCAAGCGGCGTTAGTCACGTGCTGCAGCAGGCCGTCCAGTATCTGGAGCGTTTGCACGGCGCACGCGAATATCCCGCCGAGGATGCTGTCAGCAGCGTTGAGCAACAGCTGCCGCCACCCGCTGTGCTCGACTTGGATGCCCAATCCGTGCAGCTGAGCGTTAGCAGCGGCGCCGCCGCCGTTGCCGCCGCCGCTTCGCCTAGCATACTGATTGCGGAACCAGGTGACGCTGCCAATGATTACGCGAATGGCAAGCAGGAAGCGCCGCATGAGCCGCAATCGCATTTGTACATGGAGCGATACAAGCTTAATTTAGATAAGAACTGCAGCTCCATGGAGCTGGAGGCGCGACGCGAAAAACAACGCTGGCTCTTGATATCGGAGTGCAGCGCCCGCTTTGGCGAGGGCAAACACACACGTGAGGCATTCCGCAAGCTCTTCCTAGATGAGGTAAGTCCAGCTACAATGTAGCTGCATTAATTAGGTGGAGGTATGCAAACGAGCTTCAATTTTAAAGTCAACTTTAACTACAGTGAAAGCTCTAATAAGGGACAGCTAACTGGGCTGAATAACTTAGTTAGTCCGCCTAATTTGTGTTCCCAATATTTTAAGGATAACTTGTACTTAAAAAGTACTCTATTTTTTGTAAAAAAAAAAGTATTCCTTGATCGTACCTAGAACTTTTCGAATTGTACGAAAATTTTTCTAGGCAGTATTGAAAATGCATTCTTGATCAACTTCGGAGTTTATAGGCCGATCATTTTTGAAATATTAAAGGTTCTAATGTGGCATACAAAAGTGTGTATTAATCAAAGCGTACGATTCTAGCTCCAAATAGGAGGAGTTCATTTCTTCATCTTAGGGCAATGGGGGAAGGTATCTAAGAAGTGAAATGATTTGGATTTTTCTAGACCTTACAAGGATCTGCATACCAAATTAGGTTGCTCTAGTTTTTATAGGCTGGAAATAACATGATCTCGATAACACTTTTTATCGATTGCTTAGAGATGGAACAAGTTATCGAAAATTCACTTTTGTATCGATTGGTTAGAAACGGCGCAAGTTATCGAACATTCGAAATGTGTGCTGGGCTTAATAGAAAATGTCGTATATCTTACTCTTGAAGATCCTGAGATCGACATGTTTCTACCTACGAACGGATATATGGACTTGGCTAGATCTACTCGCCATTTTGAAGGTGAACAAGAATAGGTAGAAGAATATACCTTATAGGGTCGGAATTGCTTCCTGTTTTCGCTTTCAAAAGCAAAAGCGATCACATTTCTGTTAAGTTTTCGTTTTGCTAGAATAGAAATAGGCAGCTGTGATTGGTTTCCGGTTATTAAAGTTCAATATGCGTGTTGCCTTTTATAGCCAGTGTTCAGTAACGCAATTGAGAACAGTTCGGATACATTTGTGATAAACTTTTAAGCCCCTTTTTTTTACCCACGTTCAGATTATAAAAAAACAAAATACAAACGATAATTCCCAATTTTGTTGATTTCTGATTAAGATAGCAATATATAGAAATTGGCATTAATATAAAAAGAAGAAAAAAAGAGATCAACTATTTGTTAGCTGACATTTTTGTTGTTTTCACAAAGTCACAAAGACTAATCCGAAAAAATGAATTAAAAATTTCCTTTGAAACATCAACAAAATTTTCTTTCTTCTTTCTGTTTTTTTTTTCATTTCTGTTAACTGCGATTTTTGTTGTTTTCTTTGTGATTCATACGAAAAAATTAATAGATATTCCCTTTCAAATATCAACAAAATTTTCTTTCTCTTTCGGTTTTTTTTTTCTTTTCTTTTCTTTTTCAAAATCTTGTAAGACAAGAAAAAACTGGAACTGTAGGGTTTGCGTTCACGAAAGCTTTTACTGTGTATGTATATATTTGGGTGTATGTGTGTGTGTATATATGTGTGTTTGTGTGTGTGCATGTGTTTGTGTGTGTGTTGACCTTGTGCTACATATTTTTGTGGTCCTTTACCCGCTGCTTAATATTAAACTCGTTTATTTTTGTTTTTTTTTTTGGTTTTTTGATTTATGCTGTTTGTTGTTTTTGTGCTTTTCTCTCTCCCTATCTCTCTCTCCCTCTCTCTTGCACACATTTGTGTCGTGTTTTTTGTTTTTTATGGGCTCCAAGAAAGCTGTTGAACCAGTCGCCGGCCCAAACCCGCATGCTCATCCGTTAAATATGCACATTTTTTCATCGGGCTGGGCAGCTATCGCCCGATCGCCAAACAAGCCAAGAGAGAAAAAAAAATATATACACAGATGTGCAGACAAATATCGTGAGATTGAATGTCATTAAAATATTAATAAGCATTTAATTAATGCCTCAGAGACGAGAGATGGGCTAAGGCCGAGCGAGAATCAGAATTTGCTTTGATTATGTTCTGCAGCGCATAAATCGGCGGGCTTGTAAACAAATGTGTTTACTCAAGCACATTGTTTGCATTTAGTTTGTATAATATTGTATTAATCAATTCATTAGCGAACATATAAATTGTATTTCTTTACAACTGGCTCATTTGTTTTTTTTTTACAGGAATTTCAGCAGAAACTCTTTCAACTGTTCGATCTGGAGCGCAATGGATATTTGCTGCAAGATCGCTGGATCGAGCATCTCAAGGGGCGACTCACGTAAGTAAAGGACATGTGTGTGTGTGTGTGTGTTCCAGATGAAGCTGTTGCTCTTGGTATACCCTGTAGTCTGTAAAGGGCGCGATTTGCAAGCCCATAGCCATAGTCCGTCTATCAAAGATTAACTATAAGACCTGTCACAATATTTGACACTTCGATTTTCGTATAGTATACGCAGATTAACTTGCTTTTAAGTTATCGTTTCTCTGAAATCGATAAATATCGATTGCCAATTGACGTTTTTCGAGCATATCTCGTAGACTATGCGGCCTATAGACAACAAATTTGGTATGTAGGCAGGTGTGGGATCGAGAGAAGATGCTATTAACTACAGGGCATCTCCTAGTCATGCATGAATTATTCCAGACGTGGAAGCGAACAAAGAAAGAGGAAAGAACTGCCCACAGGGTAGCCCCTAGTCGTGCATGCTCGACTGCAGAAAATTTACTCGTTTTTTCCTGGTTCACCAAAATAAAACAAAAGTTATACAAGAAAAAATAATTCAAGGTGAGGAAGCGAGCGAAGAAAGAGGAAAGAACTGCCCAGAGGGCATCTGTTAGTCGTGCATGCTCTACTGTAGCATATGTACTTGATTTTTTTCTGGCTCTTCATTTGCCTGATTCCTTTTTCTACTGAAAGCGGTGCCAAAACAATTAGCCCGCCGCCAGTAAAAAGCTGTCTCAGTCCGCCATCTCGCGCTACCTAGCGCTCGCTCTCACCTGTCCCCAGCACGCACACCCAACCAACGCAACCTGGCTGCCCTGCTGCCTCCAGCTTCCCAGCTCTGGCTGGCATTCCAGCTGCGTCAGCCAAATGCCAGCGCTGCACTTTGCACGCCAACGGCGCGACGGCGACGGCGATGCCATCGCCGATGGTGATGCTATCTGTGTTGTATGTTAACATATACAACAGCTAACATAGTCCGCATGCACCGCATGCCCCCCCACCATCCGTTCACCCGTTCACCCGTTGCTCCGTCAGTTGGCCGGCTGTCGTAATGAAGTCATTCAAATACAAATATAGCGTGTCGGGCGCGGGGGAGGCTGCGCGGCTGCAGTCGGAGCTGAATCTGGAGCTGGAGCTGTAGCTGAAGCTGGAGCATTGTGGCTTGTTGCCGGTAATGGCAATCGTAATGTTAATACTTGGCTTGGTCTCCTTTTCTTTTTTTTTTGTTTTTCACAGCGACGATCGCCAAATGGACTTTGCGGAGCAAATTGAATCTGTGGCCTATGTCATCTGCGGCGAGAAGAGCCAAGTGAGCTTCAAGAACTTTCGCGATATCTGGCATACGCGGGGGGTAAGCTTATCGTCGGATTTAGATAACCGAGTTTACCTATCTAACCGAAGCTATTTGCAGATTCTGGATAAGCTCTACCGCCTCATCGATATCGATGGCACCAATCTAATCTCAACGAACCAGGTCATGGAGTTTATATCGCATCTAACCAACTCCAGGTAAGTTATATAGCGAGTAAACTAGCTCTATAAGAAGGGATGGATATATCTTAGGTGCTTTCGAACAGGCTTAGGCCTCAGCCCAAGCCCTCAGAACTCTGGAACTTTAAGAGCTTTGACTTAGCATGGCTAACATATCAAATTTCATGGCTCTAACTCTTATAGTTCCAGAGTTCACTGAGGTCATGTCGATAATATGTCAGTGAACTCAGAGACTATAGGAGCTAAGGCTTAGAAGAGCCTAGATATTAAATTTCATTGCTCTAACTCTTATAGTCCCCGAGTTCACTGAGGTCATGTCGATAAAAACTCTGTTAACTCAGAGACTACAGGAGCTACGGCTTAGCAGGACCTCCATACCTTATTTCATAAGGTGTCCTAAGCTAGAACCAAGTTTATATGCATTCAACTTAAGGATATATCCCCTACTTTTCCATATGTTAACAAAATACAATCTATCAAGTAAAATAACACTCTGTTTTTTTTATCACTTACTTAGACCCCGCACGGGCTTTGACAAGAGCTCGCTGGCGCGCTTGGAGCAGCTCTTTCGTAATACTGTGGGCAACGAGCAGGAGATACGACGCGAGGAGTTCCAAAAAATTGTTACATCCAAGAATGTAAGTCCTATTGAGTTATTTCTATTCCATTTAACATTTATTCCCTTATTCCATTGAACAGCCCTTTTTTACGGAGCGCGTTTTTCAAATATTCGACAAGGATAATTCGGGCTCAATATCGCTGCAGGAGTTTATAGATGCCATACATCAGTTCTCGGGGCAATCGGCTGATGACAAGATACGTTTTCTCTTCAAGGTCTACGATATTGATGGTCTGTACCAGATTATTCCAGTGAGATTCCTTGATCCTTATCCCTTATCATATGTTCTAGGTGATGGTCTTATACAGCACAAGGAGCTGCACGATGTGATTCGGCATTGCATCAAGGAGAACGGCATGGAGTTCTCCGAGGATCAAATCGAGGATCTAACCAGCGCCATGTTCGAGGACGCCGATCCGCACAACAGCGGCGAGATTACCTACGAGGCGCTCAAGAATCAGCTGCACAAGCACGGCGGTCTGCTCGAGAACCTTAGCATTACGTAAGCAGCTACAGATTTTGTTTAATCCAATATTTATATCCTTTTATCCTTTGGCAGCATTGATCGCTGGCTGGTGCCCATTGCGGAGGAACCGCCGTCTGGCAAATCTTCGCGACTGTGGCACACAATACCTCACCAGCTGACGCTGGCCTATATGAAGAACAATCAGGTGTTTGTCACATATTTATTCTTCTACATCGCCGTCAATCTGTGCCTGTTCATCTCCCGTGCCATACAGTATCGCGCCAGCAATGGCTTTGTGATCATAGCCAGAGCTTGTGGTGAGTAGAGCGTGAAAGGTTGTGGATCAGTTGTCCCATGTTTCTTACAAGGGACCACAGAGATCGAATCGATGAAACCTCAGTGAACTCAGAGAGAATTAGGGCTAAGGTTTAGGATATCCTGGATCCTGTATATCATGGCATTAGCTCTTATATTCTCTGAGCTCACTGAGAACCTATCAATGGAACCTCAGGGAAGTCAGAGACTATACGAGGTATGGGTTAAATGAGCCTAAATGCGAAATAGAACGTGTCTATGTCCTACAGCCTCTGAGTTCACTGAGATCGTATCGAGCCTCCGTTAATTGGCTATGAGTTCACTGAGTACCTATCGATGGAATCTCCGTAAGCTCAGAGACTAAGCCAACAGCTGTGGCTTACGAGATCCTGGATCCTAAAACCATAGCTCTATCTCCTATAGTCTCTGATCTCACTGAGAACCTATCCATGGAATCTCAGTGAAGTCTTACAACCTCCGTAACCGGAACTTCCGTTAACTCAGAGACTCCACGAGCTATGGCTTAGAAGAGCCTAGATCTCTTATTGGCTCTGAGTTCATTGAGAACGTATCGATGGAATCTTCGTTAGCTCAGAGACAATAAGAGCTTTGGCTTGGGAGATCCTGAATCCTAAATATCATGGCTCTACCCCAATACTCTCTGAGCTCCCAGAGGTCCATCGATATGAACTTGAGTATGTGCGGTCTCTAAACCCGTTCCTCTTTCCCATCCGGCCAGGTCAATGTCTAAACTTCAACTGCGCCTGGGTTCTGGTGCTGATGCTGCGGCATTCGCTGACCTACCTGCGCTCGCGTGGCCTGTCCTCGTTTCTGCCGCTTGATCATCATGTCTATCTGCACAAGCTGACGGGGATAACCATCTCAGTTCTCAGTCTGGTGCACACCATAATGCATCTGTTCAACTTCTCCATAATTGTGATTAACGATCCGCTGATCAATGCCGGCCATTTCACCATCGGCGAGTGGCTGCTGACGGATCGTCCGGGTCTGTTTGGACTGATACCGGGCTGTGCCAATCCGACGGGCGTCGCTCTGCTGGCGATTTTGATTGTGATGTTCGTGTGCTCGCAGCCGTTTGTGCGGCGCAAGGGCAGCTTTGAGGTGTTCTATTGGACGCATCTGCTGTACGTGCCCTTCTGGATATTGACGCTCTTCCACGGGCCCAACTTCTGGAAGTGGTTCATGCTGCCCGGCCTCGTTTACATTGTGGAGCGTGTGCTGCGCTTTGTCTGGATGCGCGGCGAGCACGGCAAGACCTACATCAGCTCCGGCCTGCTGCTGCCCTCCAAGGTCGTACATTTGGTCATCAAGCGACCCTTCAATTTCAACTTTCGACCCGGCGACTATGTCTTTGTCAATATACCCGCCATTGCCAATTACGAGTGGCATCCGTTTACCATCAGCTCGGCGCCCGAACAGGAGGATTACATGTGGCTACACATACGCACCGTCGGCGAGTGGACGAATCGCCTCTATCGCTACTTCGAACGCGAGCAACAGAAGCTGCACCAGGGAGAGCTCAACCAGCACATGCACGCCATACCCACGCCCAGTTTCATGCTGCTGAACGAGGCGCGCAATCCGGCGCTGGCCGAGAAGTCCAGGCCCACGACGACACCGCAAACGGACTTCCTAGCACGCAACCTGGCGGGCAGCAGCAGCCGGGTCGACCAGCTGCCGCCGGAGCGACCGCCACGACAGCATCGCAAGCTGACCGCAGCAGCTGCCGCCCCGTTGGAAGCTAACGCTGCTCCGACGGGCGTTAATCGCATTAGGAGCATCAAGAAAACGCTGCAGCGCACCTTCTCGCGCAAGGAGTCCGCCGACCCGAAGAGCAAGCCCAACCAGGTCGCGGGCATAGCCAATGGCGCCTTCGTGGGCGATGGCAATGAGCGCGAGGATTTGAGCCTCAAGCAGCGGCCGCTCGAGAAGAGCATCTCGCTGCCGGACATCAGCATGAAGAGCAAGAAACGCAGCCGGCTCAAGGCGTAAGTTTCATTGTGGAAAGGGACGAAGGGGAACCCATTGGAAATGGGTAAACAGGCAGACCTCCGATCGTCCTTGATCAGGACGACCAACCGAGCCGATCTAGCCATTTTTCTGTGTCCATCTGTATATATCTTAGACTTCAGATAACGCAGTTCAAAATCATCGATTGATCGATAATAATCGATATCGAAATAGGGTCTTATATATCTTACATATCTCGAAGCTTATAAGGGGTAGGGCTTAGCAGATCTTGGTTCCTAAATACCATGACACTAGCTCTTATTTTTGTTCTAAGTTAACGAGTACTTGAGTTGTTCCCTTGAAATCGATAATAATCGATATCGAAATACTGGCATTTCAGCATATCTCGAAGCTTATTAGAGGTAGAGCTTGGCAGATCCTGCTCCCTAAATAACATGACACTAGCTATTATTTTTTTCAAAATTATCGACAGCTTGAGCCTTAGTTTCCATGAAATCGATAATAATCGATATCGAAATAAGGTCTTTTAGGCATATCTCGAAGTTTAGAGGAGCTAGAGACAACATATCCTAAAGATTTAGTCTGGGGCTAAGGAAAGAAGAAGTCAAGTCGTGGAGGCTCAAAGATTCAATGACTTCAGAGAACGTACGGGCTCCGACGGTCCGCGTAGTTCAAAATCGATAACCCGAGCCTGAGTTTCCGTGAAATCGATAATAATCGAGATCGAAATTTTATGGGATATCTCGTAGTTTAAATGAGCTAAACCCAACAAATTTGGTAGGTAGACTCTCGTATAGCATAGACATATTCAGAAGATTTAGTGTGGGGCTAAAGGAAGAAGAAGCCAAGTCATGGGATCTTATGTGTGTATACAAAAGGAAGAGCTAGAATCTTGTGTACACAGAAGGAAGCTAGAATATTTCTAGTGTCAGCTTGACATCAGATTCAGGGTCGGGCACACCCGACTAGTGCACTCCTACATGCATTACTAACAATATTCCTTGCAGCCTGCGCGCCTTGGGCCGCTCCGAGTCGGAGCGTGCCTTTGACGACAAGCGCCTGCGACGCGCCCGCAACAGCAGCGTGGGCTTGGCCTATCTGAGTCCGCAGAACAAGTCGCTGGCGCAGAGTTTCCGCTACATGCGCAACAAGCCCACGATCATAGCCTTCAAGACGCCCAGCCTGGAGCTGAGCGAGCTGCAGCAGCAGACGCCGGCCGAGGGCAATGGCGCCTTGGAAGCCAGCAGCGCTGCGGAGCTGGGTCGTCTGAGCCGAGCGGAGAGCGGCGCCGACAGGCAGCAGCATCAGCTGATGCGGCTCAGTCTGGCCACGGAGGACAAGCCGCTCGAGGTGCGTACCAAAAACAAAAAACCCACTAACTAACCTTTAAGCTTAAGTTGCAAACCCAAATGCTAATCCTTAACCGTTGCTCCCCAAGGATAACACATACACGGGCACGGGCACGGGCAGCAGAAAGTCGCGCTTGCGTCGTCCCACATTTCTGCGCACATTGTCCACATCCCTAACAAATCGTGGCGCGGGCGGCGGCGGCGGCGGTGGCAGCTCCACAACTAACAGCGGTAGCAAGGTCACACTCGATGCGGGCGTCATGGAGGTTTGGGTCACAACACACACATCACACACGCACACACCACAGCCCTGCTGCGATTAATTTATTTAAATTAAACTCGGATACTCAATCGATTTAAACTAAAATAGACTCAACCTTTTGAGCAAACGATTCATACAAACGATGTTCGAACCTGTTTGAGTCGGTAACATGATCGAGCTAACCGTTTCGAGTTGTGACAATACATGCTCGATCAGCTTAGGCTCATTCTTTCGATTAAGCCGGACTTTTGACCGAGCCGAGAGGCAACTCGACACACTCAACCTTTCGAACATGGAGCCAAGCATAGTTCGACAAACGATGTTCGAACCTTTTCGATTCAGCACATTGTTCGAGCTAACCGGTTCGAGTTGTGGCAATACACGCTCGAGCTCATTCTTTCGATTGAGTCGCAACTCGAACAGTTGAAGTCCTGACTCGCTCGACCAAAGTAATTGTTCGACTATCCGAAACGCTTTCGGGTTGACTCGATGCGGGGCTCTAATACACACTCACCCCCACACACACACACACACACACACGTTGCGACTAACTCCAGCTAACGCCTTGTCCTCTTGCAGATCTTCATTGATGGCCCTTACGGCGCACCCTCGAGCCACATCTTTGGGGCACAGCATGCGGTGCTCATTGGCACAGGAATTGGCGTTACGCCCTTTGCGTCCATTTTGCAGTCGATTATGCATCGGTATTGGAAGGCACGTCACAGCTGTCCGCGCTGCCAGTTCGAGTGGGCCAGCGAGATACCCAAATCTGTGATGAATCTGCGCAAGGTGGACTTTTTCTGGATCAATCGGGATCAGCGCTCGTTCGAGTGGTTCGTCAATCTGCTCTCCCAGCTGGAGATTGAGCAGGCCGAGCTGGGCGGCGCCATGGAACGGTAAGTCCAACCAAGCAAGTCCCTTAGCCTAGCTAATGGTTGTGTTGTGTTGTCCCTTCCGCTAGCTTCCTGGACATGCACATGTACATCACCAGCGCGCTGCAGCGCACGGACATGAAGGCGGTGGGTCTGCAGCTGGCGCTGGATCTGCTCCACGAGAAGGTAATGAAGCTAACTAGAGCTGAGTTTGGGTGTCCATTAACGTTCCATATTCCCCAATGGTTGTAGGGCAAACGTGATCTTATTACCGGCCTGAAGACGCGCACCAATGCGGGTCGACCCAACTGGGACAAGGTCTTTAAGCAGCTGCAGGCACAGCAGAAGGGCAAGGTGACCGTATTCTATTGCGGGCCGCCGCAGCTGGCCAAGACGCTGCGCGTCAAGTGTGACCAATACGGATTCGCCTTTCGTAAGGAGTGCTTTTGAGTTCCCCAACATCCATATCCATTACCCATCCCTCCATCCATTCCTCTCAGGCTCCTCTCACTGTGCTCCACGTTCTCAGCTCATGTCATTGTCAATTGGGTTTTGGGTTTTATTGATATAGTTTTTCGATTTTCTATATATTTATTCGTCATGTGTTTTGTTGCCTCATTCGCTATGCGTGTGTCCCAAGCTTGTAAATATCTCTCTCTTATTATAATAATAATAATAATAATAAAAAAAAAAATTGTTACTCTAAATGTGGCTGACGGTTGCCTCGTCCAATAGATTTCCAAATGTGATATTTGTATTATCATAAAATAGTAAATATCAGTGCTCGCTACGGTTCCAAAAGTATTTCTAATTTCGCAAAACAATTTAATCCAGTTCTCATAAAGATAAGTTAACTTTGGTTTGTCGAAGATTAAAGACAGATAATTCAAATATTTATGTATTTTAGACCAATTATTCCTATGGTAACTATCTGATATAGTAGTCCGATTTTAATAGAGACTATATGATATAGTTGTTCGATATCGCTCGAATATTTTCCTATCGACAGAACTTGATTAGAATATCTTTAAAAATGAAAAACTTCGTCAGATAAGAACTAAACTTTTAGCCGAGTCTTTCTATATGATATAGTAATCCAATATAAATAAGATTTCGTTGGGAGCATATAGAATCTTGTAATAATAAAGTTTAGTTAGGATATATTGAAAAATGGAAAAATTGTTCACACATAAGTTTTTGGCCAATATTTTAATAGGTTTTTGTAAGAGGCCTATTGATTCTCTCAACTATAAAGTTGAGTTAGGATAAATTGAAAATCAATTTTTGACCAATAGTTCCTATGGCAACTATTCCGACCTACGTATACCCTACATTAAAAAACGAATCTAATCCAAGAAACTTTAAATCTAAGGATCATTTACAATTGGTAAAAAAAAATTAACATACCCTATGCTAGGGTATTAAAAGAAATTGGAATTGAAATTTAGTGAAATTGGAATATACACAAAAAAATTACGTTTATAAATTTTGAAAATTTGCTAATTTGATGCCGTAGCACTTACCGAGCGATCACTGTATTAGTCCACAATGTGCTGTCCCACATTTAAACTAGCTCTAAATCTGAATGCTGAATTCCTAATGCACCTTTTGCAGGTGGTTCCGAGTTCTACATCTGAAGCGCCAACGACGCCGCGTCTTTATTCCGTACACATACGCACACACACACACACACACGCACACACGAGCACAGAGATCGTGGACATGAATAAATGTTATTAGCAAGAAATTGGAAGCTCAATGCCTCAGCCAGGTGGAAAAGTTAATGGTGCTGGGCCTGGACTTGCGCTCGATGGTAATTGTCTCGTCCTCAATGTTATCGACATTGTAGAATTCGCGCAGCTCGGCTAGGGCCGTCTCCTCGATCTGGGTATGGACCAGAGATTTGTTGCGCATGCGCTCGAAGCACTCGCGCTGGCGACGCTCATCGGCCACGATCTGGGAGAAGCTGTTGTGCGGCTCCATGCTGGCCGCCTGGCCGCCACGCATCATATTGGCAAAGGAGGTGGGATCCGAGCTGCTGCCCGTGGCGGCCGTTGGTGAGCTAAACGGCTCGGCATATGCCGGGGGCGAGCTCGTCCCAGTTACGCCCCATGCATTGGGCAAGGGGACGGGCGTGCTCGGCTCCAGCGGCTGAGCTGAGCTCTGGGCGCGCCAGCTCTGCTGCTGCTGCTGCGTTTCAGAGGAGAGACGCTTGCGCTGCTTCTGGGAGAGCTTCTGGGTTTGTGGCAGCAGCGTGCTCAGATCCAGATTATAGCTCTTGCTCAGGGGCGTGCTGCACTCCGTGGGACTGGTGGCTGGCAATGGAGGCGTTGACTCCTTGATGGCAGCACGTGGCGATATTGCGACCAACTCCGGCGAGGGCTGCTCCTCCTGCTTGAGCACATTGTTGACCTTCAGCGCCGTCTCGGCCAGTTTGCGCCTTTGCTCCTTTTTGTCCAAAACGCGCGACCAGTTGGCGGTCTCAGCTGCAGCTGCAGCTGCTGTTTTCGGCGATGCTTCCGCATCGGATGCACTTATGCTCAGCGTACGTATCATTCGGGATATGGCCTGCTGCTCATAGTGCCGCGCATCCTGCTTGCTGGGCAGCTCCCTCTGCTTGTGCTTGGCCACCTCCTTCAGCTTGGCGTCCTAGACAAGGCAAAGCATCGAGTTAGAAATGAATTGCAATTAAGTTAAAGTAACTAGTAAAGCGAAAGTAGACGAACCGCATCCATGCGATAATCCAAATCGACTTCGATGCCATCGACAAAGCTGAGCAACAGCTCATCCTCGATGGCCTCGGAGAAGGGCGTTATCTGGCGATATGCGTAGACCGACTGAAACATCTTGCGGTAGTGCTCGTTGAGGCGCTGCAAGGTGCTCGGTTCGCACTGCTCGATGCTCCGGTAGCAGAGCACCCGGGCCAGATTCTGGCAGATGAAGTCCATGCAGCCCTGCTGCAGCAGTTTGCAATTGTACATGGCCGCAAAGTCGAGCATTTCGCCGCACTTGCGTATGCTGATCTTGTCCAGAATCAGGGATTCGCATACGTTCTGCAGCGATTCAATAAAGTACTGATCGCACAGCGTTATCATATTGTATAGAAACGTTTCCGTATAGTCTTGCCGGCAAAATGCCTCCGTGTCCAGGCTATACAGATAGTCCAGCACGGGCTCCATATACTCAACGGGCACGCTATCAAAGTTGACCGTGCTACGCTCCGCCCACGCGTGCATGAACATCATCTCAAAATACTCCAGACGCGCCACGAGCACACACTTGTGCGCCTCCAGCACTTGACCCGCCTCGCAAACGATGCGTATGTCGTAGAGCTCCGGGTAATGGGAGCGCTGCAGCCGACCAAAACGCTGTTTGCCACGCAGCGGCAATTGCTGTTCCGTAATGTAACTGCAAGGGGATTTATCAGAATGGATGGAGGAGAAATAAATTGTTCTGCGCACCTTTGCACATATTTCCCAAGCTCGTGTAGCTGAAATTTCTCGAGGTGCGTGTGAAACATTTCGCAGACGCGGCTGCGCTGCTGCGGACTCTTTGGACCCAGACTCTGTTGCATGCAATCGATATCTGGCAAGGAAAAGAGGAGACTATTAAAGCAAATGGGGAACCGGTTTTGGTTAGCTGCTGCATTACCATCCTCTGTGGGAAAGTAGTTGGTGTAAATGTGCTTCAGCACCAGCTCGAACATTTTGCCCGTCAAGTTCTCGAAATTCAAATAGATATCCTTGTCCAGATAGCAGAGCACCAGCTCGCGCAGGCCCGGCGCACGGCTAAACACAATAAACTTGTGCGCCGCAAAGTTTTCGCCATCCACATGGAAGATTATGTCATGGACTGCGTCCGCTTCGCTGGTGTCGTGGTAGAGCTTCTTGAAGTTGTGCTCGCGGCGAGGGAGGGCGGGCTTGCGAAAGTACTTGAGATGCGATTCCTGCAGCACGGCAAACGAGGCGAAGCTCTCGTCGCAGACAATGTCCACGGCGCGATCGATGTTCGGCACGCGCTGCAAATCGATGCGGACGTAGTGTTCCCTTGAGATTTCCGTGCGATGCTGATCGTTGTTCTGCCAGATGTCCTTGTTGGCCTTGGGCTTCTCCTGTGTGCCCGACGGCAAAGCCAGTTGATTGCACTTGCCGCGATAGACGCAGCCATCCATGGAGAGCACCAGCACCTGGTTGCACTTGTAGAGTATGCGCTTGATCTCCGGCATGCGAATGGGCGAAAAATTGCATCTGCAAAAGGTACTGAGATTAGGGCTTGAGGCAGGAATCGAATGTAGTTTGCACATGCCTGTAGAACTGCTGCGTATTCTCGTACCAGAGGAAGACCACATTCGTCTCGGTCAGCATCATCAGCTTGAGCGCCGCAACGGAGCCTTTGACGGAGTTCTTCAGATTGCCGCCCATCACAGCGATGCTCTTGAGATCCTCATAGCTGATCGAGGTAAACAAATTAGATTGGTTTGGGATAAGATATTGGAAATGCACTCACTTGGGCGTCTTTAGGGTTCTGGGCTTGTCGGCATAGAAGAGCAGAATGAGCTTCTCGGCGGTGTAGACAACTGTGGCCGCATTGTTGGCCTCCACGAAACGTATGATTGTGCGATCCGCCAGCTTCATCTGCAATTTGGGGAGGCTTTAGTGCGTGCTGCTTAGCAAACGGTGTACGACGCTACGTGCCAATACGGGCGCTACAATTGTCCTGGTATTGGAGCTGATGCCCAACTGACCCTGATTTTCACCCCAAACATAAATGCACCGGCTGCTATACGCAATCGAATGGTGATCGCAGGCAATGACTCGCAACAGGCCGCTGGCGCCCTTGTCGCGCAGCGCAACCACTTCCTTGAATGTGGTCAGATGCTCGCCCGCATCGCGCACGCCCAGCTGATGGGAATCATTGATGCCGCAGGCATAGACCAACGAGCGATTGGTGAGCAGCAGCGAATGCTGACGGGATACGCTGAGGGAAATGATGCGCTCGTCGTTGTGCTTGAGCGGCACCTTGACGCGCTTGGGCGCCGGCAGACTGTTCTCCAGGCCAATGCCCAGGCGGCCGCCCTTGCCATGGCCCACGGCATAGAGATGGCCCCGCTTGTCGCAGAAGAGACTGTGGTAGGCGCCCAGCGCCACGTGCTCCAGCCACAGATTCGATTTGCGAAAGAAATCCAAGGCCTGCGGCGTGAGTGTATTCTGCTCATTGCCAATGCCCAGATTATAGTTCTTATTGGAGCCCCAGACAAGCGCCTCATTGCTGCGTGGAGCGAAAGGCCGGGTCAAGGATTAGGTTTGATTCTGCTGCTCCGCTTACTTACTGCGATTCGGCGTTGGCATCTATATCGCATTTCCGGCATATTGCCTGCAGCGGACAGCGCGTGTCCTCGTCCAGCAGCTCCAGGCTGGCGCCGTAGCGCAGCAGCAGCACGGCGCAGTCGATGCAGCCGTAGTACAGAGCCCGATGCAGCGGGCTGCTGCCGGACTCAGAGTCCGGCTCATTAATGGGGGCGCCATGGTTTAGCAGCCACTCCAATATTCTATAGCGTTCCACGGAAGCGCACATGTGCACGGCGGAACGGCCCAGATAGTCCGTAATATTGGCAAAATTGGCACACGTCTTGGCCACAAATGCCGCCAGCGGCTGATCCTCAATGGAGCGTTTGGTGAGCGCCGCCGTGATGCAATTGCCATGCTGTACTTGGCGGCACTTGACGGTGCAGTCGTAATCGTGATTCCTTAAAGCTGGCATGCGAAGCTTGCAATTTAATTGTTAATAAATAAATGCCGCAACTTCCTCTTGTTAACAAAATATTGCGAAATTGAATGAACTATTTAGCTGAGCACTGGTTCGCAGTGAACGATAGTTACTGCTGAAAAAATACTAATATTGGGTTTGCCGGTATTTTTGCTCTTATAGCATGCGGTCACACTGCACTCCACTAGTAGTTGTGGTTGTTGCGTGCACAGCATACAGAAGTTCCGCGCACTTGCTACGTAAGTTGAGGTGTTCATTTATTGATAAAATAAATGCAGTCGCACATTATGTAAATGGAACAGCAACAATAATCATCTCATATCATACGGAAGTGGCTGCAATGCAGCATAAGTGATTAAATGCTGTGATGAGTGTGCGTACTACTGTACGCGTGTGTGTGTGTGTGTGTGTGTGTTTGTGCAGGAGGTGCTCCAAGCGGAAATACATTGAGATTGAGTCACAAACGCGTCATATATCTGTGATATCAAAATACGTATTGTGTTGTCATAGGCATTAATTTGATTAATTCAATTAGTATGCAAAACAACCACAAACGATTTAAAAGTACACATACGCAAACAGTTCGTCGCAAATTGTTACTGATAGTGTGTACAGTGTGTACTGTGTGTTGGTGTTGGTGCAGCTCGCTCATCTTTATTAATTAATTAATTACTTGACCTGTGCGGTCAGAATGTGCGCGTTAAAGGCCGTAGAATTGTTTGAAAATAATACATATATATTTATACATACATAGTACAGACAGAAAAGCAATGGAATAGTTTGCTTTAAGTTCGTGTGCACGTAATACTTGTTTACATACATACGTATGTATGTGTACATATGTAGATATGCTGCCAGTGCATAAGTGCGCTTGTGTGTGTGTGAGCGAAGTTTCTCTCGGTAGCTGCTGCTCATTTCGTTTTAATTTCTTCTTTTTTCTTTATTTACTTTTAGTTCACACAGAGCAGGTTTTCCAGTCAAGTGTTGTCCTCGCTGCAGCTGCATTACATTACATTTCTTCGTCTCCCTTTTGAGCGTATTATTCTTAAAGGTGCGAAAGAGAACAAGTGGCTGGGCACGCATCCCCCGGAAATGCCAATAGAAAAAAAATAAATAAAAAAAAAACAACGACAAGCATAAGCATATAAAGCGAATGCATAAAGAAAGCAACTAAAGCGCAATGCGATCAAATTGAAGAACAAAAAGATAACAGAAAACAACACATAGGAAGCCGTGTGCCAGAGCGAGAGGGAGGAGTTTGGAGAGTGCAGAACTAAATCAATGCAGCTTTTTCGCACTGTAGCAGCCGCACACATACACATACCCAAAACACAGACGCACACACACAGACGCGCACACCTAATCTTTGGCACAAATTTCTGAATGGAATAATAATGTTGTGATGGGCTCGTGCTCGTGTACACGGCGACACTTTCTGTTGTCAACATGCTTCCTGCAAATGGTAAGTGTGTGTGTGTGTGTGTGAGAGAGAGAGACCATATGGCTGGCCCTATTTAATATTATTGCATTTATCTTCTTTCTATTTTATGTGCATGCAAACAATGCGTGGTATCTGTTTTTCCCAATTTACCCAATCGATAGATAACGATTATCGAACGCCAGGTATTCGACTTTCTCGGATACATGTGGGCGCCCATATTGGTCAACTTCTTTCAAATACTGTTTATCATATTCGGCTTCTATGGCGCATATCATTTTAGAATCAAATACATCATAACCGTAAGTACCCCCCCTCCCTTTCCCCTGCCCGCTGCTCCCCGCTATAAGATAAGAACTATTTGATAACCCAAATTTTTCTTTATTTGGTCAGTATTTACTATGGAACTTCGTTTGGATCGGCTGGAATGCGTTTTTAATATGCTTCTATTTGAATGTCGGCAGCCTGGATAGGGTGAGTAATTGGTGTCAACTCGAAGGCGCGATTGGGCAAACAGAAAAGGGCACAACATGACCAAAATACAAATAACAATAAAAGCCTATCTTATATTATCATACAAAATGTATTCTATAGATATTGCTTGCATTGTTTAAAAGATCACACTGCAATTCTGAACAAGTTAAAGCTTCGAAAGGAGCTCAAAAGCGTGAACAATTCTAGAATGAATAGTCAAGACTGGAAAAGCCATTCCTGCTCATTTCTTTTATAAAAAAAAACCCAACATTGACCTCGAGACGGTCAGCTTTATATTCACAAAAAAAAATGTATGTAACAGGCAGAAGGAAGCATCTCCGACCCCATAAAGTATATATATTCTTGATCAGCATCAATAGCCGAGTCGATCTAGCCATGTCCGTCTGTATGAACGCAAGGATCTTAGAACTTATAAGAGCTAGAGACTTGAAATTTTAGCTGAAGGTCCTCGTAGTGCTAGCGCAGATCAAGTTTGTTTGCGATAGTCGATAACTTGCCCCGTTTCCAAGTACTCGATAAAAATTCGATATCGAAATCATGTTTTTAAGCAATTTCGGCAAATAATATGAACTAGAGTCCACAAACTTGGCATTTAGCTTCTAGAATAGTATATACATATCAAGTATCTTTCATTTTATACCTATTGCCTGTCGGAAGAAGAGTGTTCAGGGTATCCCCTAGTCCGGAGCTCCCGACTAGAACCTCTTGTTTATATATAAAATCCAACATTGACCTCGAGTTATTATTCACAAAAAAAAAAAACAATTATATATTCAGTCACAAACACGTAATTTGCAACCTACTTTCAATCTCTTTCACACCTTTCAAATACTGATAATAATTTAATCTTATCGATGTGAACAATTTGATATACTATTCTATTATCTTGTTCGCTTTACAGGATAGCGATCTGCTCAATATGGGCACTGGCAGCGTTTCCTGGTTCGAGGCGAATGGCTACGGCTGCAAGCCCACCTACAACATCACCTCGGACGATCCGTATCGGCCCCTGCGCCCGGAACGTGTCGAGGACTGTCTATTGGACTATCCGCTCGTCGAGGTCATACACTCGGGCGCACAGTGCGCGCTGGCGGTGAGCATAGATATATACACAGATCTATTAATCAATTTAAAGTGCCATCAATTGTGCCCACACTCACTAATGCCCCTCTCTTTCCCCTTTAGCTGCTGGGCATACTTGGTGCGATTCTGATCAGCTGCATATTTCTCGATGAGGACGACAGATGTAAGTTGCTGTGCATTTCTAATTTCGAATTATTATGTAATCATCAAACACTTTTGGTAACTGGTTGTAGTTTGTCTTCAATTTAACCACTTTCGTCTGTATATATATATATATATTATGATATTTTCCAAACCCCTTTACCCCAAAATTAAGCTGAATGTTTGTAAACGCAAAGACTATCATGTTGCTATACATATTGTTAAACTATAATATTTATTTACCATATCAAAAAATGTGTTATTTTATATGAATTTCTCGATGCTTTGATATATACAAAACCCGCCCGGAATGCCCGTGTCTATTGTTTAACCGTGTGCCAAGAGAATGTTTATATATATTTGAAAAAAAAAGAAAGCAAAATTGTTATGCATACCATAAACACATATATACCATATATCATATACATTACATAAACATATGCTCGTAAACGTAATCCATGTTATTTATGTCATAACAACAATTTATACAAAAAGAAAGAGATTGATTGTATTTGCCTAATATGCTGTTAAATTGTGCACACATACTTGATATTATTATAAAAACATTTCTGGTTTACAGTCGATTTCATGAACGGCGACGCGAAGAGTCCACAGCACACCGTCGTCCATCCAATGTACGTGAGCTATACAAGTATACCAACAACATCCGCAAGCGCCACAATCCAGTCAAATAAACTAACCCAGCAGCAGCAGCAGGCGCAGCAGCAGCACCATCACCAGCAACAACAACAACAACAATATTCACTGCAATTCTATCATCACAACAACAACAATAGCTACAATAGCAACAACAACAGCAATTGCAACACACTCAAGCAGCCACAGCCAGACACAGCAAATAACCCACATTTAACCCACACAAGTGGCAGCAACAACAACAGCCGCAGCGGCAGCCTCAGTCGCCTCAAGTCGCAGAGTCGCCACACCCAGACCCAGACCCAGACCCAGCCACATCCTCATCCCCCCCAGCACAATGAGAGCCAGCAGCGCCGGCGCCTCTATCAGAGCCGTTCGCCCGCCTTCAACTCTGTCAGTCCCATGTCCGTGTCCGCACAGACCACGCCCTCGCTGTCGTATGCCTCGCTGCAGAACTCCAATCCGCAGCTCAGTAGCAGCAACTATAGCATTTTCCATGCTGCCATCGATAATTCGGGCAGCGGTCACTTTGCCCGCATCCATCACAAACCCAAGGCGCCCAAATCTCTGCCAGACATTAAGCATACGCAGCAAGTGGCTTTGGCGCGTTTGTCGCGCAATCTGGAGGAGGATGAGGATAGCTTTTCGCTGCCGCATTTGTCGCCCGACGGCGTCAGCTATGTGCCCTTCCAGAGTCCCACGCCTGAGAATAATAACCTTGCCTTCGGCGCCGTTCACGAACAAATCCAGTCTAGTCCCAATAACAATCAATATCCGCCATATGAACAGCACGGCCTGTTGGGCTATTCGCCCAAGCTGCTCCGCGGCGTGCCACGCCCCACGCAGATACCGCTGCCCACGGTGCCCGTGCACAACTGTGGCCATGTGGAGCCGCCGCCGCCGCCGCCGATGGAGACGTTGTCGCTGTCGCCACCGCCGCCGCCGGCGCCACGTCCGCACATTTTCCAGCCGCGTCTGGGTCAGGCGCCCTATCCGGATCTCTCGCCCGAAATAGCCGAGAAATATGCCATGCCCACACAGCATGTGCCTGCCGGCCATGGCTCGCCCATGGTGCGACGCAGCCAGCGTCGCCCACGTCCGCATCCGGCTCCGGCGAATTTTTGCGATCAAATACGCGACACTCCGCCCGGCTACATGGTGCGCACGCACAGCGACGACCAGCTGGAGGAGCAGCAGCTGCAGCAGCAGCAGGCGGCGCCGCATGTCAATCGACGCAGCGGCCGCAAGGCTCGCCCGCGCTCCTTCTGCAACTCCATTGTGGGCACCCAGGCCTAGCTGGTCCCAATTCCAACAGATCCTCAATGCTGCATTCCTCTTGATTAGTGACCAAATCTTATAGACTTTTAGAGATTCTCTAGCGGCAGCGGCTGCTCACGCGATCTTCAAACCTTATTTGTTGCCGAACCGAAGCTGAAGCTGAAGCTGTCCTCGTCTCGCTCTCTCTCTCCCGCTCTGACTCTCTCACAAGAACTTTGACTCAAGTAGGTCCAGCTCCTTTACATATATATAAACTCTCTCTCTCTCTCTCTCTGTCTCTCTCTCTCTGTCTATATCTGTACTGCGGGTGCTGGGCGACTTGCCGCTTGTGTCCCATGTGTTGTCCATACTAACTAACTGTATATTACATTTAGTACATGTTGTCGTCTTTGTTGTGGCTAACAGAACTTTTTACGCATATTACGATTTACGAGTTTGTTAAATAGGAACACTAGAGCATAGTAAACTAAACACTTTAAGTGTAATGCAAGTCGAAAGAGAGTTTTATGTAAGCGCATAGGAACAGTGGAATTGGAACAGTAGATAAAGTACTTTGATTGAACATACTGTTCCCAATTGCTTGCTGTTACCAGCTTCAATTTGAGTGGTACACGAGATGGGAATACCCAGGTAGAGTACACTTAATTACTCAAGAAGATGTTGCCAATTTTTTAGTGGTATGATAAGATGCTGTTTCTAGTTTCAATTGAAATTCAAAAAATAAGCTGTGCTCATTTCAAGTTAAGTGAAAGTTGCATAAATTAATTTAATATGTTCCCAATTTCAACGTTCGCAAAAGGCTCAACGTGTTCAACTACAATGCGTGTTAAACGAGCTGTTCCCAATTATAAACTGTTCTTAGAATGCGATATAGGCAGTTGTCAGAAACTGTTCTCTGCTTGGAGCAAGTGGAGCAATGTACGTCACATGAATTGTTCCCAGTTGCCAAGGTAGGAACAACAGAGCTAAGCACTCACTATGTGCCGTGCACTTAGCTGTTCCCAGTTAACTGGAACGCGAACACAATGCAATTCACATGCATTGTTCCCATTTGTCAAGATAGGAACAGTTAAACTTAGTTCTCACTTTATGTGCTGTGCACTTAGTTCTTCCTATCTTGTTGTTCCCAGTTAAATCAATTAAATAAAATAAAATTGAAGCAGCTTTGATTATAACTGAACTTAAATGATTTTTCGGTCTTGCATAGCATTTGAAGTGAAAATAAAAACTAGATTTAAGCATAAAATCGGATGCCTTGAAAGCCATTTACTAAATTATGTGACAAACACAAATACATACATACATACATACATATGCATATACATATACTAACAGACATACACACACACACATGTGAGACTTTCCATAATGGCTGAAACATTATGAATTGTGATAGAAAAATGTTACAAAACAAACGAAAAAAAAAAACTAAAAAGTAAAACGAAAACAAAATGAGAAGAGAAGAGTAAAGAAGGGAAGAGAAGCGTAACGCTAAGCGGAAAGTCCAATGCCTTCATAATTTTATGTTGAACTGTGATACTCTACATAACGATTAAAAATTTAAACACAAATGTCACAAAAAACATTTATCGAAAAAATTTAACTAACTAAAATTTAAAAAGCGATACGAAAATTGTTACAAAAAACATTTAGAAAACAAATTTAAATGAATGCCAATGCAACGAAAATGCCTTTAAAACGGAAGCCCCTCTCCAAAGGAACTACTTACTAAAAAAAAATAGTTGCCTTCTTGTTGAGAGAAATTTAACATAAACAAATAAACGCGTGTAGTTAGCGAGATTCGTTAAATATATATATATATATCTATATATCAATTGTTAAGTCTAGTGTTAAGCTTTACACAAGAAATTCGCTAATTAGCATTTAGGCAGAAATCATATAAATATATATGCATATATAGAGTATTTAAAATCAATATATATATATATATATTTAGATATATACATAAATGAGCTAATTGCGTGCCAATTTCTGCAGAAAGATTCAAGCGTTTCCCCGAAAATAAATGTTCATTTACACAAATCTTTGGCCTTTAACTAATTATCGATCTATAGACCTATCGAAATATCGATCTATCTAGCTAACTGGTTAACACGGCTTTTTGTAGCGCACTTGCGACTCTTTTAGTTATAAATTAAGCTGATTATTTATTTACGTAAATCTTAGGCGTTTATCGATTTGTCGGCCTATCGAACTATCGGTATATCTGGTTAATCGGCTTTTTGTAGCGCACTTTCGATTCTTTTCTGATTAAAAATAAGGTGTTATCGATATCGAACTATCGAGTTATCGTACTATCGGTCTATCTGGTTAACACGGCTAGGCGTTTATCGACTTTTTTGCCTATCGAACTATCGAGTTTTCGGTCTATCTGGTTAACACTTCTAATTCTAAATTAAGCTGATCATTTACGTAAATCTTTATCGTTTATCGATTGCTTATCGATTTGTCGGCCTATCGAACTATCGAGCTATCGTACTATCGGTATTTATGGTTAATATGGTTTTTTTGTAGCGCACTTTTGACTCTTCTAATTATAAATTAAGCTGATCATTTACGTAAATCTTTATCGTTTATCGATTTGTTGGCCTATCGAACTATCGGTGTATCGTACTATCGGCCTATCTGGTTAACTGGCTTCATGTAGCGCACTTTGGCTCTCTTCTAACCAACAAAATCAACGTATCTCTAACGACTCTCTCTCGTAGCTAATCCCGTATCCATTTAATCACATGCACACCAACAACCTAACCCGCCCAGGTAACTGCTGCTCTATTCGCTATTCGCTCTCTCTCTGCACTTTTTATCACATCTACTCACACGGATTTCGTTCTGTTTCCTGCAGTGCAGCACATTAACAAACAGTCGAAGCATCGCCAATCTCTGTACTCCATGGAGTTTGGCGCCAGCAGCGACACCATACGACATCGCGGCGATCTGATGCTGGGCCTGGGACTGGCCGGCGATGGCGATGCCCGTGATCAAAATGGCGGCGAGCTGAGTCCCAAGCCGATGACGCCGCGACGTGTCAAGCGGCGCTCGGTAATGGCGCGCGGCACCCACGGCCGGCAATCCAGCAGCGGCAGCACACGGCGCTCCCATCACGGCTCCAGCAATACGCTGCGCTCCAAGCACGGCGGACACGGCGCGGATAGCAGCAGCGGCAGCTATGTGCGCAGCAGCACGCGCAGCTCCCGGCGCAAGTACCAACAGAATCCGGTCACCAAGCTGCTCGATCAGCAGCAGCTGCAGCAACAGCAACAACTCCAACTGCAGCAGCAGCAGCAACTCCAGCTGCAGCAGCAGCAACATCTGCAGCAGCCGCCGCCGCAGCTGGGCTCATTTCATCGCTCCTCGCTGACCGCCACCAATTTGCAGTGCCTGCACGACGACATTCTGAACAACAGCAACAATGTTGTGGCCGGCGGCAGCCTGGGCAAGACCAACAATCACTATTATCGCCGCAACATACCGCTGGATCCCATTTACTACAATACCAACGGGCAGGGCATGCTGCTGGAGCAGCCGGCATCGTCGCCGCCGTTGCCGCCGCCGCCGCCACCGCCTGCGCCGCTGGGCGGCGGCCACTATAATCCCAGCTATCAGCACTCAAACACACAGCTCAATGATGTGGGCCACGCCGGCGATGAGCTCTACAACAATCGTCCGCCCTCGGTCCGTTCCAGCTATTCCAATTTCCATGGCTCGCGGCCGCTTGCCGCCGCTTACAATACCACGGAGAATGTGTTTGTGGGTCTGAGCGGCGCCAGCGCCAGTCCGCCGCAGCCGCCCTGCACCCCGCCGCTCTACCAGCAGCATCCGCTGCAACAGCAACAATATCTGCCGCCGCCGGTGCCGGAACCGGCGCCCAACTATGTCAGCTCGTCGTCCTTCTCAAAGCGGACCGCCTCGCGGGAGAGCATACGCTCGATGGCATTCCTCAACAACGGGCCGCCCGCCTACAATCTCAACTATCACACGCCGCCCGACTCGGAGACAACCATGTGAAACGCACACCAGTTCCCATCATCTATCATCTGTCGACTCTCTCAGCAAAGATCTCGATTAGCTCTCGAATCGAACTACAACTATATACAACTATATATATGTATATATATAGTTTAGGGTACTTTTCATCAAACGTATATTTATCGTAACTGTTTACTTATATCCATATCTTTAAATGTATTTAACGTATGCCTAATATATAGTCGTAAGCTTCTCGTCGTTTTACCAAAGTGCCTTTGTATATAAACAACAAATAAACGATTCTTTTGTATTTATCCATTTGACATTATAATATGGATTCTGACAGTTTAGTTTAAGGTTAGGATATACGAATCAATTTGATTTACTTTTTCTATGTATAAACAACTAGAAGAACTTGGAAGAACTATCTTTAAATTGTATCGAAATTATTTGTGCAATTCCCGATAATTTCAGGCAGATATACAATCTATTCTCTTCATGGGGATTAGATCCCCAAATGTCGTGCTTAGCATTATAATATAGATTCTGACATTACTTAAGGTTTACCATATTAAAGGTTTGGATGTAGGATTCGATTAGACTTACTTTTTCTATATATATTTAAAGCTAGAAGAATTAAGAAGAATTCTGTTGAAATTGTTTTGTACATTTTACGCCAACTTCAGGCAGATATGCACTTCCTGCTAAAAGTATACACTGCTCAAAAAAATCCCACTCAGTTTTAAAGCTAGGTTGTCGGAACTTAGCTCGGCGAAGGCTGGATCGATTTACTATATCATATAGCTGGCAATGCAATGATCCATGGAAAAACAAGCTATTTTCTGGATATTTTGAACAAACTTTTTCTGCAGGTGAAAAAATATGTCGAAGCAGGCAGGATCGATTCACTATATCATATAGCTGCTAATGGAAATGTCGATCGAAAATAATGAAAAACCTTTTATTGCTTTCCAGAATATTTTGAGCAAACTTTACATTTTCCAGTTTTTTCCTGGCCTTATGATAATTTGTAAGTATTAAAGTATAAATTTTTTACGCTTGAAGTACAATTAAAGTTTATATTATCTTGAATATATTTTCAATTATTTAGAAGAATATATTTTAAATTTTTTAAAACTATAAAATCTTCAATCTTGACTTTAGGCTAGGTATTTTTATTAGTAGAAATTTAATTTTTATGAATATTTTTGATAGGTTCACCCAGATAAATGTGCTCCAATTCCTATTCCTTGCGACAAACTGGACATGGAAATAATGAAAAGATTATAGGATTGGTTTTAATCGTAACAAAACTTTCGACTTACGCTCATCGGCATCCCAGCCGGGCTCGATTTCCAGCTGCATGTTGCGCTCCTTTAGCCAGGTGAAGAGCGGCGCAAAGTATTCCAAGACGCCACGCCCACTCAGTTTACGTTCCCCGGTGGCAATGTGCATAATGTCGCGCCAGTGCCGGGTGGCGCCCAGCTGCATCATCTCGCTGGAGACAAGATATGGAATGAGTCTGGCTGGGGATTCGAATGGAATACGTACCGGAGCAGGGCGCCGGCCTCCTTGCTGTCGTAGAAGTCGCAGTTGTGCAGCGGATAGCTGGGATCTCCGGGCTTGTACTGGCCGCTGGCCAGGCAGAAGGCGCGATAGAACTGAAAGCCCAGAATCTCCGTGATGAACTTTCTGGTAAGCAGAGCGAAAAAAAACCAGTTTAGTGAAGGATCTGAGAGTGCGTCTCGTAGCCCGACCTGGTATTGGAGCGTTCCGGCTGCATGCCGCGATAGAATTTAAAGTCGAGATCAAAGTCCTTGGCGGAGCGCCAAATGGGCGGCTGTACGCCCGCGAATTTGTCCTGCAAACGCCAGAAGGCGCAATTGTAATCCTGGACACCAATGCGTCCGTCCATCACATCCACCAGAAACTTGTCGTTGATGAAATACTGCGGCACGGCCAGCAGCGTATGGACGCCCATCCGGAACAGACGATTGAGCGATTGATTCTCGGTGAGACTCTCGTTCAACAGAATGTGCAGGCGGTGCAGGTGACGCGGCGTGCCCGACGCCAGGACGGCGGTCTCGCCGAGTGCGGCGCCAAAGCCCGGACACGGTTCCGTGTCCAGGCCGAAGGGCAGCTCCCGCTTGTAAATATTATACTGCAGCTCGGCCATGGTGCCATGGATCTGCATCATCTTCTTGTAGTCGAGCTTGGGGCAGTAGCGCAGCGCCACATCCGGCGGAAAGTAGTACACCTGCGACTTGCAGTCCGGCCCGCCCTCGTCGTCGTTCATGCGCCGCGAGTAGCGCTCATAGAAGCCGCTGGCAAAAGTTTCATAGTTAAGTCCAAAAAATTCTCTCTTCTGCTCTCTGTCACTTACTCGGACATGTGATTCAGGCCCAGGGACTCGAAGAATTCGGTTGCCTTCTTGTTGATCTTGACGGGCGTCACCAGCACCTCCTCCAGCCGATGATGCACCGACGGCAGCTGATCCTTGGGATACGGCGAGCGAAAGATCTGATGCGAATACCATGCCTGCGACAACATCTGTTCCAAGACGGGCGCCGAAATGGCGCCATCATCCTTGAAGTTGGCCTTCGGATAGGCCAGCATCGCCGAGTGCCTCAAATAGGCATGCATTTCCCGATACAGCGGCATTATCTCCCAGATAACTGGGGAATACACAAGTAAATGTCGCAGCAGGATGATACCCATCCAAAAAGTTAAATCTCTTCCAGATCCGACTTTATATATTCGATTTATAGCTCATCACTACTCAATCAATCAGCCACTCATTCAATCAGTCAATCAATCAGCACAAATAGTTATATATACAAATTTCTAGATGCTATTTGGCCTTCTCTATTTCGGACCTGAAACTTGGAGCCACAAATCTTTGATTGTGGACATATCATCAGTTCGTCAATCAGTCAGTCAATCAATCAGGACAAATATTTATATATATATATAGATTTCTAGTTGTTTTGTTTACCCTTCTCTAAGCCGATCTTGAAAGTTGGAGCCCCATATTGCAACCTTTTTGCTTTGATTGGGGGCATATTAACAGTTCGTTAATCAGTCAGTCAATCAATCAGTCAGCACAAATAATTTTATTTACAAATAACTAGCTATTTGTTATGGCCTTGAAAATTGCACACCTATTTTCTTCCCAGTTTTTTTTGTGTGAGTGTTGAGCATCCGTCAATCAATCAATCAGTATACTCAGTTATTTATGCAAAGATATAGAATTCTAGTTGTCCATCCCTTAAATCCTACCCTTTTGCTTGCGCTGTGGGCTTATCGTCAGCTGTCATTCAGTCAATCAGTCAAACAATCAGTCAGTCAATCAATCAGTCAATCAATCAGTCAATCAATCAAACAGTCAATCAATCGTCAGCCAATAAATCAGTCAATCAATCAGTCAGTCAGCAAAAATAGTTTTGTGTGTATATATAAATGGATTGTTATTTACCCTCCTCCATCTCGGCCTGAAAGTTCTCGGTGTCATAGTATAGGTACCAGGTGCGCGATGGCGTCACATGCCCATTGTAGGTGGCCGCGATGCGCAGCAGACGGACATAGTCGATGAAGGTGGACTTGGCGGTGTCCTTGTCATTGATGGCGCTGCGCCAGCTGTACCAGTTGAGCTTGAGATCCTCGTAGCTCTTGCTGCGCATATTCTGATTGTAGATCTGCGGATACATGGCCAGGGGCCGGCGGGCGGAGCAGTCGTCGTGGGTGCAGACCAGCGAGCCGCTGATGAAATTCTGCATGGCGCGCAGCAGATCCTTGGCCTGCTCGTAGTCCGCCGGCCGCAGGCCCTGCAGCTGCAGCTTGGCCAGACGCTGGACGCGACGTCGCAGCTGCGGATCCCTCAGCTGTTCCACGGGCACAACGCTCAAATTGGCCGCCAGCTCAAACGCCAGCTTATACGTTTCCGTTTCCACCTCCTGCTTGCTGGGCGCCTGGCCGCCCAACGGCGACTTGCCCTTCGAGGTGAGCTGCAGAAAGATGCGCCTGCGCATATCCCAAATGCCGCGCATACGCTCCGTGGCCGCATCAAGTATACGCAGCGTCGACTCCTCATAGCGGGCGGTATGATTCGAACTGGGCGTGGCCCGGCAGGCCGCAACGGCCAGCAGGAGAAGGAGAAGGAGCTGCTGCCACAGCATCGCGGAGATTGGATAGAGTTCCCTTGAGCTGCTGTTGCTGCTGCAGATAACTCGGCGCTTATCACGCTAAACCCGAAAATGCGTTGTTATTTTTTTTTCAAATTTATACTTTATTTTGCGTTCAGCTAGCTCTGAGCTCCAGAAGCTCTTGATGCGCACTGAGCGCACAATTTCAATGGGGTTTTCTATCTGGGCATTAATTTGAACCAAGGCGTGGGCCGTTTATTAAGTAGTCGCATTTGTAGTTCTATATAGAAACAATGCAGTTAGCAGGTAGAGAGAGGGAGAGGGGGATTATATACAAATACATTCAAATTCTTCTCTTCTTACATTCAATTCATCTGCCTTCTGTTCTTCTTACTCATTAGAACAAACTGAATCGATCTAGCTATAGCTACCGCCAATCCTTCGATATATAATTTCCTATACGAAAAGCATCTTCCCGTTTCCAAAATATTCTCAAGCATAACTCGAGGATTATACGAGCTAGAGACGCCAAATTTGGTATGTAGCCTCTTGTATGACTTAGACAGATCCAGAATATTTCATTTTTTGGTAACCTCCGCCCGATTCCCTTAAAATGGTATAAACTTTTGCATTTTTGGTGGTACAATCTTGGTCTTTGAAATTTACACTTATTTTATGTCATAAAAAAGCCCTGAAAATTTCATTAAGATCGGACAATGAACAACCAAGTTAAGCCGGAACGAAAAGATGACATATATGATAAAAATTCCACTTACAGCTCGAAATTTCCCACTATTTCTTTCCGAGGCCTTGCTGTTAAATATGGGTGTATTATATTTAGGCATATTCAATTGATAAATCGTTTAGTTAGTTACTTACTAAGCGACCCATTTTAGAGAAGATTTTTAGTCGCAGTTCTTATCAGTTTCGCAACTGCGAGTTCAACTTGGGAGCATAGAAAACGTCGTGGAAAGAGTAAAGCGAGCTTTGCTCTGATACGGCCATTAAATACGTAAATAAAAGCATAGTATATCAGCATATATATATTTTTATTTTTATTTTTTTTGAGCATTATTAACACATTGTTTATTTTTGTAGTGCATTGCGGATGCGCCCGAAACTCAAGGCCGAAATGAAGCATACGCCGTGTTGGCACACACCGGTTAAATTACGTATACGCCACGCAGTTAAGTTGGATTTGAATTGAATGGTGCAGCGCGAGGCGACGCAGCTTCAATTCTTTTGTTAGTCAATGGCCCATATTTGTGCTTAATAATTTTGACATTTTTAGACAGCGGCCTGCGGTGCAGCCGCAGCAGAGCAGCAGCCGCAGTAGCAGCAGCCGTGGCAGCGCAGCGGCCGCATGGCCGAAAATAATGGGAATTGGGGCATGCCCAGCAGCGCATTTGTTTATGCCGGCAGGAGAAGGAACTGTGCCAAATTGACGCTGGCCATGAGCCGAGTCGCCGAGTCCAAGCCACGTTTTTTTTTGTCTTCATAACTATTTTGGCCTGGTCGGTCGCTTGCTTTTGACATTTTGGCCAAAACAGTTGCCGTGGCTCGCTGCGACACGCACATGGCACACGCCATGCCAATTGCAGAGAGAGAGAGAGAAAAGTACCATGCTCGCGTGTCCTGGCATGTGCGCAATACGGGGAAATTTCGTGCTTTGTGTATGGCTGCTCTGCAGATTACGTCAAACGGAAAGGAAAACCCGTTTGCTCGCAGTCAGTCACCAACGAACCTTAGAACCGAGCAGTCGCCATTGCAATGCACGCGTCCGTAGTGCTAGACACACAAACACAAAAGAACAAATAAAATCATAATGAAAAAAAAGCCAGCAACAAAAAGAAACAAAAACGAATAAGAGAAAGGACAGCACACTGACACACACGCGCGCACACACACACACACACACACAAGCACACACAAAGTCGGGGGGACTGAGAAACAGAGATTTACAAGTGCAAGCAGCGAAAAAGTCTTCTGCGCCCAAAAATAGAGTGAAATGTGCATGTTGTTGTTGTTGTAAAGCAGGATATAACGGAAACTAACCTACATTTTCGCGCTCTTTCGCACGCTTTCGCAGTAGCCAAGACCAGCCACATACACAGTCACACACACACACTATCAAAGCAACTGTGACGCTTGTGCTGTTGCTCTCTCGCTCGCGCGCGCACGGTGCCCTCGCGCACAAAAGCAAAACGAAATCAACAGTAAATTGTAATAACACTTCTCAGCTTAAGGTGTGTGCGTGCAACGCCGCCGCCGCTGCCGTCGTCGTTGTCGTCGTCGTGTGCGTGTGTGTATGTGTGTCAAACAATGTGCGTGCCAGCGCTATTTTTTGTTGCTTTCGCCAGCTCCTCCGCTTCCTTGGTTAGCATTGTTGCATAGAATCGCAAGACGGCGATTGCGACTAAAATAAAAATGTAATTAATGTAAAATATATACACACAACAACAACAACAATAGCGCAGGCAGGCAGCAGCGACCGCAATAATAATAACAAAAGTGTGCCCAGCTGTGGCCAATTGAAGTAGCCGCAGTTAAGTGAAGTAAAAAGGAACCAGAACCAGAAGCAAAGCAAAGCAAATAGCAACAATCGAATGCAGCCGCAAGCAATTTTACATGTACCTATCTGAATATGTGTGTATGTATGTGTATATATAAATAGTAACTGGTGCATTGGCAAATTGAAATGTAAATGCACACACGCACAAGCCTGCGTACGCGTGCCTGTGTGTGTGTGTGTGTCTGTGCGTTGTTCAGCGATTACATAAAGAAAATACCAACTGCAGCTGCAACAACAACAACAACAACTGCAATAAAAAGCAATTAAACATATTTAAAGGTAAATTAGCGAACATTTTAATGCACTCAAACATTTGTGTGCTTGCGTGTGTTTGTTTTAATACATGTGGTGGGCGGGTAACGGGTGTTTGCCTGGTGGGCGGGGCCTTTGCTGTGCGGCCATTGCGGTTGCGGCTTGTGGCGTTCCCTTCATTTTGTGTTTTTTTTTTTTTTTGGTTGTTTCTTGTTTTTGGCCCATAAATTAGCGCTTGATGTTCTGCACTTAACTAGCGCAGCAGCAGTTCGTGCCGCAGTTGGCAAAGAAAGGAAAAACGAGTGTAGCATAGCTCAAGGCGCAGGCCAGCTTCCGCTGCCCCCCTCACGCGGCCTGAGGTCACGCCCAGAAAAACAACAACAACGAAGAAGAAAAAAATTAAAATAACCTCGCCCGGCCGCTTGGCTCTGTTAATGCGTCCGTGCTGCTCTTATTGTTGTAATAAAAAATATTTTGACGATTTGTGTGCTTAACAAAAAGCGCTGCAGGTGTACCCAGGTGGGGCAAAGGGGGGGGGGGGAAGGGGGCCGCGTACCGCAGGGGTTCCGCTTACTGATTACTGTCCGCACACACACACAAACACACATATATACAGATACAGTAACCTATCCTTTAGCCGCCCACAAACTCGATTTCCATTTATTTCAAAGAAAATGCACGCAGAGTCTTTTATTGTGCAACAACTTTTCTTGCTTGCTCAATAATTGATTTTTTTCTTGGAAATAATAACAAATTATATAAATACATAAGATTTTAGATTAAGAAAAGTTTTACGTACATATAAACAAATCTCTATATAATATTTAAATTTCATTTTTATTTTTAATTGAAAACTATTTTAATAGGGGCTTATTTTTGATATTTTTGGATTACGTAATTAATTAAAATTATTTATAAATTTAATTAAGAATTTTTAAATTTATTTTAAAATAAATTATTAATTTGCTCTTCCTGCTGTTCGCTCGAAGCGAGCGTTCACTGTACCTAAGTATACGGCTCTCTAAGGCCGGGCCCGCCTTTATGACTGCATTGTTGCGCCCTCTTGACACCTGCGCGCCAAGCCCCCCCCCCCCCCCCCATCCCTCACAACTCCCTGCGCCCGCGCTCAATCACAGTGTGGCTTCCGACAGGAGGCAGGCATCACACCTGCCTGCACTATGCGAGTGTCTGTGTGTGTGTGTGTGTGTGTGTGTGTGCGCGCGCTGGCAAACTTGATATTGAATATTTTATGGCACTTCATCTAACGTTTCTCCATTTCGCCAGCGTCAGCGGTGTCAAGAAGTTTGTAAAACACAACAGGAAGCAGGCCTGCCCAAACACCCCAAACACGCCCACAATAACAACAATAACGGTAAAGACACACACACACACACACGCACAGACAAAAGCTGCGAGCAGCATCCGAGCGTGGCCTCCTTCTATTTGCCTTTTGCTGTGCGCCATTTATCAATTCTTGTAACTTACTTTTAGTTGTGCGCACGTGTGTGCAATTGTGTGTGAGTGTGTGTGTGTGTGTGAGTGTGTTGCCATAATGTTAATTAACTTTATCTTTATATAGCTTTAAGTCTTAAAGCTTGCACATTTTCCGGTTCTGAGTGTGCGTGTGTGTGTGTGTTTATCATTTCCGTTACGCACATTACGTATACGTTACGTAAACGTAATGCGAGCGCATTACGTACACGCCGCATAAGCCCCTCCGTGCAGGTGTCTTAAGCTGCGCATTAGCGTCAGCCAATTTCCGTTTAATGACGTCCACAATTGACAGCAAATCGAGCTGCAGCAGAAATTAAATAGAGCCATAAATTAAAAGATATGTGTGGGAATTACCAGATATGGGCGTTACTTAACTGAAAATCAGGGAAACATTTTCTTTTTCCTTTGTCTTCAAAGATGAAATATGATGATGCGTGACGCTTTTCCTAGAAAATTAGGCTGCTGAGCGAGGAGGTTGCTGGTTCGAATCCATCAACTAGTTTAGTTTTTTAGCAGAAGACAAATATAGTTAATTCGTGATTATATAAATATATAACATACTTATAGGAATAATAATAATATGTATTATTGAGCAGGAATAAACTATTTTAAGCTCTTAACATTTTTGATAATAATCGGACTATAAACACCGAAGTTAATCCCCAACACATATTTCCCATAATGTGTATTTTGTTAGCAGAAGACAAATAGGTATATAATATTTGTGTATTTTAATATAGAAATATAATAGAAAAATATATATGATCAGGTATCTAATTTAATCGGACTATAAGCACCGAATCCCCAAAAAATTTTCCAGAATGTGTATTTCGGTTAGCTGAAGACAAATATAGTCAAATCGAGAGCATATTTATGTTTCTATATATTTCTAAGAATAATAATAAAAAGTAATTTTGATAAGAATTCCACTTTAATCGGACTATAAGCGCCGAGGTGAATCCCCAACACAATTCCCATAATGTAGGGACTACTTGCCTGAAAATGTGCGAGTATTTTGTGCGTGCGCCCATTTAGCAATAGATAACTATAAATGAGCTGAAAAACTAATAAGCTGTCGCTTTTTTCTCGTTTGCCATTTTGCAGTTAACCCAAATACAAAGCACAAAATGTCGGGCCAACAACAATAATCAACGCAACAAAGCAACAAAAAAGGGATTTGCAAAACGGGAAGGGAAGGCGATGCCCATCATTGGAAACTGTCATACTCAACAGATTTGCATAGCCTTAACGCCGCCTTTGGACCCGGCCCAAAGGCAGCTGCCAGCCAAACAAATGCTAAAGAACTGCGAAATGTTAACAAAGGCGACAATCTTAACGCTAAATGCGACGATCCCAATGTGTGAGCAGCACGGACTCTAGCGAAACAGTGACAAAGCGTGAGTGAGAAAGAGACAGAGAGAGAGAGAGAGGGAGAGAGGGAATAGCAAGCAAGACATGCAACAACAATAGCAACCCGGGCACCCACGCACAAGGACATTAACGAGGACAATCAGTCAAGATGAGTGATGATCAGACGCTCGCAGCGCAGAATGAAGATAAAGGTGAGTGCATAAACCAGCTGCTGCTGCTGTCAGTTTAGCTTTTTTCTGGCTAAATTTAGCCGTTAACTGATTACATTTGCATTTGCCCCCTATATCTATGGCAATTGTACTTATTTAAGCGTGTATATTTTAGCCAGTGTTGTAAAATTAGCTTTTTTCTGGCTAAATTTAGCCGCACGCTGATTACATTTGCATTTTCCCCCTAATCCTAAGGCAATTGTACTTATTTAAGCTTGTGCAGTTATTTATAGTTGAACCAGTGTTGGCAAATTAGCTTTATTCTGGCTAAATTTAGCCGCACGCTGATAACATTTGCATTTGCCTCTTAATACTAAGGCAATTGTACTTATTTAAGCGTGTATATTTTAGCCAGTGTTGGAAAATTAGCCTTTTTCTGGCTTAATTTAGCCGCACGCTGATTACATTTGCATTTGCCCACTATAACAATGGCAATTGTGTTTATTTAAGCGTGTTTATTTTAGCCAGTGTTGGAAAATTAGCTTTTTTCTGGCTAAATTTAGCCGTAAACTGATTTCATTTGCATTTGCCCCCTATAACTATGGCAATTGTACTTATTTAAGCGTGTATATTTTAGCCAGTGTTGGAACATTAGCTTTTTTCTGGCTAAATTTAGCCGCAAACTGATTACATTTGCATTTGCCCACTATAACAATGGCAATTGTGTTTATTTAAGCGTGTATATTTTAGCCAGTGTTGGCAAATTAGCTTTATTCTGGCTAAATTTAGCCGCACGCTGATTACATTTGCATTTGCCTCTTAATACTAAGGCAATTGTACTTATTTAAGCTTGTGCAGTTATTTATAGTTGAACCAGTGTTGGCAAATTAGCTTTATTCTGGCTAAATTTAGCCGCAAACTTTTTAGCGGCACACTATCTAAATTTGTTGCGATTCTTAAACTAATTTACCTATTACAACAAATACTTGATACCCTGCCAATTGACTTCAGCTTTTTCTTAGCTCTGCTCGATATAAGAGTTAGCCATTTTTAGCGACAGTTGGCAACACTGCCGCAGAGCCACGCAAGATGCCCAGATACACGTGTAAATATATAAATATATATATATATATATATTTATATGTAAATGCCCAGGAAGCCATAAATATCGAGTATGAAACAGATTGTCGGGGTCGGGCGAAGGGCGAAGGGCGAGTTCGCGTTTGGGTGCGGATTGCCATCAAATCTGCGTTGCTCCTGGGCCATGCATATGAAATCAGCTCAGGCAGGAGAGAGGCCTCCCGTCGGACACCCGGCAACTGGCCCAAAGGCAAACAAGTGAAAATGATTTCAACTGAAACTAACAACGACTGCGCAATACTTTGTTTGCGTGCCAAAAGCGTTTGTACCCTCTAAAAGATGTCAAAATATATAAATTTATATATATATATATATATATATTCCATTCATGTCCATTCATCTTTTTATGTGAATAAACCCGACGTACTCCAAAATTAAAGCTAGGAATACAAAATGTGAAACATAAGCTGTGTACACTAAGCCTAGTTTATTAAACTATTTCGATAACTTTACAAAATCGATAAATATCGAATATTGAGGCTTTTAAACATGTCCAACTCCATTCATCTTTTTATCTGAATAAAACTGACGTACTCCAAAATAAAAGCTAGGAATACAAAATGTGAAACATAAGCTGTGTACATTAAGCCTAGTTTATTGAACTATTCCGATAACTTTACAAAATCGATAAATATCGAATATTGAGGCTTTTAAACATATCTAAAAGCACATGTTTTCTTGTTTAGCGTACACGAAAAAAATATATATTTAACCCTTTAGACAGCTTGTACTGCCTGCATCAAAATTGAAAGAAAAACCATGCCTATATCTTTGTTTTTAGATATGACATATATTTGAATGTCAGCTTAAAGACCTGAAAATCTTATAACCATCCGGCAAGAAATATACTTAGTAGTTATTCAAGACTGAACAATCCAAAGTTTGCAGTCCCAGCCTCGACTAGAATATTTTTACTTGCCTTTGTTGCTTATTTCTAGAAGTTTTATACAAACCAAAAAAGAAATAATTCGAGAGAAATCGAGATCTTGGAGATCTTGTTGGCTATTTTCGAGCCTTCAGTAAATATTTCAGCCTCCCAACTCTTCTTTATGTCACAGATGCAGATGCATATATATAGAAATAATAACACAATCACAAATTGGAATGCTCAGAAAAGAGAATTTCCTTAATCCTGTAATTTAACGGGCTTCGCATCCACCCAGTCGACCCTATTTGGCGCACTATCGACCATATGAGGCAGCGCAGAGGGCCAAGATCAATCCCAGTTTGAAGTCCATTGCGAATAATTGTTTTTGAATAAAATAAAACCCTAAGTCGGGCTCCTTATATATGCCACTCTTATAATTGCCCATCCAATCGAACAGTTAACCGATTCGACACAATCCAGACCGATTTTGTATGGTTATGAAAGAAGAAGTTACGTAAGAACTTAAGTGTTGGTCAACTCGTGCCAACTTACGAAAGATACAGATCCGATCGAATGGCCAGCACGCGTCTATATGTATTCATATAACCCATTATCTCGGGAGCTTGAACCCAAATCTTCCCACTTTCAGGCAGGCATTTTTTAAATTTTCAACTCTTTTTTCTCCCATTTGAAGATCTTTTAGATTTAGAAATAAAAACACAATCGCAAATTGAAATGTTCAAAAACAAAGATTTATTTATTCCTTTAATTGGAGCGGCTTCATTCCCGCATATTGGTACTGACCAGGCAACGCAGCACAGATGGCCAAAAGCAATCCCAGTTTAAAAGCCGTTGCGAATAATTGTTTTTGAATAAAATAAAACCCTAAGTCGGGCTCCTTATATATGCCACTCTTATAATTCACCATCTAATTGGACAGTTAACCGATTCGACACAATCAAGACCGATTTTTAATGGTGCGAATTTCTGAAAGATACAGATCCGATCGAATAGCCAGAACGGGTCTATATGTATTCGTGTATCCCGTTATCTCGGGAGCTTCAACCCAAAATTTCCCACTTTCAGGCAGGAATTTTTTAAATTTTCAACTCCTTTTTCCCCCATTTGAAGATCTTTTGGGTTTTATATGTCAGAGATATATGGATGTATGGACATGAAAACACAATCGCAAATTGGAATGTTCAGAAACAAAGATTTATTTAGTCCTTTAATTGGAGCGCCTGCATTCCGCCTCTTACGTGCTCACCAGGCAAGGCAGCACAGACGACCAGAAGCAATCCCAGTTTGAAGTCCATTTCAAATATTTCTTTTTAAATAAAATAAAACCCAAAACCTGCCTCCTTATATATGCCATATATATAAACCGATTCGACACATCGCACAGATCAATGCATGGTGAGGATATTATTGGAAAACTAGAACGATTTTTTATGGTTATGAAAGAAGTTAGGTAAGAAGTTAAGTTTTCTTAAAACTCAAACTAGAAAAATGGGCGTGGCAGCGCCTAGAAAATCTATACGAACAAATCAAGTGAGTTAGCAAACTCAAAGCTAATATGCCCCGTCTGCCTTGTGGAAAAACAGGGTAGAGCAACACGCAAAGCTAAAAGCTGTACACGGATTGGCAGGAACTGGGGACAGCGGGCGGGGGGGGGATGGGCGAGTATTTACGGTTAGCTTTGGTGCTTTGGTGTGTGTGTGTGTTATGTGTGTGTGCGTGTGTGTGTGTGTGTGTTGGTGTTGCTGTGAGCCTCAACCCGGACTCGGCTTGGCTCATCAGCATAATTAAATAGCCATTGCTCATTGTGTGCGTGTGCGTGTGTGTGTGTGTGTATGCAGAGCTCAATAAAATCTGACTCGAGCTCGAATCAAAAATGCCCTGCAAGCACACACACACACACACACACACACGCACACTCGAGGAGCAGCAGAACTGGAGGCTGTTTAAATAAATGATAAACCAAAAACGCAATCGCTCGGGGAGCATGCCCCCCCCCTCCCTCTCTCCCACTCTCTCTCGCTTACTTTCGCTAATGACTGGCCATAAGTTACGCAACAGAAGGGAGGGGCGGGGGGGCGGGGGCGTTCTTTATCAGGGCCGGGCGCAGCTGGGCCAATTCGTTGGCCTTAACGCTCAGCGCAATGCAGCTCGAAACAATGCACAAAGGCCAAAGCGCAGCATGTGGGCGGGGCAATTGGGGCGGTTGGGGGGGCGTGGCCCAAAAGACTGCGACAGCAGCGGATTACAAATATGAACGGAAACGGAAACTAATTAAATATGTAGAGCAAACTGTGTGTGCGTGTGTTTGTTTTTCTTTTTTTGTGCCTCTCTTCTCAGTTTACCTTGGACTGCATTCTATTTTATTTGTATTTCTTTTTATTTTTGCAAGGTTTTTCTTTCTGTTTTTTCTGGGCCGCAATTCAATTTTTGCCTTTTGGCCAGGAAGCGCGCCGAAAAGAAAGAAAGTGCAGCTACATCGCCCGCTGACTGGCAATTATGCCACACACACGCACACACACACACACACATACACACACACGTTTACAATAGTCACAGTTACGAGATCCCAACTCACCATTGAACTTGTGCAAAGGTCTGGCACAGCTGCAGCGAGTCTTAACATGAATGCGGCTTCGACTGGTTTTCCTTCTTTTTTTTGTCAGTTTTGGAAAAGCCAACTTTTGACACACACACACACACATAAGTGTGGCTCTGTGTATGTGTGTCTGTGTGCAATTTCCTACTGAGCCCGTTGAAAATATTAAAAAAGGGTATCATGTGTTTTTAGCTAAGAGCTGGAGACAAAACAAAAAACTTGTCAAGGTGCGGGGTTTTCACTTTATGAATGCCTCAACCCCCCCCCCCCCCTCCCCCTCCATGTCCTGCAAAGTGGAACAGAGTTTATTTTCCAAGCTAAATGCTTTCTCTTTCATAATTTGACAACCTTTTTCTGTCACATTTGAGGCCTGAAAGTTGCAGAAAGATCGAACTTCCATCAAGAAATCATTTGTCTTAGTGTGTGGAGCTAAGGGAGGGCGAAGTGAAGCAGGGTATCTGCTAGTCGTTCACTCCTGTTGCCTTTTTGTATCTTTGAGAATAGCTTTGCTTCCGCATAAACTTCGTCGCGCATCTGCCGAAGATGTTGCCAGCCGGTTTCCACTGCAGGTTGCTGCTGCTGCTGCTTTTTTTTACTGCTGCTGCAGTTGATTTTTTTACTGCTGCTGCTGCTTTTGTTGCTGCTGCTGCTGCTGCTGCTGCTGCATTATGCAATACGGGGAAGATGTGCGTTGGTTGCATTTAATGTTAATGTGCGACCGCCAACCGGTTGCCCATCAATGTAGCCCTGCTTCCCAGTCTCCCTCTCTCTCCCTCCCTCTCTCCCTCTCTCTCTCCCTCTCTCCCTCTCTCTCTCCCACTCTCACTCTCACTCTCACTCTCTCTCTCTCTCTCACTCTCTGTTGCCCGTTTATCATCATCAAGCGTTACATACGAACTTGCAACTTGATTTTCCCAGTTAGTTAATGACTTTTAAGGTCTGGCTTATATATCATATTGCTTATATATATATATATTTTAGTTTGTTGTATTTGAAATGCATTTCATTTGGTTTTACCTAATCATCGTAGCTGGCTATACTCTAACAAATTCCGGCTATATTGCACAACCAAATCGTGTTTGTAACGCATCTCAAATCCATTTGTTGTTATTCCAGTTATTGAATGTCCAAACTCTTCCAAAACTCTTCCCTCCCATATCTTCTAGAATCGAACTTATGTATATATACTTACCTTTACTTGCCTACAAAGAAGTACTTCTGCCCGGCTAATATTTTTGAAATTAGTTGAAATAAGTGTTTATAAACCTTTCTACCAAATTTGAACCGGCGACCTTTCGCTTGCTGGTTCGACGCTCAGATACCTAAGCCACACAGGCCCTAACTGGCCGTTTGGGTTCTATATGTCACACTTGTGGATATACAGAAATAAAAACAAACACAATCACAAATTGGAATGTTCAGAAAAACAGATTTATTTATTCCTTTAATTGGAGCGGATTCATGGCCATATTCATGTACTGACCAGGCAACGCAGCACAGATGGCCAAAAGCAATCCCAGTTTAAAAGCCATTGCGAATAATTGTTTTTGAATAAAATAAAACCCTAAGCTGGGCTCCTTATATATGCCACACTTATAATTGACCGTCAAATTGAACAGTTAACCGATTCGACACAATCAAGACCGATTTTGTATGGTTATGAAAGAAGAAGTTACGTAAGAACTTAAGTGTTGGTCAACTCGTGCCAACTTCCGAAAGATACAGAACCGATTGAATAGTCTATATATATTCATATATCCCGTTTTCTTGGGAGCTTTAACCCAAAACTTCCCACTTTCAGGCAGGCATTTTCTAAATTTTCAACTCCTTTTTCTCCCATTTGAAGATCTTTTAGATTTAGAAATAAAAACACAATCGCAAATTGGAATGTTCAAAAAAACAGATTTATTTATTCCTTTAATTGGAGCGGCTTCGGACCCATGCCCATGCCTATATGAGGCAACGCAGCGCAGAAGACCAAAAGCAATCCCAGTTTGAAATCCATTTCAAATATTGGTTTTTAAATTAATTAATACCCTAAGCCGGGCTCCTTATATATGCCACTCTTACAATTGCCTAGCTAATTGGACAGTAATCCGATTGGACACATGTTATACATCTTGCGGGTCTTATTGGGAGAACGATTTGTATACAGTATATATATTCGTGATCTGCATCAACAGCCTAGTCGAACTAGTCTCTCAGTTTCGAAGCTATCATATCATATAAGTAGATTCCTTGAGGTTCTTGTATGAGATACTTTTTGTGTTTTAAGATATCTTAATTATACTCCACATTTAGAGACATGTAAATAGAAAACACAATCGCAAATTTGAATGAGGTTTCTTTAATCGCGTAATTGCACCTGACTTCCCAAATTTCTATATACATTAGGCAATGCGGCACAAACGACCAGAAGCAATCCCAGTTTGAAGTCCATTTCAAATATTTCTTTTTAAATAAAATGAAACCCTAAGCAGGGCTCCTTATATATGGCAAATATATAAACCGATTCGACACCATTGCACAGATAAATGCATGGTGCGAATTTTATTAGAAAACAAGAACGATTTTTTATGCTTATGAAAGAAGTTGGGTAAGAATTGAAGTTATGTTTAACTGGAAACATATAGAAACGATCGTAGGTCTTTCCGTGAGCTTGAACCACAAACATCTTGTTAATTGTACCGATTCTTAGCCCACAATCCTTAGCCCAAATTTGGAACACATTTTTTTACCCATTTGGAGATCGAAGCCCAACTCTTCTATATGTCCTACATGTCCTACATGTAGATGTATATAAATAAAAGCACAATCGCAAATTGAAATGTTCAAAAAAAGAGAATTTATTTATTCCTTCAGGTTGAGCGGCTTATTTGGCACACTATCGACATAATTGGCATTTCCAACGACCACATTTGGCAGCACGGCAGCGCAGAAGGCCAAAAGCAATCCCAGTTTGAAGTTCATTGCGAATAATTTGTATTGAAATTTTAAATGAAACACTAAACGCGGCTTCTTTTATATGCTCGTGTTTTGCTCAGTTATGTAACCGAAGAGTAAAACGATTTAAGGTTATGGATATGCATATATAATCACATTATTATGGTTATTATAAAAGTTGTTGTTTACGAAATTCTTGTTGTTTCACGCACCAATTGCCTATTTGAATTATAAGAAAGTTGTGTAGCCAGTGTAAATCTTTGGGGTCCAGGAAAGGGCCTCAAGGTTAAGACAGCTTTAATCTGTCTGGGAGTTGTTGTTGACTCTAAATGTATCTTTCCTATATTTATATTTATATATATGTATTTATATATCTTCATTTATCTATATTTTAGATATATCAAGAGTTAGCTCATCAGTAGTCTGCATTTTCTCACATAACCCTAAGAAAGTGCAAGATATTTGCAACTAGCTCAAGATTCGTGCCCAAAACCTCGCTCATTTGCCTGATATCCCGGGTTACTTAGACACGTTCTCTGCAGATGTCTGCTTTTAAGACATACTTACTTAGATATGGACTTTAATGGCTCTATTAATTCAAGGCTTACGAGGTTAACTATGAACCGAAACTTTAGACAAATCAGTTGTCCTGAAAAGAAAAACAGCCCAAGTAAAACTTTAGCCGAAGAATTTGCTTCAATATAAGCATATTTTTGAGGGAAATCCCATAGCAAAAGCCCTAACTATCGCATTTAACTAACTTGATTTACGATTTGAACCATTAAAGTGGTTCGACGCGTAAGTTTTCTTTCTTTAAGGCTCTCATACGTATATTCGATTACATCTTGCAATGTTGATATGTTCCTCTCTCTCTCTCTCTCCCTCTATCTCTCTCTCTCTCTTTATTGCTATTATTGTTGTTTTATCATGTCTAATGATAATTTTTGCCTAATACGCATACGATTATGCTAAAAATTGGTATCTAAAAATAAAGAAATCAGGGTATCTAAGCAAACGGTGCGGCATGGAAAGCTTTTCCCCTCTTATTTTATTTGTAACAGCTGCCCTCAATGTTGTAGTTATTGTTGTTGCTGCTGCTGCTGCTGAAGTAGCTTTTATGTAAGCACCTGGTTTGATGATTTTAATATGATTCGAATTGGTCGGTCGACGGCAATTTCATAGGTCTTTTGTTTACATTTCTGGGTGAATCAAAAAAGAAAAAAAAATGTATATTCATTAAGTTGGCAAATAGATGGGCAACTGATCGGCGAGACTGGCAGGGCTTGGAGGAATGTTAATCAACCGATTTGCATGGTTACATATACCTAACCCCCTCCCCCTCTCATGAGCTGATGATAACGGTAATGAATATTGCTAATGAAGACCGTGCTACTAATCAGCAGCGAAAGCAAAACAATGGCTCCTGTCCATCATGGACAGTTATGGTTACAGATACAGATACAACAGCTGCAGATACAGATACATTGGCTGCGATGCGGATGCGGGCGCGCTCTGGCCATGACCTCGTCTCTGATGTAAGAATGAGCGGCAAATCACAGCACAGTTTCGCCAAAGCTGCAACAGAGCGTGATCTGATTGTTGTTTCTCCAACAGCCAGTGGCAAGTCTCAACCCAATTGGAAACCAATTGCGAATGAAACATGGGAAAGTACTTAAGCAAATGTCCATTCGAATTGTGTGTAATCCTTTTATTACTTCAGCCCTGTAGCCCTTGTATCTTAATTAACATTTGTAGAGCTACTTAAGCGGATGTATAGACGGAAGAGATACTTTTAAATACTATTTATTTATCCAATACATATTCTTTTATATTCTTCATTCTCTTTATTTGTCTGCCGATTTCGTAGCTAGTTCCAATTATCACTTCTTTCGCTTTTCACTGCCAAGATTTCCACTTGTTCCCCATGATTAAGGGTTTCACTTTTTGCCTGTCCTCTTTATGTTCCATTTTCATTTGTCCCTTTTTTCAAATGTTCGCATTATGTCACTTTCATTTTCATTTGTTAACGATGTTCCATTTTCAATTGTTCCCCTGTTCATATGTTTCATATTTCACTTGCTCTCATTTTCGCTTGTTCCTTAAATTTTAACCCAGAAAAAAAGTTCCACTTGTTCCCTATGATTACGTGTTTCACCTTAAATCGGTGTTCATTATGTTTGCAATTTCATTTGTTAACTTCACCAGTTCGATTTCCCATTTTCATTCTTTCCATTTTTCATATGTTTCAATTTTCACTTGTTCCTTATTTTTTAACCTGGTGAAATTTCCACTTGTTCCCCATGATTCAATGTTTCACTTTTACCCCGTTCCCATTATGTCACTTTCATTTTCATGTGTTGCCTTCACGATATTCCATTTTTACTTGTTCCTTTTTCCATATGTTTCCAATTCCATCTGTTCTCACTATCACCTGTTCCCTAAATATTGACTTCCTTTTATTTAATCTTTTTGTAAATTTATTATTCCAATATTTGGCATGTTCCGTTGATATTAATGAAAATAAACGCTCTTAATCGTTTCTTTTTAACTGATAGTTTATTAAATTGAGCATTTTAATTAACGGTGTACATAATCTGTTAAGCCGAAAACACAAATAAGCAGGCAATAAAAACATTTTGCAAATTTAAATGGATTGACACACTAACACACATAAAAATCACACTTTAGGCCCGACCATAAAAAAAAAGGGAAAAAGAAAAAAAACAATTGTAACTGGCGCAAATTAAACCAATTTTTGATGTGCAACAGCAAATGCCACAAATGCCGATGACAGCTTAATTATTTTCGAGAGACAGAGAGAGAGAGAGAGAGGGAGAGAGAGAGAGACACATTTCATATGATATTGTTAATGGGTTAACAACGCCTCAAGTCCAAGCTCAAAGAAAGAAAAAATAAAACCCGTAAGCAAAAGGGTTTGGCCAATCAAAACCCAGGCCAAGCCAACGGGGCCGTTATGCAAGTGCTCACTGCTCAACTTGTTGTTGTTGTTGTTGCTGTCTCCTTTTGTTGTGTAAGGCTAAGGCTCACGGGCAGCAACAACAACAACAACGACAACAACAACAAAAGGAATTGCCAATAGGAAGTTCATATCAGCGGCAATATTACCGTAAGCATAAACGTAAACACAATCAAAATAACTGTTAATACCTAACCAGCAGCAGCGGCAGCAAATAACAACAATAAATTACGACAAGAGAAGGGGCTCAAGGGAGCGTCGTGCGGAGGGAGGGGGGAGGGGGGGGGGGCGGTTTGTCTGCTCAACTTGCATATTAATTTAATTTTTTTTTTTTGTTGTCCATATTCGATTTAAAATTTGAATTTTAAAATTTTCGTAGCCCAACCAGATTTTCTCTTAGTGAATGAAAGTGGAGCAATGCACAGACCCCCCCCCCCCCCCTCCCCCTCCCCTCCTCAGTCGCACAACCAAAAAGAGCGGAAGAGCTGGTGGCTGTGTTTTTCTCGATCTTGATCTCGTACAAGTTTTGCAAAGGGCGCTCGTCTCGTGTGAAAGGTCAACACTCTCGAGCGCGCAAACGAAACAGAAATGAAAACGAAATTGAGAGAAGAAAATAAACGAAAACGAAAGCGAACAGCAAAACGAGGCGGCCTTCAATGGGCCGTCGTTGTCTGCAGACTCCCGCTCGGTCGCTCTCTCTCTCTCGCTCTCGGCTCAAGATTATCTTTGGCACTTGCCAACACTTACATAACGGCGACTCTGGCTAAATTCGGCGACTAGCGTTGCTTCGTTTCGTGTATAAAACGCGCCGTTGCGCCGTTTGCCGAATCATTTACAGTTTGTCGTTGTCCCAGCAGACGACCAAAAAAGGAAACGAAAGCAAACAGCAGGCACATCCTTAACTGAGCTGAGTCGGAAACCCTAGCAACATGGCGGCGTATTTCATAGTGAGTGTGACCCGTTGTTGGTGCAATTGTTTTCAGTGGATTTTAACCAGTGTCCTCCATTTGCACAGCTAAGCGCTCTGCTGCTCGCCAGTCCGGCCGTCTGGGGCAAGCCCACCTTTGGCCGGGAGCACGTCCACATACGCATACACCTGCCCGAAAGTGACGGCGGCGGCGGTCATGATCATGGCCATGGTCACGGCGGCGGCGGCGGCGGCGGCGGCGGCGGCGACATTTCCGCTTATGAGATACACGATCATAGTCATGGAGGTGGCGGCGGCGGCGGCGGCGGCGGCTACGGAGGTGGTGATGTTGGCGGATACGGCGGCGGCGGTCATGTAAGCACCTTTGCCATCATCACCGAGAACCATGGCTCCTCAGGTGGCGGTCATTACGGCGGCGGCGGCGGCGGCGGCGGCGGCTATGGCGGCGGTTACAGCGCCGGCGGACATGACCATGGACACGATGAAGGCAAGCTGGCTGTGATTGCAGCTGCTGCCGGCGGCGGTGGCGGACATGGCGGCGGACATGACTACAGCGGTGGACATGGAGGTGGAGGTGGCCATGACAGCGGCGTGGCGCACATTGCGGCCATTGCAGCCAGCTCGGATGCCTCCTCACATGGCGGCTACAGCGGCGGCGGTGGTTACAGCGGCGGCGGCGGCGGCGGTGGACATGGTCACGGTGTGGCTCAGATTGCGGCCATTGCAGCCAGCTCGGATGCCTCCTCACATGGCGGCTACAGCGGAGGCGGCGGTTACAGCGGCGGCGGCGGTTACAGCGGAGGCGGCGGTGGTGGTGGACATGGTCATGGTGTGGCTCAAATCGCGGCCATTGCAGCCAGCTCGGATGCCTCTGCGCACGGCGGCAGCGGCTACGGCGGCTACAGCGGCGGCGGCGGCGGCGGTGGACACGGCGGCGGTCATGATGATGCGCACTTGGCCGCTGTGATAGCTGCCTCCACCTCCTCCTCCTCCTCCTCCGGTTCACATGGTTCCGGAAATGTGGGCTACAGCAGCTATGCAGCGCCCGCCAGCGGCTGGGCTGGCTCCGCCGGCAGCGCTGGCTACTCCGGCTACAGCGGAGGCAGCAGCTACAGCAGCGGCGGCAGCTACAGCAGCGGGGACAGCTACAGCAGCGGCGGCGGCGGTGGCTACAGCGGCGGACACGATGATACCCAAGTAGTTGCCGCAGCTGCTGCTGGCGGCGGATCACATGGCGGCGGCGGCGGCGGCAGCGGCGGCTACAGCTACTCGGCGCCCACGGGTGGCTGGTCCGGCGGCGGCGGCGGCGGCTGGTCCTAGGCAGGAGCCACTCTGGCCATTGGTCGTCTAGTCTATGTTCATGTTCATATGGCCCATTGGATATAAGTTATGATTCGCTCACAGTCCAACATCATCTCCTCCAGCATCTGCATCCGCATCTGCATCCGCATCTTCTTCGTATTTATAGGGTAGCTGGCTAGTTTGCCCAATCTTGTATATGTGTCCATGTGTACAAAATAAAGTATGTAGTGTAATAATTTAAGAGCACAGAAAGTCGTCTCTCGCGGTCAACCGCGGCCGCGGTTATGTCAGCCGCAGACCCGGGGTGAAAGTGGCCCCAGATGGCCGCAAGATACCCCAAAAACTCGACTCATCATCAACTCATCTCACAATGATGACGCAATGTCATTCAAGAGCGATCAAGATATCATCGATGATAATTATGCGACGATCGACAAACACGTTTGCCTCGCAAACAATTAGATAATATTACAAAAGAGTCGGAAGTTGGAATGCGACTATGTGATATCTATAGAAATGTTACAGCCTTTCCAACTGATCCGTAGTTACCTTATTTAAGTGTGAACTAAGATGGGTTTTTGTTTTTGGGGGACTTCCACCCGAAAGTGTGGAAAGATCGCGGAAGACGGTTGCATGGAACTTTTGTTGCTTACCACCTATTTTCCACTTCGTGGTGTGGAAATGGGGTTAACAAATTGGATATGTGTGAAATTTCGGGCTCAAACTCATTTCCAAGGATTCTAATAACATTTCATTTGAGTCGAAAACTTGTGAAATTTTAATATTATCAAAAGAGTTGAAAGGGGTCGGGTATATATGGATAGCATTCGGGTTTGTGACATATATAGAAATGTAAAAGCCATTTGTCCTCACTGACTGACTAACTGTATCCATTTGATCTGCAGTTTTCTTCTGTTAGTGTGAATTAAGATGGGTTTTTTGGGCATTCCACCTGGTTGCATGATTTCCACCCATTTTTCACTTCATGGTGGGGAAATGGGGTATAAAAATTGGGTTGTGTGAAATTTCTAGGGATTTTTTTGTACCTTATGTGAGTGTGAAATAAGAAGGTTTTTTTTTGGGGAATTCCGCTCGTTTGCATACAACTTTTTTTGCTTACCACCCATTTTCCACTTCATGGCGTGGAAATGGGGTACTAATGAAATTTCATTTGAGTCGAAAAATTGTTTAGCCGAACTGTTGAGTACCTTTAAATGGACTTTTATTCTGGACGATCTTAGCTATAGATCGGCTATAGATCACCAAATATAAGCTTACTCCTGGGCATACTACAAAATGGCTTCAATATATTTCTCATTTGGATTTTTATCATTGATCAGTTAGTAAAATTATTCATATATATACATAGTCCAAGAATATAGCAAAAAAATGTGTAGGAAAAGCATATCGAAATGAAGTAACTGTTTCATATATATACATATATATATATATATATGCACATACATAATTATATACATATGTATATATATGTATATTGTAATAGTTGTTGTACGTTTTTGCGAGGGTTTCTCAATTAATTCACCGATCTCTTGACGCCCGACTTTTTCTCCTTCTCCTTCTCCTGTTCCTGTTTCTTCTTCTTCTCCATCTCCTTTGCCAAAACACTTTTCTTCTCCTCCTCCTTCTTCTTCTTCTCCTCCTCCTGCCTCTCCTGCTTCTCGGCCGTCTCGTGCTTCTGATAGGGTATGGTTATATTGCGATTGAAATAATCGTATATGGTAAAATAGAAGGCGGACATAACGCCCGACTTGTACAGCGTGGGCAGCATTCCCTTGTAGAAGCCCAGCCAGCCCTCCCGCTCGTACGTGGTCCGGATACAGTGCATCACCGTGTCGCAGTTGGGATTGGTGCCGAATGTCTTGCGATCGTGCTGAAAGTGGCTGAGCATGGTGCGTTTCTTGACCAGATCGGCCGGGTAGACCAACATCTTGGATAGGACGCCGGCGACGGCGCCATTGAAAAACAGCAGGGGACCGGGTATTCTGTGGTTGGGTTTGGGATCGTCGTGAAAGTATCCGTTCAGTGTGAGGGCCAAACGGTTGCAGAACTTGTAGATGACGAAATTGGCACCAACCAGCGGATAGATCTGTATCAGGGTCATCATCATACCGCTCGAGACGCCGCGCATGCCCTCCTGTTTGAATATCTTGCCCACGCCCGACACGGGCTTCAACGATCCGGCACTGCTGCCCGGATCGGCGGCGACCACCCGTGTACGGATCACATCGAATGGCTGGGCCAATATTGTGCCCATGCAGCCGGCCAGGCCGCCGCACATAAAATAGCTGAGATGCGTATGCTCGTTAAAGAATTTATTTTGATGGGCCGCCCGATGCAGTTGCTCATACGACCAGAACTGCACCAAGGCGTATGTGATGCTCATCATCTGGGCGGCTATGTGGCCCTTCCAGACGCCGCGCAGCCCCTCCTCCCGATAGATGCTGGCGAAGGCGTTCAGCATTCCGCTATATTTCGAATTTAATGACTTCCTCTTCAGGGGCTCCACCTGCAATTGGAATCGGATCTTCAGCACATCAAACGGCTGCGTTACAAACCGAGTTATTGCCCCGGAGACACCACCTCCAATCGCCTGCAGCAGTTGAACTCGCGTCGAGTTCTTGGACGTCGCCTGAAATGCGTTTCAAATCAAATTAACAGAATCTCCTCTGATTCAATTTAATTACAATTACTATTTTTCGTTGTGGATAATTCTGAAACTCTCGAAAGTAACTAACTTAAATGGCACCTGGTTGGGACACCCTGTGAAGTGTTTAATCATTTTCTTATTAGAAACTAAATTAGCTTAGACTTCATAATATTTATGGGACACCCTGTGAAGTGTTTAATCATTTTCTTATTAGAACCTGGACTGGTTTACTTTCATATTTATTCCAATTTGTCTTAGCTTAGGCTTCAAAGATTTCTGTGACACCCTGTGCTGTAGTTAATCATTTTCTTATTAGAACCTAGACTGATTTACTTTCATATTTATTCTAATGTGTATTAGCTTAGATAGGATTCGAACTTATGTGACACCCTGTGAAGTGTTTACGCACTTTCTTATTAGAACCCAAACTGATTTACTTTCATATTTATTCCAATTTGTCTTAGCTTAGTCTTCAAAGATTTCTGTGACACCCTGTGCTGTAGTTAATCATTTTCTTATTAGAATCTGGACTTTTTTTTTTCTTTCATATTTATTCTAATTTGTATTAGCTTGGATAGGATTCAAACTTATGTGACACCCTGTGAAATGTTTAATCACATTCTTATTAGAACCTAGACTGATTTACTATAATATTTATTCTAATTTGTATTAGCTTCGACTTTTAATCGTTTTAAATAGCACAAAAAAGGTATTTGTGGCAATTGCTTTTTAGATTTCTGTGTCACCCTGTGAAGAGATTGGACTACAAACATTTATGAGGCACCCTGTGAAGTGTTTCATTTCCTTATTCGAATCTGAACTGACTGACTTTCATATTTATTGTAATTTATATTAGCCAGGGTAGGATTCGAACTAATGTGACACCCTGTGAAGTGTTTAATAATTTCCTAATTGGAATCTGAATTCGTTTAATCTCATATTTATTCCAATTTGATTTAGCTTAGACCTTATAGATCGATCTGACACCCTGTGAAGAGTTTAGTCTTAAATTAAGACACTTAACAGGTTTATGTGACACCCTGTGAAGTTTTTCATTTCCTTATTAGAACCCGGACTGATACGGACAATTCATATTAGCTTAGACTTCTTAAATGACACCAAAATGAGATTTGCTCAGTTGCCTTCATAGCCTTAAGCGACACCCTGTGTTTATTCTCTACCTTACTCACTCTCTCCCTCTCTCCTACTCTCTTTCTGGTTGCAGTTGCCAAACAGCAGGTCGTCGCGTACACGCAAAAGTCGCAGGTCAAGCACGAGACGCGCCACATTCAGCTGGTGCGCGAATATGGCTTCCATCCGCGCACCAAGGCCTCCGTGGAGGACGGCGACGTATTGCCCCGAAAGTTTGAGCCCTTTCCGGAGGACATGTACGGCAAACCGCTTGAGGAGATTGACACCTTCATATACGAGGAGGTAAGTCCCCGCCCCCCCCTCCCCCCCTTAAATGCATATTAGCGTGGCAAACACAAAAGCAACAAAATATGCCAAAAAAAAAAATAACTGCATTTGGCCCATTGCCATTTCCATTGCCTTTAATTAATAGCTCACACACACACACACACACACAGATACACAGGGTGTGCCAGTTTATTAAAAAAACACCCAACCGTAGCAAAGCCCATTCACAGTGTGCAGCAAGTGGCACAGGCGGAAATGGAACGCGCTGTTGTTTTTGTTGTTATTGTTGTTGTTGAAAAGTGCAAATGCAACGACTTAATGAAAATGAATGCACTTTTGATGCCAAACTGAGGTTAATGGAAATGCAAAACGGTTAGAACAGCCCTCGTGGGCCCACTTGAAAAGCCAAATGCGCCACGGATATCAGCATAATGTCGCCCGCCAGTTATACTCCACACAAAAATAAAGGAGTGAGAGTAAATTTAGCAGCAGCTACGAAAGCAAACACAAATACACAAATACATACACACACACACAGACACACATGCAAATACACATTGCGGCAGGAAATGGGTCATGCAGAGTTTGCCTTTAAAAAAATGGCTGAGCAATGTGACGGTTGCCTTAAGCAAACTGCCGACCGACAGGTGGAGCTAGCGCTTGGTTAGGCCATGCAGCAGCCCAGCCAGTGCTGGACAAATTATAGGCGAACATGCAAGTTTACTTAAGACTTGGCGGCGTTCCATACAATACACACACAATACTCACACACGTGCACGTGTCGTGGTCAAATATTTTCAGGCAACGGGCTCGGTCAGGGTTTGAGTTGGGCCAACGTAAACATGCATTCAAATGGCCCGTAACGCCATCAGGGCTGGCGTAAATGTAACGAAATGTTGCCAGACATTTGCACGCACGCATGGCAACGCCATGCACACGTATGTGTATCTGCGCGCGTGTGTGCGTTCGTTTACATGAAAAGTAGGCGAAGCGAAACTCTGGAAACGGAAAATCAAAGTGCTTAATGGCATTTAATGGCACACTCACCAAGCCGGCCAAGCAGACGACAGCAGAAGCATGTGGCAAGAATATGATAAGACCCGCCGCATGTTTGCCAAAATGTACACAATCTGAAAGCGAATTTCCATTTCAGCTACAAGAGCTAACACAACTTTTCATTTTGAGCGCACCCGCAAACCGCACACCGCTTTTTCTTAAGCCCTCGTGCTCAACGCACACACAAACGGACCACGACCACAAAAGCACATGCAAATTTACAGAGCACACAAGCCCAAGTGAGGGGTAGAGGCGGGGTGGGGTGGGGTAGGTAATGGCCAAACTGTCGCCCAATCGTAATTTGTGCTTGTTACATTAAAATTTCTGCTTACTCGCCTGAACGACATTTATGTATGACAAACGACCTTGGGGGCGTGGCAGGCGGTTCGGTCGGTCGGTCACTCGTTTGATTATCCTTTGTCAACCTTAACAAGGGTGGCGCATCAGGCATACTTAATTGCAGAAATCACAGCGCTAATGAACCCCCTCGCCCACGGGGGCAAAGGGGTTAGAGTCTATGCTAAGAAATCGATGGAAGCGGCCAACTCCCGAGACTCCGCCTGGGTCTTAGGCGCACTTTGCCTAATTGGTGGCCCCTACACGGATGATCAGAGTTGTGTACGACGGTTTGGCTGCTACTCACGGGTGATTTTTCTCTCATATCTGTTATAGACAGTATTCCCGTCCGCAAGGTTTAGTGGTCCAAAAGTCCTTCGAATGGCCGGCCACCTTGTAGAATAAATTTTCCGGTGGTGTTTTTGTACTATATCTAAATACAGAGAATGAGCATTGTGGGCTGGCTCTATGACTTCTTGGCAGGTTGCGATAAGACGCGCAATTTGATTCAACTCACACACATGCAAGCGGGGCACACTTAGACATGTGAATACATGGAAATGAATTTGGTTATGTTGAAAAAGCACGCTCGGAATTACGTTTTTTTTTTCCCTCCGTTTTGGCAATTTAACACAATGTTATTTTTTTTGTGGAACTTTTGTAAACCAGTAATTTATTTAAAAAGTTTTCTCAAATGGAAATTTCAAAGTGAATATTGTAAAGCACATTTATTTTCTGGTTTGAAAACTAATTTTGCAATTACTTCGGGCCTCAAGTTGCCCAGTCGGCATGTTCATTTTTGTACGTCAGAAGTTCCTGTAAGAAACAGAAATTGCAACAAATAAGCATCCCATTGTTGGCCAAACATGTTTTGCGGCATTTGGAGCGCTAGCGCTCCGATGGCCTGCACTCGGTACTCACCACGAAAATGGTCGATGGCGAGGTGCGTTTACTTAGACCTTGCACGCATCTTCCTGCGCTTACGCTTCAACCTACGCATACGCTTCTTACGCCACTGTAAATATACAAGAAACACGCATAGTTGTAACAATTGCTCTTTACATATTTAATACACTTTGTTTTTTTTTTCTTTCTCTTAATTTTGCACTTATCGATTGCGAAAATAATATTTTACCTTAGCTCTCATTTTCCTTCTGGTCACGAAGACGGTCTGAGAACGAAAGAACGATGGCCCAGCGGAAGTTTAGCTGGCAGCTTCGCGTGGCCGGGTTTGACAGTTCTCAAGTATCGATAGGTCATATGACAGCTGTTTAGCATCGAGTAGTTCTGTTAAGTGGGGAGCAGCTCTGTTACTGGTTTCTGTTAAGTGGAGAGCAGTTCTGTTAAGTATCGATTAGCTAGTTAAGTTGCGACTCAGTCGATACTGGCATCGATAATAATAAAAAAATCAATTCTATATTGGCGCCAATACTTAACTATATTTCCGTTTCAGACATTTTGTGTGGTATCAAAGCGATTCCGAAAGAATTACATACACCGGTTTACGGGCACCAAAAGCCTATTTCTCTTCCATCCATGGAGTAAATGGCGACGCGTATGCGTCTACATTGCAACAAATCAATTTTTCGACTACTGCGTGATGGCAACCATTCTATTTAACTGCATTTTCCTAGCCATGACTGAGACCGTGGAGGAAGCTGAGTAAGTTCGTCTCCACAATAAGCGATAAGTCCATGAATAATCTTCCGTTGTATGTACTTACAGATATATCTTCCTAGCCATTTACTCAATTGAAATGGTAATCAAAATCATTGCCAAAGGCTTTTTGCTCAACAAGTACACGTATTTGCGCAATCCGTGGAATTGGCTGGACTTTGTGGTCATCACCAGTGGATATGCGACCATTGGCATGGAGGTGGGCAATCTGGCTGGCTTGCGGACATTTCGTGTGCTGCGCGCCCTAAAGACAGTATCCATCATGCCCGGCCTGAAGACAATTATTAACGCGCTCTTGCATTCCTTTCGCCAATTGGCGGAGGTCATGACATTGACCATCTTCTGCCTGATGGTATTTGCCCTCTTCGCGCTGCAGGTCTATATGGGGGAATTGCGCAACAAATGCGTACGCAATGTGCCCACAGATTGGACGAACATATCGCATCTGGATTGGAAAATGTAAGCAAGATACTTCTCCGGATATATGTATATGCATTTACTATGTATGATTTTTGCTACTGTTGCAGTTGGGTCAACGACACGGACAACTGGCTGTACGATGACGACGAGCTGCCCACGATCTGTGGCAACTTAACCGGCGCCCGGCACTGCCCGCTCGGCTTCATGTGCATCTGCGTCGGCGACAATCCCAATCACGGCTACACAAACTTCGACAACTTCATGTGGTCCATGCTGACAACGTTCCAATTGATTACACTCGACTACTGGGAGAACGTTTACAATATGGTAGGGCAGTTGTTTGCCTCACACCCGCTCACTCCCACTAATCCCTTTACCCTTCTGCAGGTGCTGGCGGCTTGTGGTCCGATGAGTGTTATATTTTTCACTGTGGTTGTGTTTTTCGGCTCATTCTACTTAATTAATCTGATGTTAGCTGTCGTCGCATTGAGCTACGAGGAGGAGGCGGAAATAACAAATGAGGCAAGTGGCAAACCTATTAATCCCCCAAATCTAAGCTCATGCCTGCTCTGGTTTTTTAGGAGCGCAAAAAGGATCTGTTGGATCATCGCGACGATTCCACGTTTAGCTTTGATCCATCTGTGCTGAACGTGAAGAAGCTCACCAAGAACAACAAAAAGAAGATCGACTCACGCAAAGGCGTGCTCCTGGCCTCCTACAGCAAGAAGAAGACGCGCCGAAAAAAGACCAAAGGCGGCAAAGACAACACCAGCAACAATGGCAGCAATGGCGTCGAGCAGGAGCACATTAAATCCCTCTCGGCAACGCCTAGCCCGGGACCCAGTCCGCGCAACAGCACCACAGATCGTCCCTCGGCGCTGGCCCTGCAGGCGCAGCAGCAAATCGAGCAGCAGCAGCAGCTGGTCCAAACGGAAGCGGCGGCCACTTCGCAGCAAAAGACACGCATCAGCTTTAGGGAGGGCAGCGTAAAGAATCCTAACATGTTGTACCCATCGGACTACAAGGGTCAGCTGATAACGAGCAGTCGCCAGACGAGCTCCAATTCGAGTGGCGGCGTCAATCGCGAGTCCTCTCAGGATGATTCCGGCGTTGTCGACGATCACGAGGAGCAGGACACGGCCAACGAAATGGGACATGTCTCCACAGTGGAACTGGCGCTGTCGCCGCGCGAAGTGCGTCTAATTAAATGCAACGGGAACATTGCGCGCATCAAGAATCACAATGTCTATGCCCTGCATCAGGAGTTCTCCTCAGAGGTGGTCGTGATTGGTTAGCACAAAGAGTCGAATCATTATAGTCCCTCTACACACTCAAGTTTCTCCCCTTTACAGATGATCTGCCCGATCGGAATTGTGATCGTTGCGTGCACTGCTGTGCGGATTACGAGAGCTGGCTGCAGTTTCAGAATTGCCTCTACAAGGTGGTGCGTGATCCGCTCTTCGAGCTGGCCATTACGCTGTGCATTGTCTTGAACACCGCCTTTCTGGCCATGGAGCATCATGGCATGAGCGAGAGCTTTCGCAATGCCCTGGATGTGGGCAACAAGGTGGCATTGATTGACAGTTGATTTGTAATCACAATATTAACAATTGTTTTGGTCAGGTCTTTACGTCCATTTTCACATTCGAGTGCATTGTCAAGCTGATGGCCCTCTCCAAGGAGTTCTTCCTGTGCGGCTGGAACATATTCGATCTGATTATTGTCACAGCCAGCCTGCTGGATATCATCTTCGAGCTGGTCGATGGCCTCAGCGTGTTGCGCGGCCTGCGCCTGGTTAGTCTACACTTTCGACCTACATTGTTAAACAGCTTTTAATTTGATCTTTCTGCCGTTGCAGTTGCGTGTTCTGAAGCTGGCACAGTCTTGGACAACGATGAAGGTGCTGTTGAGCATCATTATATCAACGATTGGTGCGCTCGGCAACCTCACGTTGATCCTCGTTATAGTCATCTACATATTTGCCGTGATCGGCATGCAATTGTTCTCCAAAGACTACACGGCCGAAAAGTTTGCTCCAGATCCCGTGCCCAGGCAAGACAACAGCTAGATATGTGTGTTTGTGGCTGTACAAATAATTATAATATTCTTTTATATAGATGGAATTTCAATGATTTCTTTCACTCGTTCATGATGATTTTTCGCATATTGTGTGGCGAATGGATTGAACCGCTCTGGGATTGCATGCGCGCCGAAGAGGAGGTAAGCTTTGCAATTTATACCATTAATAATATCTAATTATACTTTACAATAATTTTCGAATTCACAGCAAGGCGCCTCGACCTGCTTCGCCATATTTTTGCCCACTTTGGTAATGGGAAACTTCATGGTCCTAAACTTGTTCTTGGCCCTGTTGCTCAACAGCTTCAATTCCGAGGAGCTCAAATCAAAGAAAGAGGCAAGTCCGATGCATTTTCCCGTTTCGCAAATCTTTTTATCAATTGTTATGTAAATGTTTATGTCTAAACGTTAAATGTGTATATGTGCGTGCAAAACAATGTTAAACCACTTAAACAAAGGAAATGCTTTAAACAAAAACCCAAGTCTTCAGCACAAGCCTTGCTTGTCATAAAAACCAAAATGCTAAAAACAAAAAGTAATCTATTAACCATTTATATAACTTATATACGAATTTGCATTGCATTGTTTGTTGGGCGTGAATGTGTGTGTCTTTAACTTAGCCAAGTAATTAACAAAAAAAAGAAAACACATTTAACACAAATGCATAAAAAAATTGATGCCAATTGAATTATACACTGAAAGAAAATATAAAGCACTCTTTACAAAAGGTCTAACATACACACAACTATTTAAATTAAGCGCCCAAATTCTCATTTTCATTCGCCAAAAACTATTTTAAATGTTAATTCATTATTTTTATATACGCACAACAAATATTTTGTGCTCAATTTCGGCGCTGCTCGAAATTACGTATTTTCGTTGTTGTATTTATTAAACGTGCATTTCTCTTATATAATCCTGTCTAAGTCTCAGTGTCTAAGTCTTTAATATCTATGTGATAATATTTCTATTTGCACTAAATCTACTTGAATTTACTAAAAGAAAACTAAACCTTTGTTCGTCAACTTTGCACAATGCGTTTAAACTTTTAAATACTAAACACACACACACACATACCACAATACACTAAAAAATACCAAAACAAAAAAGTAAATAATACCCCAACAAATACCAATATTTAAATACACAAAAACCGTTAAACAGATTTTCAAGAAAAAGGTAATTTTTTCAAACTCAAACTTAAAAACTTACTTAAACAAATTGTTTGCTATTTTTTTGTTCATTTAAAAACAAAAAAAAAAATCTTAATTAAGAAAAATTTAAAAACCGCGTGTAAATAATACCCCAAGCTGCATATATTGATTGTTAATGTATTTGTAAAATTTGCAACTTTTGTGTTTCTCGATGTTTAGCTTTTTGCCCTTAGATTGTATATTGCATTGGATAAATGATTGAATATATATATATATATTTATATGTGTAAACATTCCAAAAAAAAGAAAATTGTAGTGAAACCTTTAATTTTGCATACCCTGCACAATGCAACGCGTCGGCTAATCTAGACTTTTCTCTTCGTGTAGGAGGTGGGCGAGGAGTCAAAGCTGGCCCGCAGCATTGAGCGTGTGCGCGATCTGATACGGAAGAAGCGGCAGGAGCGCAAGGATCGCAAGGAGCGCAAATATGCCGAAAAGTTTCAACAGATTGTGCTCGAGGCGCAGCAGGCGCATGTGGCGGCCAGAGAAATGGACAAGTCCGGCCTGCTGGCGGAAACCAAGTTCCATAGATTAAGCTACCAGGTGAGTGATCCATACTATATTCAATGTAAGTCGCAGCTTATTAATGATCCAAACATTTACAGGAATCTATGAACCGACCAGTCTCTGGCTCGGATTTTGGCTTCCAAATTCCGCTCAGCGATGGCCTGCACACCATTGTCGATGGCCTCGAGTACGATGAGTCAGCGGAGGCGGCAGACCAGCAGCAGCAGCAACAGCTGCAGCAACCGTCCTCTGACTATCTGCCACCGACCTACGAGTGCGCCATGCTGTCCGCCACGAGCAATGGCCACAGCAATGGTGGCGACAACAATGTGACATCTCTGGCTGCCACGCCGCTGGCGGGCAGATTGCAGCATCAGATCTCCTCGGGCGTGGGCACGCAGCAGAACGATTCGCGTGACGAGGCCACCTACACGGAGTCCATAGAGCTGCGCCTGCTCGGCCAGTACAACTCGACGGACACGGATCCCTATGCGTATGCGGCGGATCAGCGCAGCGGCTCGTTTGCGCGCGGCGACTCGCTGCAGGACACCGACGAAGCGTATCTCAAGTATCAAAAGTCGCTGCTAACGCGATCGCCCAGCTACCGCAAGTCGCTGGATCGCCTCTCGCAGTCCAGCGGTCAATCGCAGCGTTCGCTGCTGCCCTCACGCAGCCTCAAGTCGGAGGAGAGCGCCATGCGGCGGCACTCGAGCGGGCACTCGCTGAACTCCATATCCCTGGAGCAGGATGAGCTGCTGTCGCAGCAGGCGAATCTGCGCGAGGAGCTGCTCAATTGCGATCAGAAGGAGCTGTTTCAGTTTCTGCAGGAGGACGACGAGCTGCTGGCCAAGAAGAAGCAGACAACCACCAGCAGCATCAAGTCGAATCTCAGCTACATATCCAATTCCATAATGCAAACACTGGACTCGAGGCACTCCAGCACTGGCAATGGGCAGCAGGAGAGCGAACCGCTGATGGAGCACTCCGAATTTGACAATATCATACAGAGTTTTGAGAAGGAACTGGAGGAGATTAAGCGCTCGACCAGCTCGCTGGAGCGCAAAATCTCCACGCTCGCCGAGCCGTCGCCAGCTGCGGATGAGGCGACCAAGGCGATAATGGATCATATTGCTGTGATAACCGGCGCCTCGGAGCGCACCGCTGCCGATGAGGTGGTGCATCCGCTGAATCCCTACGACAGCTACGATCTGTCCAGTGTGCCGCGACGCTCGCAGTCTGTCAGCGCCGCCGCTCAGCGTCAGTCCGTCAAGCTGAAGCGCCGCAGCTTGGAGAAGCAGCGCAAAATCGACGAGGACTTCAGCATATCGAACGAAATACGCAAAATCTGTGATCAAATACACGCACCCTTCGCGGCCATGGAGGCGCTGGCCGTGGCGGCCACCAGTGGCAGCAGCAGCACCGGCGGCGGCGGACAGTCGCCCTTTATGCGCCGGAAGAATGATCCGTTTAGCGTGCAGTTCGATCGTTTTAAGCGACTGTCGCTGATCGAGCGTGTCGAGGAGCTGCCCGAGGAGGATAAACCGATATCGACGCTGCGCATCGAGTCGGAGAAGATGCCGCGCAAGTTTCTCAACAGCGAACAGCTGCGCCTCGACAGCCTCTCCCTGAAGAGCACCAATTCGTATGAGAATCTGCTCATACAGAAGCAGCAATTGTGCCGCGATCCCAATTTGGGTGGTGGTGTGCCGGCAACGCCGCCCACATCCCTGAAATCGAGCATTGAGCCACCAACACTGGCGCAAATTTCATCGCTAAAGGCAACACCGCCGCTGGCTGCCCTCACGGAGCACCAGCAGCATTATCATGCCACAAGCATACAAACCACAATTCCAACAACAGCCGCAAAGACAATGCACCCAACGGCTGTGGGCGCGGCTTCGAAACGCCGCGCCGAGCATCAACAATCGAGACTAGACAAAGCCGCTTCCTTTCAATCGGGCCGCACCGAATCGCACAGCTCGGGCGCCGCCGATAATAGTAGCTCGGCACATGCCGGTCCACGGTCCATGTCCAATGGCCAGCAGAAAGCAGAGCGGGCTAGCGAGAAGACTGAGCCGACGGCGGCGGCGACAACAACAAAGCCCACATCGTCGTCGGCGTTTTCACGACTGACCGAAAAACCATGGCATTGTCTGGTTTCCTACGTAGACGATCTCACTGTCGGTGGGAGACGTAACTCGCAGGGCGCCTACAATGATCCCATGACTTTTCCGAGCTATGGCCAGGCAAAGCCGCCAAAAGTGCCAGACGATTGCTTCCCACAAAAGTGCTACGATCAGTGAGTATCCCATATATAAACTATATATAAAACTAGAACTCAAACCATGAACAAAGACCAAAACCTCACGAAAATCTGTTGAGTTTTGACCGAGATATGGCATGGAATAGACCTACATATGTCTATAAAGGATTTTTAAGGGTACAATATGTACATGAGTTTGGACCCAAAATGATGTTGCCAGATTTAAATGCCAAATTAATATAGGGGCCAAACCATTAACAAAAAGCCCAACTTTGTGAAAATCTGTTGAGTTTTGACCGAGTTATGGGATGGGGAAATTTTGACATTGTCTATATAGGATATTGAGGGTACCATTTTTACGTGAGTTTGCACCTAAAATTATGTTGCCAGATTTAAATGCCAAATTGTTATAGGGGTCAAACCATGAACAAAAAGCCCAACTTCGTGAAAATCGGTTGAATTTTGACCGAGATATGGGATGAGGAATTTTCGACCCAAGTCTATATGTCTATATAGGATTTTTGAGGGTACAATATTTAGATGAATTTGGACCCAAAATTATGTTGCCAGATTTAAATGCCAAATTGATAAAGGGGCCAAACCATGTACAAAAAGTCCAACTTCTATATAGGATTTTTTAGGATACAATATTTACATTATGCCTTTGCATTTGAAAGATTATTCATTTGACCCGGCCGCTGCCGGGTAATTTCTTCAAGTAACGTAACGTATACATAAAATGATTTCTAAATTTTCGTGCAGCTTTTACTTCCGGTGTCCGTGGTTCATGTCCTGCATGGACACACCGAGCGCCAAGCATTGGACACGCGTGCGAACGGCTGTCTTGACGGTTGTTGATACTCCAGCCTTTGAGTGGTTTGTGCTGGTGCTGATCTTTGCGTCGAGTATTACGCTCTGCTTCGAGGACATCTATTTGGATAGCAATAAGACGCTGAAGCGCGTGCTCTACTGGACGAATTTCTCCTTTAGCCTGATCTTCGTTTTGGAAATGGTGCTCAAGTGGCTGGCGCTGGGCTTTTCCAAATATTTCACCAGCTTTTGGACCATACTCGATTTCATCATAGTGTTTGTAAGTAATACTTATACATATATGCCCAGCATTTGTATATTTATGTGTATATATCTTTTGGGTAGGTCTCCGTTTTCTCGCTGCTCATTGAAGAGAATGAGAATCTTAAGGTCCTGCGCTCACTGCGCACCCTGCGCGCCCTGCGTCCACTGAGAGCGATCTCTAGGTAAGTAGCCGCCCGGGTCGCCTAGGTTTAGATTGCACCAACTGCTGCTGATAAGCGAGACTTCTCTTAATGCTCTTAACTAATGAAGTAAGCTCTCTGTCTACGTAGGTTTCCATTTTCTTGTATGTATCTTATTTGTTTGAACGATTCGGCATAAGCGTTGCCCGAGCTTTAATACAATCTCGTCTTCTTTATGAATTTCGAATAGAAATCTATTTGTAGTTCACACTGTCACAATGTCCCCCAACTTATGTAAATAGCTAACGAATATAGTTGATAACAACCTTTAAACATTGTAAATAAGCAGTTAACACTATTGTATATAATATATAAATAATATGTGTAGATTTTGAACAGATGAGAAACGAAAGCACATTCCTCTATATATATCGGCTTTAATGTATTATTGTAGCTACCCATCCCCCGTAACAACTTTGGCATTTCATAAAACATTTCTATTCCAGGTGGCAAGGAATGCGGATTGTAGTAAATGCTCTCATGTATGCAATACCATCAATTTTCAATGTACTTTTGGTTTGTTTAGTTTTTTGGTTAATTTTCTCAATAATGGGTGTACAATTCTTTGGTGGTAAATTTTTCAAATGCGTCAATGAATTGGGCGAATTGCTGCCAATTACTGTAAGTAACAAAAAAGACTGCCAAAGCAGGCGAATCGCATTTAACCAACCCATAATTTCCAGCTTCAATTAATATGTTTCACATTTCCAAAACTTACAGGAGGTCAACGACAAGTGGGACTGCATCGAACAGAACTATACGTGGATCAATTCGAAAATCACCTTCGATCATGTGGGCATGGGCTACTTGGCGCTACTGCAGGTGGCCACCTTTGAGGGCTGGATGGAGGTGATGGCGGATGCTGTGGATGCGCGGGGCGTTGATCTGCAGCCGCAGCGCGAGGCCAATTTATATGCGTATATTTATTTTGTTATATTTATTGTGTGCGGATCGTTCTTTACGCTCAATCTGTTCATTGGAGTTATCATTGATAACTTCAATATGCTCAAGAAGAAGGTAAGCCATGTGGCCTAAGCTCCTGCTCCTGCTCCAGCCAAAACCATGCTATGCATTTGTTTATCTGTATAAAGTACCTATCCAACCCTCTATACCTATACCTCACCTCACCTCACCTCACCTGAACTGAACTGAACTGTACAATACATTATCTATTTACCCTCCTCCCAAATTGTTGCTGTTATTTCATTTATCGATGTTATATAACTAGCGTGTGTGTGTGTGCGTGTGTGTTCTATCATTTGATTTATTTACTTACTTATGTGTATTGTATGTATTTGTATATATAAATAAATGTTCGTTCTATTCTCATCACTTTTATAGTATGAAGGAGGAGTGTTGGAAATGTTTCTCACCGAATCTCAAAAACATTATTACACCGCTATGAAAAAATTGGGACGAAAGAAACCACAGAAAGTTATTAAGCGACCTATAAATCATTTTTTAGCTATGTTTTATGATTTATCCAATTCGAGAAGGTAAACAAAATAACCAACAACAACAAAAAACCAGTTTTCTGCAAAACCCAAAAACAAATTGCTTACTTCTATATAAATTTAACTATAGTTTTAATTATATACTTACTGTTAGTCTTATAATACTCTGGTTAGGCACACACAACTCTCTCTCTCTCTCTCGCTCTCTATATATATATATAAATTTATATACTTTTTGATTTGGTGATAAAATCCATTTGAACACTTCACATTCTCCGCATTTGATGATTGATTCGATGGCCGGTTTGTTGGCTGCTTCTTTAAACTTGCCAAAGAAGTCGCCCAAAGTCGCCAAAACCAATGCAAACTACAACTTTTCCAATCCGATGTTTATATAGATGTTTTAGAGCACTTATATACATACATATATATATATATTATAAATGTTTCCTAATGCATTCCCAATATTTGTAAACTAACGCACTTTGTGAAGTGTGGGCATGCTCTATAAAGTAACTAGTTACAGATCTGGCATATTTAGTGGGGGTTCCTCTTAATCTATGTAACTATTTTATACAATATTATGTTATATTATAAATATATATCTATATCATGGCTGCAAGATGATCAAAAGCAGTTAAGAGACAGAGCTGCAAAGTCAAAAGGAAAAGTCGCTGGTTCGGTTTATGGTTCAAGCCAACTCCTTGACTTTAGGAACGGTTCGTTTTACAAATTCTTGAATTTACAATTTGCCGATCTATTAAACAATATTGCAAGCCGTAAATATTATTTGATCTCTGCCCAAAAATGACATCTACTAAATATGTTTCGATAAATCCAATTCTTGAGACATTGTCAAAAGTGTTTTCTTTTGAAACAAATCTGCAAAAATGTTTTCGATTCGTGCTTCGATTTGGCTGTTCATTGGGCAATTGGTTTGTTTTAGGGTTCGGTTCGTAGTTAAATATAAATTTAATATTAAATATTAATTTTAATTCGCCTTGCAGCCTTGATATCTCTTAAGCATGTATATATAACTAGCTCTAGTCTTAGCGTATGCTACTCAAATGTATTTGTATATAAAAATATTTGTAGTTTCGATTTTGAGCAGCATCTGCACTTCGGCACGCATCGAAGTTTGTGTCTTATTATTATTATTTTTGAATCAAACTCGTTTACTTAACTTAATATCTGTTTATAATTTCATATACTTTGGTGTTTGTGTCCGCCATTATATCCACCATGTATACGAATCGTCATCGAACAATTTATGCAGATTCGAAATAGCGATATTTGTACTGATTTTTCTAAATATGCTTACCATGGGCATTGAGCACTACGATCAGCCCCATGCCGTATTCTTTATATTGGAAGTGAGCAATGCATTTTTCACCACGGTCTTTGGTCTCGGTAAGTGCGAATATCCTTAACTTATCTATTTTATATTACAATTTATGTTTTCACAGAGGCCATCGTTAAGATTGTGGGACTGCGTTATCATTACTTCACGGTGCCGTGGAATGTGTTCGACTTTCTGCTGGTGCTGGCCTCCATTTTCGGCATACTCATGGAGGACATTATGATCGATTTGCCCATCAGCCCGACGCTGTTGCGTGTGGTGCGCGTCTTTCGCATCGGTCGCATCCTGCGACTGATCAAGGCCGCCAAGGGCATACGCAAGCTGCTGTTTGCTTTGGTCGTTTCGCTGCCGGCGCTCTTCAATATTGGCGCCCTGCTCGGCCTGATAACGTTCATCTATGCCATACTGGGCATGTCGCTGTTCGGCCATGTGAAGCTGCAGGGCGCCCTGGATGATATGGTAAACTTTCAGACATTTGGACGCAGCATGCAGCTGTTGTTTCGCCTGATGACCTCGGCGGGCTGGAACGATGTGCTCGAATCGCTGATGATACAGCCGCCCGTCTGTGATCCGTTCTTCAATAGGCAGACGAACGGCGACTGCGGCCATCCGCTGCTGGCGATCACCTACTTTACGAGCTTCATTATAATCAGTTATATGATTGTGATTAACATGTACATAGCCATCATTCTGGAGAATTTCAATCAGGCGCATCAGGAGGAGGAGATTGGCATTGTTGAAGATGACTTGGAAATGTTTTACATACGTTGGTCCAAGTAAGCCAAAATGATTGCCAAAATGATCGCGAGCCGTCGCTAAGCATCTAAACGGGTGTGATTTATTAACCTGATATTCAATTGATATCGTTTCAGATATGATCCACATGCCACCCAATTTATACACTTCTCGCAACTGTCCGATTTTATTGCCTCACTCGATCCACCATTGGGCATCTCGAAGCCCAATAATGTCGCTTTAGTGTCATTTAATCTGCCCATCTCTAAGGGCAATAAAATACACTGTCTCGACATTTTGCACGCGCTAGTTAAGCACGTGCTAGGTCATGTCGAGGAGACCGATAACTTCAAACAGTTGCAGGAACAAATGGATGTCAAGTTCAAGAAACAGTTTCCAACCCGCAAAGAATTGGAAATTGTTTCGTCGACGCGGATCTGGAAGCGCCAGGAAAAGGCAGCCAAGACCATACAGACCGGCTGGAAGGACTATTTGCGGTACTAACAATAACAGCAGCTACCTAATCTATATAAATTATATATATATATATATATATATATATATGTTTAATGATTTCACTGCTCTTTCACAGGCGCAAGCTGGAAAAGGAACGCTCCAATTCTGGTGACAGCGCAACGCAAACCTCCAGCCCCGGCGGCTGGCAATCGAAGCTCTCCGCGCTCAATTTCTTCCATCTGCAGGTGAGTCAAGCCGACTGCTTGGCCATCCATCTCTCTCTTGCTTTACTTATGCCTACCCAATCTTTCTCAGGTGAGCCGTCGCGGCACCGCCTGCTCCAGTCGCGCCTCCTCGCGCAAATCATCGCGCGCCTCGGATGGCTCCGATCTCAGCGAGCTGGCCGGACCCTGGCTGAATCTGCCGCTTATGCTCGTGTCGGGCGCCGATGATGTGGTCAAGGATATTAAACAGCAGAGCGATGAGCTGGGCAAACGGTATTTAAACTCATCCATACACACACACAAACACACACACAAACACACACACGTGTATGTATTCATATGCGTGTTTCGATATGCAATTTTTAGACGAAAGGCTTTCACAATCATGAACAGCAAACAGCAACATTGATCAAAAATGAAATTCTAACGTATTCTCTGTGTTCCACAATATATATGAACTTGAGCCCTATTTTTAGCATATCCTCTTGTATCTCCCTAAACTATGAGTCCTTGCTCGCCGATATGGTCACAGCCGTTTTAAGAAGTGGCTCCCAGCCGAATGGCTTGAATTATTTAGGTAAAGGCAATGCTCACACCAGTTGGCTAACAACAACAACAACAATAACAACAAACAAAACTACAATAGCAATCTCTCAATTTTGCTTTTAAGTTCTCTTCAATAACTCGCCGCCACCAGCTCACTCGCATATAACTCTCTCTCTCCTCTCTCTCTCTCTATATATATATATATAACATATATCTTTATATGATATTAATATTTACCCAGTACTCGTACAAGTCGACTTATAGTTAGTTTCTACATCCAAATCGCGCCTCATTCAGCAAAGCAAAACCAAAAAACAAATCGATTCTAAAAGTAAAATATAAACAGTTTCTCTCATTGCTGCAAATGCTCTATAAAAAAAAAATAAAACTCTACTTATACAACAACTACAAACTATTTGAAGTTCTAGTTCTGAAATAATGAAATTATCAAATTTATAATTTGTAAGTAGTGCTCTCTCTAAACGAAAATCGTTCGTAAAATATTCTCTCTGAAACAAATATATAAATTCGTTGAATGTGTAATTTTAGTTGATTATCTTCTGAGTTGCCTAGCCGCTGCTTGCCCTTTAAGATCTATCACGAATATCATTATATATCTTATTCGTTTATTCGTTTTATGTAGCAGCATATCATTCCTACCCAAAATACACGACTATCAAATTATCCTCAGCGATCTTTGAAGGCAGAGAAGACACTTTGAATATCGCTGCCAAAAGCAAAAAAAAAAAAATACCCTACACCAAATTGAGCAATCGAACTATATACACTATATACGACCACATACCCTGTATTATAATAATGTACAGCTTATTAAATTGCAGCTTTTTTGTACAGTTCTATGACAACTTGAATCCGTAATTTCGTCAAAAAATTGCAAAGATACAGAGTATTTTGTACACATATCTGTATCTGTATCTATTATCTGTCATAATTATAACTCTATATTCTACAGTTTCTAATTACGAATGAATATTCAATTAAAATTTTTTGGTTTTCTTTTCTATCGATTATCATTTCCAATTACTATCATTAGCGGTAGCATATTTGTGGAAGCGCCTAGAGCAAATCGTCGCCGAAGCTTTTATAATTTCTTTTTGCGTCATCAGGATGCTGTCGATGACAGCTTAACCTCACCTTCAGTACATAGAAAAAGTAATTATTGACAAGTGCCTAAATCCACTCCACTCAATCAAACTATCACTCAATCAATCAATCAATCAATCAATCAATGTTTGTGTATATATTCTCTTGTACATAGCCGCCACCATAGACCATGCACCAACAATTAATTATATATTATCTATGCTCACATACGTTTAAAATGTAAATCATTATCATGTGGCTTTTAAGTCTCTCTCTCTCTCTCTATCTCTGTCGATCCTTAACTCAAACTCAAAGTTTTTGTCATTGTGATAATCGCACATCAAACGTTGCTTTTGCCAATCAAATATCATCGTTGTACAAACACCTGCAATTTATTAATCGTTTACCTCATGACATACTCTTTCTATACCTTAACATTAACTTACGTAAATACTACTTACTTTTTAAGTACACTCCCCTTACCGACTAAGTTCCCAATCCTCACTAATTGCTATACTACTTACTAAACCACTTACTATAATATTTACTATACAACTTACTGTACTACTAACTATTTACTGACTATAAACCGACTACTTACTCATTTTTACTTATTTAGTACTTTTTTACTACTCATACAAGTTAATGACTACTTACTGCTCACTACTATATGACGACTACTTGCTATATACTGACTACTACTTTTTAGTACTTATTTAGTACCTTCTTACTGACCTGCTACTTACTATTTACTCATTACTCATTACATACTTACTAGTTATCTTCTATTTTCTCACCACTTACATACCATTTACTACATATACGCCGAATACTTGCTTTATACTGACTACTTACTACTATTCACTACTCATTTACTTATCTTCTTACTACTACTGACCCTACTACTTACTCACTATATACTTACTAATTACTCATTACTTACAACTTATTTACTACTTACTACATATATGCAAACTACTTACTATGTACTGACTACTTACTACTTTTTACAACTTATTTAGTACCTTTTATCACTACTGACCTACTACTTATTCACTTAAATACTTACTATTTACTCATTTCATAATACTTACTACTTACTCACTTCTTACTAACCACTTACTGACTACTTACTACAAATATGCCGACTACTTACTACTATTTAGTACCTTTTCTCACTACATTATTACTATACTTACTACTACTATTACTGACTACTATTTTCTCACTACTAACTAAGCACTAACATCATACTTGCTGACTACTTTTTTAGTAGCTTCTTCCTATTACTGACACACTACTTACTATTTAATATTTCTTTCTACTTACTATTTACCTACTACTTTTTTAATTACATATCATTTACTGACTACTTACTACATATACGCCGACTACTTGCTACTGACTACTTACTACTACTGACCTACTCCTACTACCTACGCCTTACTCACTACATACTTACTATTGACTCATTTCATATACTACTTACCTACTACTTACCTACTACTTATCTACTACTTACCTACTACTTATCTACTACTTATCTACTACTTACCTATTACTTACCAACTTCTTACTTGCTACTCACCTACTATTTACTACTCTATTAATCCCTATTTGAATAAACTTTGATCTTTGCCCTTTATGACACATTCCTTTGTATATTGTGCTAATCACAATTGTTTGTCACTAATGCGAGCATTTCACCAACAACAGCTGCAATGAACACCAACAACACCACAACCTCAACCTCCACATCCGCCTCTGCCTCTGCCTCCGCCTCCGTCTCTGCTAGCGCCACCAACGTTGAAAGTGACAAGCAAACGCAACAACAACACCAACAACAGGTGGCGCCAACTCCAACGCGTAAGCGCGCGTCTAGTTTTATACGCAAGAAACCGCCCCTAGAAAGAGGTTTGTCAGCACAAAGCGCTTTAAGAGTTAACAAGAACGCTTATGTCTGTATGTGTGAACCGTAACCTTAATCCCTGGAGCAGCCTGACTTATGTATTTCCCTATTTTGCACCCTTACAGCGGAGGCCGCGGCGCCGGAGGTGATTGTGACGAAGCCATCGCCGGAGCAGCAAACGCATCCGCACGTGCATGCACTCGGCCTGCGGCCGGACAATGCGACGCTGGTGCATGTGCTGGTGCATCGCGAGAGCGAGGAGTACAAGGATGAGGACGAGTGTAGCCTATCGTCACCTGGCCATGGCTCGACAAACGGCAATGGTCAAGAGAAGCCAAAACCGCCGCAAATACGCATCAGCACAGGCTCATCCGAGAGCGCCATGGACACCAGCCTAATGCCCACGGTACAAATAATGGTCGACAGCCCAAAGGAGCCGCCGCGTGGCGATTTCAGCACTGACAGCGGCTATCCAAATGCTGCCCAGCCGCCGCCGACCATCGATGTGGATGCGCCCATCGATGTCAATGTGCAGGGCGATACATCGCAAGTGTTCTACGACTACAATCCCGAGTCCAATCTTGATAATACAAATGATATAGTCGCGTTAGAGGAGCAGCCGCAAGCGCCGCCCGATGCCGAAGATAAACAGAGATGACCTTCAGTTAACATGGAAGCGCAGCTGCCAGAGCCGGAACAGAAGCAGCACACAGGTAGATGCAGCAGCAGCAGCAGCAGCGAGACGATTGGCTGCAGCAGCGCCAGCAGCAGCACCTCATCAGCTAGCCAGTCAACTGGTGCCGCCGGGCAGCGTCCAAGTTGACAATCTCCAGTCTGAGAGCACTTTTCATGTGCATATGGGAGAGTATTTTTAATTGCTTAGAGCTAGGCACGGGGCGAACGTTTGCCCCTTTGTTATTCTAGTCGATTAATTATATATATATATAGTCGCTTTATACGATACTTAAACAGAACTATCCAAAGTTTATATCATTCTATATACATATATGTATAAATATATATAAGTCTTGGCAACAGTGCGCTGTGCGTCCAGCCAAGTGTAGCCTAGTCCTAGTCCTAGTCCTAGTTTAGTTTACGAAATCAATATAAACTCTGTGTTAACAAAACGTGCATTAAACCGTACAGTACGTACACGTTGTAATACTCAAATCAAATCAAAACCAAACAGATTAAGACACTAACATTAATAGTAAAATTTAACATTAACATTAACATTAACATTAACACTAACATTAACTTGATATATGATATAGCTATGTATAAATAGGAACTAACTAATTGGTTGGTTTTTCGTTATGTCAGTCTGTCAGTCAGTCAGTCAGTCAAGTGGCGATTTCGAAGATATTTTAAAGGTTGTTTTTATTAATTATACAATACAATACAATACGATACGATACGATACATACATACGTAGATATATATATACCTACATACATATTGTAACTAACAATCGCGTCGTAGACTTAGGCCCGTAATCGTAATGATAGAGTTTGTTTTTCTTCAATGCAATAAATACATATGTATATATATGTATATGTACAAGTACATATATGTATATATATAAATTTGTACATATGCCAAAGGAAGTATTTTAAAGCTAATTATATACATACATACATAACTATTCATAGCAAACATTCTACTTTAGTATATAGAAAGAAGCATACGTTATTTATAAAAATTAGTTAGCGACAATTGAATGAAATATTTATGACAGGTTTTTCCTATTTTCTCCAAAACTTTCTTTTCGTTCGATTAGATTATATGTACTTATAATAGCCATACCGATCAAGTGTATAAGTACAAACAAAATGAGAAGTATTATAAAGTAGTTTTTCAATGCTCGCATTATTTCTCAAAACAAATTCAAGAACAACTCAAACTATAGCCAAACGAATAATGTCAAGTGATTTAAACAAAAATTCCCAAAAAAAAAAACCAAAATGCAATCGAAATCAATCTAACAAATTGTATAAGGCCCAGTCGGGTATTTATTTATACATATACTCACACACAAAATCGAATAAACTTTATGCTGTAATACCTAAAAAACGTACCAAACTTACAGGCAGTTTGAAGACCGCAGTCCTACCTAAGCAATGTGCATTGTGTACCAGTGAGAACTTTTATTGTACGGCAACTAAACGCAATATCGTGTACTTACCAATGTTTCTTTATTTAGTCTAACTAATTGTGAAATCAAAATTGCATAAATGCTCTTCTATACAAGCTTCCACAAAACATTGATGATACATATATATACAAATATATACATTAATTATAATTACGAAACTATATTTAACTATATACATATATACTTATATTTGTATTCTATTTTATTAGGCCTCGGCCAAGTTTCGAAGAAACTTATTTGACAAACTTTCTGTGAGATCAAAATGGTTTGTGTTTACTTAGCTGCATGCAATCATATATTAAGTTTTAACATCGAACAGTATAACTCTCCTCTAATACACACAGACACTTCTATACTCTACTCTCTAACTTAACAACAGACAATCAGACGGCGATTGATGAAAAAAAAAATTGAAATTATGGTACCAACTAAATCGTTTTTCTCCAAAGACAAACAAAATAATTAAACAAATACAAACAAAGACGTACACACTTGTGATTTTAAATGCAATTTTTACACACAAACCAAAAATCATATAACTTTTAATTAGAATTGTTAACAACAAATTGCTAAATGAATAACAAATGTAATAATTGTAATATTAAATTGAATACAACAGACAGAAACCAAAAACACTCGTCAATTAAGTGATATTTATAATTGGTACATAGGCATAAAAACCATTTGCAAGAATTATTATACATGCATACCTATATACATATATATATATATACATAATTATATATATGTGTATGTGTATTGTACCATAATGTAGTATTTACAATAGAACTCATATTTCGATTTGTACATAAAACAGAAATTATAGCAATAGAAACCAACAAACAACAACAAAAAACAAAAAAGAACAAGCTTTAATTTGAATTGTGTCTTTAATAATAATAATTGCTTAACTAAAATGTACTCTTTTTGATTAGGCTGGCATAATCGCGTCTATAGTTACAAATATAAGCCCAAAACACAAACATTTTATTTAGTCATAGAGTATAACGACAATAAAACGAACCGAGGCATATATATTAATTAATTAATGAATATAACGCAAAACCTGTGCCAGGGGCCAGAGCTTCAAATCCGAAAAAAATTAACAACAAAAAGTTACAACAACAAAAATCAATGCGAACCACACGCTGCAGAGACCCTAGCAATTATGGTAGACCCATATAAGTCCAAAAATCGAACAATGTACCAAAACACAGCAACAGACAAAGAAAAAGAACAACAACAACAACAAAAAAACAGTCCTATGCATTTAACCATAGCTCATAGCATCGCAGTGCAGCGAACCGAACAGGTTATACAAAAAAAAAACAATAACAAATGCAAATGAAATATATTGTACATGTACATATAGTTAATGGCAATTGAGTACAGTTTGATTAGGCATGCCTTACAGAAGAATACACGATTTTATTTGTTGTACATTTAACGCGTTGAGGTTCAATAAAGTTAACGTTTCATATATATACTGTATCAAACATAAAGTATATATAATAATTATATTAATAATAATGAATAGTAATAATAAATAATAAGAGACGGGGGCATAGAAATTGTTGAAACATGCTCTGCAAACAATGTCAATTATTTTTCATTTGCCGCTAAAGAGAAAATGTTTGTTAATGCGTTAAGCGTACAGTTTTTTGATATTAGCAATGCGTTTTTAGTCCTCAGCCTAAATAGTATAAACAAATGTAACTTAACTTTAACTTAATAGCCGCATAGCTTCAAATTATTATATACATATATTATTCATAGCTGCGCTCAAACAAAAACAAAACATATAACAAAAAACTGCAACGGATCAAAGACAAATCAATGGCAACATTTTTTAGATATCCATAAATCCGATCAGAAACTTTATTATTAGCACATTGTTTGTAACAAATTAGTTTTAACCATCGCTCATTTGTTTTGATTGGCCGTGAAATTGATTTGATTTGATCCGTGACGCTCTTAGCCAATCGATTTATTAATATATATACTTATTTGTTGGCCAGCTAAAGATCATTAATAATCTATATATAGTGTCGCATATTGAACCGAATCATATCAGTGGCTAAAACATAAATCTAACATTTGCAATAAAAATATATATATATATATATTTACTCGGGTAAAGACATTCGTTTATACAATATTTACTGTCTAAATATTATATAACCATTATACTTATACTAAATACTTATGCGTATACTTATCAAAGAGTCAAAATTTATTAACTGACGTCGAACCCAAAAACAAAAACCAATTTTAAGGAAAGATATATGCATACATATATATATATATGGTATATCGTATAAAGAACCAGAGAATTTGTTAAATACATAATTAATTATAAACAATAGCAAGCAGAGAGAAGAGGAGAAGAGAAGAAACATTAGAATTGTTTTCAATTGTATATATATAGAGTATATATCTATATATTGGACAGATCGCATTGTAATCGAGATTATTTGCATTCAGTTAATAGCTCTTAAGGGTTTTGTTCAATTTCATTATATTTATATATTCGTATGTTAATAAAACCATTTCTGACTACAAAGCCAGCAGGACTCGCATGTGGCTGATGATCTATATAGGATCTAGGTATCCAGCTGAGTCCGGCAGCTATTCCCTGCTCTGGAGCAGCTGCAGTATGTGCTCCAGCTTCTGTTCCATGTTGTGGAGGCGTCGCTCGTTGATTTGGTCGCGCTGACGCCTCTGCTCCACGCTGGACTTCTGATCGATGACTGCGAGCGCCAGCTTAACGGTGCGATTGTCAATCTTGGAGCAACGGCCCGTCAGCGCGGAGCAGCTGCAGGGCAGCAGCCTAAGTGGCGGATCGAGCAGCTTCTTCTGCTGCTCCGCCTGTGCCGCATTTGTGGCCAGCGGCTGGAAGCTGGCGCGGCTCTTGCCGTTGCCGCTGAGCTCCTTGAGCTCGTAGGCATCGGTGATGGGTATGAGCACCTTGTTGCCATCGTTGGGCAGCACGGAGATCTGGCGCACACACAAATAGTTCGGATAGATGTTCATCAGTCGCTGGCAAATGCTGCGCATTGGCTCCGTGTTCACAATGAAGCCGGTGCGTCCATTGCGACCCGTCAGCACCTGCTCGTACCGCATCAGCGTATTGGTGCGGCAAATGGCGCCATTCAGCTCCGCCTGAGCCTTGATCGCCTGCAGACAGTTTGGTTAGTACTTTGGATGCGGATTCGGGAGCCCGACACTTACCTGCGTGTCGGAGACGGCCAGACCGTTGAGCAGATTGAAGAGCACAATGGTCATGAAGAAGACGAACAGCAGGAAGATGAAGTACGTGTAGATGCTGTCGAACTTGATGTCGCCGGCATCGAACTCGCCCGTCAGCATGACAATGGTCTTGATCAGCGCCTCGATGGGCACCGAGAACGTATTGAAGTGCCCATCGTCCTCCTTCTCCGAGCCGGGCTGCTGCTGCTGCTCCTGCTGCTGATCTTGAGGCTTGCCGAAGAGTATGTAGAAGCACAGGCTGAAGGTCAGCACAAAGATCGAGTAGAGGGCAAAGCATTTGCTGAAGCTGCTGGAGACGGCGCGCAGCATGAGCATGTGCGTCGATATGGACAGCACGGGCAGCGAGCCGACCAGCAGGCAGAACTCCAAGGCGACCAGCAAAATGGTGAAGACGGCAAGAACGCGCTGCGTCTCCTTATCGTAGCTGGACTCAATGCACGTCAGCATGGACAAGACGATGAGCAGCAGCTCCATGAGATTGGTCAGCGACCAAAAGTACAGCAGCGGTGCCATCAGGAACTGTATAATCTCCCGTATAATCAAATAGGCAATGCCCAGCCAGGTGAACAGACCAAAGAGCGCCGTCAGAGCCGTGTGCTCGCTCTCATGGAACTTGAGCAACGTGTGGCTGATGATGGAGGCCGTGAAGAGCGTGTAGAGCAGAAAGTTAACATAGAATATGACCGAGAGGCGATGCCATTTGAGAAACAAAAAGCTCGAGATTAACGGATGCTGCAGCAAATGTCGCAGCTCCTTCGACTTGGCTATATATGCAATCGGTGTCATTTCATCCTCCAGCTGGGAGGCACGCATCTTGCCCGACTGCGCCGGTGCCGGCGTCGGCGACTGCTGTCGCTGTCGGATCAGGTTCATGTAGTTGATGACAATCTCAAAGTTTTGGTCGCCCGCCTTCTGGGCATTGGTGGTAATGCAGGAGTCAAAGTGCTGCTCGAGCAGCTCCGGCGACATCTCCTGTATGGCCAGCTCCTCGAAGGTGCTCCTGGTGCCAATGTAGGCGCCATGCTGGAGCAGCGCCCGCACCGCCCTCTCGTTGCGGTACTTGACCGCATAGTAGAGCGCCACCTGGCCGCTGTCGTCCACCTCATTGATGTCCACCCGATCGCTGGCCAGCAGCAGCTCAAAGCAGCGCTGATGATCGCAAAAGTCATCCAGCGGCTGCTCCTCCAGCCTGCTGATCACCGCATTGAACAGCTTGCTGCGCGCCGCCAGCTTCAGCTCCGGATGCTGCAGCAGCTTCTCCAATGCCCGCCAATTGCCCCAAATGATGGCCAGCTCCAGGGGCGTGGTCGCCTCACCGCGCGCCTTGCCGTTGATATTGATGCCCGTGTTGAGCAGCGCCTCGAAGGCGCGCTGCTTGCCCCGCTTGATGGACTCCAGCAGCAGCGGCAGGTACTGCTCCTGGTTGGCATTGCGCAGATTGTCCTTGTCGCTAATGTTCAGCTGGTGCTCGGCGAGCAGCTGCTCGAACTGCGACTCATCGCCATCCCGCAGCTGGCGCAGCAGCCGCTCGCCGTCGATCTCGCCGGCGGCGCCTGGCTCCCGCTGCGGCGGCAGCTGCAGCTCCGGATACTGTTGCTGCAGCAGCTGGCGCACCTGGCCATTGCGATAGCTGTCGATGTCCAGTTGGGGATGCGCCAGAAAGAGCAGCACCAGCTCCTGCTTGGCGGCCCGGATATTCCGGTTGCTCAGCACATGATGCAGCGGCGTCCGTTCGCCCTGGTCGACCACGTTCGGCGAGGCGCCGTAGTCCAGCAGCAGCTGCATGCAGGCACGCACCTGATCCGCATTGTCCGCCGTCAGATTCTTGGCCAGCGAATTGAGCGGCGTCAGCTGCGCGTATTTGCGATCCACCTGGACGCCGGGGCGACGCAGCAGCACGGCCAAATTGGCCGGATCTCTGGAGTCGGCCGCATAGCTGATCGCCGCCTTGTTGTGCTTCTGATTGATCTGCGTTTGAGTCTTGATTAGCTGCAGCTCTCTCTCTCTCTCTCACCGGGATTGGCAACTACTCACGTGATTCACATTGCATCCGTGGGTTAGACAGGCCTCCACAAACTCCGCACAGCCGGCTGTGGAGAGCGCCTTCTCGTAAATGCTCATGTTCCGCTCGTCCTGCAGATTTGGCTGGGCGCCCATCTCGAGCGCATCCTGGAACTCGCGTATGTTGCGCTTGGCCAGCGCTGCGCTCAGTTGCGCCTGCGGATCACTAAAGCCGCATCCGTTCAAGTCCATCTTCGTGCTGGGTAGGGGGATGAGTTTACTGCAAAGCAAATCAAGTCAGTGGTGAGTTAAGCTAAAGATTAAATATCCTATCAATATGAGACATAAGAAGACATATCCAACCCCGTAAAATGTGTATGCATTCCTTACTTTAAGTTATCGATAACTCTTCACATTTTCCTTATTTTAAGTTATCGATAACTCTTCCCATTTTCCTCATTTTAAGTTATTGATAACTCTTCCCATTTTCCTCATTTTAAATTATCGATAACTCTTCCCATTTTCCTTATTTTAACTTATTGATAACTCTTCCCATTTTCCTTCCTTTAAGTCATCGATAATTCTTTCCATTTTCCTTATTTTAAGTTATCGATAACTCTTCCAATTTTCCTTTTTTAAGTTATCGATAGCTCTGCCCAATTTTAAGTTATCGATAACTCTGCCCTATTTTAAGTTATCGATAACTCTGCCTTATTTAAAGTTATCGATAACTCTGCCAATTTTCCTTTTTTTAAACTATCGATAACTCTTTCCATTTTCTCAATATCAATAATTACCGATCTTCATTTTTGGTTCTGTCTGTCTGTCCGTTAATTTAATTATCGATAACTCTTCCCATTTTCTCTAAGCCGATAACTATCGATCTTCAAGCCGGGCCTATTGGGCATATCCACTTCCGCTCTTCTGTCTGTCCGTATGACTCGTATAGCACACGCAATAAAATTTATTTTAAACAATCGATAACTCCTCCCATTTTTCAAAATAAGTAATTATCGATCTTCTAGCCGGGTTTATTGATCATATCCAAGTGCGCCCTTTCCTCTGGGTAAGTTGTTCGATAACTTTTCCTATTGAGTCAAAATCAATTATCGATCTTTAATGAGGTCTTAGTGAGCAGAGATAATAAGAGATAAAAACCTATAAATATTTCACAATTGGGATACATTTCCCCCGAGGAATTTGGGTACAGGGTATTATCTTGTTTCTGCCTTTTTCTCATATTTACTTAAAATGAGAAGAAACTAAAATCTGTACAAAAACAAAAGAATTCTTCCAACTAAGAACTCAATTTGAATTTTGCGCCTGATAAGGCCTGAATATATCTTCTCATTGAAAGCTATAAATAGCTATAATAGCATATAAGTATGATAAAAATAATAATATTATTATTATTGTTAAAATGTGTTTCGCTCTCAAGTGAGCTGAGGAGCAATGTACTTATGTACAACATACATATATATATAGATGGGAAGTGCACAACAATTGTTCACGAAAGACCCTCAGAATCAAATGACAATGAAGAGGCCCGCATTCAATTTAAGACGTAATATGAGGCAAATCTTTCGAGTTGTACTAAATATTTTGCGTTCGGCTGCCAGAGATGGGGGAATGGAACCTTGAGGCAAAACAAAACAAATGTTTTGGCTAAGCACAAACTGACAAACTGACGCTTCATGGTACGTTGATTTTCACAAGGGGTTTGGGCCAAAAACTCTAGAGCCAAGTGTTGATCCGTTGACCGTTGCCCAAAAAACTGGTCTAACGCACCCCCCTCTCCCCCCCCCCCTCCAACCCCTCCCCCTCTTCCCTCGTAAATTTCAAATACAATTGGGTTTCTAATCTGCGCTGCGGTAATTAAAGAAAGCGCTTTTAAGTGCTTTCTGTGGTTCACATTTGTTATTAAATTATAACAATTGAGCCACCGACAGACACACAAAATGTGGGCTGCTTCAATGTGGTGGGCGTGGCCAGCCTTGTGATCACCTCCGTGAGCTTGGCCAGCTCAGCTTTTGGCTTTCGGCTTTCGGCTATAACCATCATAAAGAATAATCATAAAATAATCGACATATCAATATCAATTAGCAATCAATTTGTTACGCTTTACGCTTTCAATTTTTGCTGGCCCGAAGCTCAGCTCAGTTAAATATAAAATTCTAAAAAATTCATTTGGCGGCGCATTCGTAAATTTCAAGGCGGCATCTTCTGTTTTTTTTTTTTTTTTCTCTTCTCTTCTTTTAGCTGGAGCCTGTCTGCTTTGGCGCTTGATATGTGTGAGAAGTCGGCTAATCACGCCGACGACTTTTCGGCTAATTTGAATATTCCGCCAGCTGCAAATATTTATGTATTCAATATTTCGTGGGCCCAAAAAAACGTGTCCGCCAAAGCGGCTGGGAAACAAGAGGTATCTATTAGTAATCAGCGAGAACAAGTAATAAGTAGCTGCCGTCATTTGATAGCTTTTACAAATCATCTATTGTACATTCTTGACCCCTGACTGAGTAGCAGAAGCCCCCCCCTCTCCACCCCCCCTCCCATCACCCACTCCCCGCCGAGAGTTAACTGTGGGCTTAATTTGCAGCATCACCTTTGTTAATTGGCTGAAGTTAAATCGTATTTGGCTGCTTGATGCTGCCAAGCGAGGGCTTCCCGTTCACGTTTTCCACTCAGAAATTGACTAAGTAAATGTATATAAATTAAATTAAATAATTTATGGCTGAAACTAATGTAAAGTGTGCTCGCAGCACAAGAGAAGCCAAAGATTTGGATCTTCTTTTATGTTTTACTTTCTTGACATATTAAAGTAAATAATTTAATTTATATTGGTAAACAATGCGAAGGGTGCTTGAACCACAAACTTTGAATCGAAATTAAAGGCAAGAAATGTCTTTTAAAAATTGTGTCTTGACTATTTAATTATAACATATTTAATAATATTTAATGAATATTATATCTAATTAACGCAACTGTTTCCATTATAATTGCAAATAATAATAATAGGGAACTTGAAACCACAAACTTAGACAGAACAAAAAAAAGAATCTCAAGTTTCGAGTCGAATTATCAGCAATTGTTGGGGCAAACCTCGCAAGAGAAGTTGTCAACAAATAAGCATTACCAGTATTTGCTTTAGCTTGTATTTACACAACCAATTAATGCTGTCAGTTGACAAAAGAATTTATTGTTTAACAAACAAATAGGTAAACGTGCCAAAGAATGAAGTAATTGGCCAGTTTGATATTTTCTTGTCTCTAAGATCTGAAAAGTAAAAGTGCAAAGTTTTGGCATTCGAATTCACATTAAAATCTGAGCTCAGATTTAAACTGCAATATCCGCAACTTCGTATGGGAATGCATATGGAGAAGCTTGCCAAACTCGTTCATCGAGTTTTTCCTTTGCAGATCTCTTGCAACCGGAGACAGAGAAAAAAAAAAAGAAGAAAAAACAGCAGCAAAAACACGAAATAATTACTAAACTTCGAGGAAGTTTTGCGCAATTCAGTTCCATGACAAGTTTATTGCACGGATCGCATAAAAACTTAATGTTTGTCAGCATTTTTGGGCCGGGCCTGGGGTTTACTACGGAACTACGTGACGAGCTGTTCCATAGAGCGCGAGCGAGTGAGAGGCGTGACCTAAAGTTTCGGCGCATCGTGATCGCCAGTTGTGGGAGCTGGGATGGGAGTGGGACTGGGACTGGGAGCTGGAACAGGGGCAGATACATTCTGGCGATCCAGTTTGTTTGTGTTGAACGTGTTTATTGGCAACTGCGAGTTTTGTTTACCTAATTTATGGCCAGCTATTTTTCTGTTTTTTCCTATTGCACTCTTTGGCCCCAGCTGCACTTTGTTTACTTTTCATATTAAATATGTAGCACAGCAAGCGCCAGGAGTCTATAAAAGCGAACAATTCCAGTGAAACCATAAACTATTTCGTAAAGCTCTCGAAATCTGCTTTCCATTTCCAATTTGATCAGCGAGTGCTTCACTTGATACCCTGTAAAGGGCTTCTATCTCTCTCTCGCTTAGAGACACTTCCTCTCTTTCTCTCATAGCCACGCTATGAAAAATGCATCCTGAAGTAACTCTGGTCATTTTTGGCAGATCGTTTTCATATTTTCAGGCCTTACAGATGAGACTTAATTGTGCGTATATCCCAAAAATTCACACATTATTTCTTCCCAGAGCCACGATATGGAAAATGTATTCTGAGGTAACTCTGGTGCTTTTTGTGCGATCATGTTCAAATTTTCAAGTCTTAAAGATGAGACTTATATGTGCGTATATCCCAAAAATAATGGTATTATTTCTTCCCAGAGCGACAATATTGAAAATCCATTCTGAAGTAACTCTCGTGCTTTTTGTCAGATCATGATCATATTTTCAGGTCTTAATGATGAGACTTAATTGTGCATATATCCCAAAAATTCAGGCATTATTTCTTCCCAGAGCGACAATATTGAAAATCCATTCTGAAGTAACTCTGGTGCTTTTTGTGCGATCATGTTCAAATTTTCAGGTCTTAAAGATGAGACTTAATTGTGCGTATATCCCAAAAATGCTAGCTCTATCTCTCTGTAATACCTTGACTGGGATTATATATGTATGTATGTATAGACTTTATGCCAACAACATTTACTTGCAGCACTTCATTGTCATGGCTACAGGGTATAATAAACACATTGGCCAAGTAATACAGTTGTGTTTTTTTTTTTTAATCTTGTCTTGTTTTTTGAAAGCATCTCCGAAATTGTCATCATAAAAAAACGTCATAATTAAGATGGATGTGGTTGGCTCTGGGGCTGAGCCGGCTGAGCATGACTTCATGCCGAACTGACTCTCGTTGGCATCCGCCAAATTTCATTTGAACACAAGAAAAAAGCACAAATGTTTACATGTGGAAACACAATACACACACACACACCAGCGCACACACACACCAGCACACACACATGTCTGACTAAAGTGGATATATATACAGTGCTTATATACCCGATGTGCACTCCATAAACAATTGGCTGGCCTACATGAAGAGCAATAACAAAAAAAAGCCATGTCCGATTACAATAACAAAAGAGAATGCGCTGGCTGATGGCAAGGGGTGAGTGGCAGGGTGGGGGTTGGGGGTTGGGGGGGGGGGGTAGCTACATATACATATGTGGGCTGGTTAAAGTATCAGCGAGTCAGTGCCCCATTTCAATAATTTAGAACTTAATTAAATTAAGCACACGCCCGCTGGAAAATCCAGCGAGAATCTCAATGTGTTAGGCAAATTTCCACTTAATTAAACGAAGTGTTGGAATATATACATATATATATGTACATACGAATAGCTGGCAATTGGTGATCCACGCCAATTGCCCCCCCTAAAAACTACGCCTTTGTGTGCTTGAAAAAAAAAAACAAATGATAAAAACAAAACTAATCGGGGCGGAGCCAATGCGAAAGACAAATGCAAATAAACAGGCGGCTGGCAGAGCGCCAAGCAAAGGTATTTAAAGGGGGAAGGGGGGGGGGGAGGGACAAGTAATGCCTAAAGCACCTATTATTTAATTGTAATGTCCGAAAGCTAATAGAGCAATAAACATATGCAAATAGGGTCTCAAATTTATGCACTCATAATTGAGCCCAATAGGAAATGCGATGTGCGCGCCATAAGAGCACGCAAATCGTAGGAACACAGTTCAAACCCATATATGGAAAAACTAATATACCATGTGTATATATATACAATATATTTAGCTGCAGGTGGTGCATAGATATTGTGGAACTCTTTGTTGATTTGAGGCCCGGCCTTAAAAGGCAGCAACAAGTGTTTCTTTTTGCTGCCCACAAGCCAAGCCAAATTTAAGTGGATTTTTTGAGAAAAACTCTTGATGAGGTCACAGTTTTTATATAAAATTCCAAAAAAAAAAAAATAAAATTAAATAGTATTTAAATCATTTGTCATTAAATTGTTGTTAATTATTTGCAAACGTCAGTTGAAACAAAGCAGGAGTTTTTTGTGGGCGCCCATTTCTGCAGTTTTTTAACCTTGAGGCTTGAGATGTGTGTTTGAAAACGTGTTTCTGGACTTTTTTCATTTTTTAACCCGCCTCCATATGTTTGTTGTAGTTGTTGTTGTTGTGTGGGTCGTAAGTGCTAACTGTGCACACTGCGGTTTGCTCATTTTTTATTATTATTATATATCTGCATTACAGATTCTGCATGATTCACTTTAAGTTAACTGTCATTTTATTGAAATCTCTCCGAGCCAAGACTCATCGATATTGTTGCTAAGATAAATCATTCGATTTGCATATTGTGATTCATGTGTTGCGATTACACGCGAAAGATTTTCGAATATTTTTTAATTAGTCAGTTTTTGAAATCCACTTAAGGCGCAAACGCACAACAAAATGGCGAGCAACATTTTTCGCCTTAACACACTCACTAAATGCTTCCGCGCCAGACAACTGCAGTCCGAAGTATCCAAAGACCAACTGATCAGCCAGTGGCAAGTCGCGTATCGCGATCCCCAACAGCCCCAGTTGGGCCCCAAAATCAAGCTCTGACTTTCATTCAAATAACCTAACGACAGGCGAAAGTATGCTTTGGGAGACTTTATTTAATGCCAGCTCCTAAGACTCGGCAGTGAAATGCTCAAAACTGGACTATAAATTTCCATTAAATGAACACATTCTACATTTTCACAGAAGTGACAAGTAACATCAAAAAACATCATATCCTTGAAGAATCGGAATCTCGTCTCGTTGGTGAATTTGCAAGAATTATGAGTGAGAACGATTTTCTGCCTACATTTGAATCCTAAAAGCTCGCAGCTCAAAACTATGCTGTAGAAATATTAATTTTGAATATTAATCTGCGCAACTGTTTTGGCTTGCAGTAGGAAAGTATGCATTATTATTTGTAATTAATATATTTGGAAGCAGCACAGAAGTATGCAATAATTTTCTAACATTAATGTATATGAGACGAGTTTGCGTTGGCTGACGTCACAATGGCACGATATGGCTCTCGCAACCTTTCACTAGGCTTTTGGCCATTGTTAAAAGTTAAATAGAACCGACGACTCTCTCTTTCTCCAAATATTTTATCATCGCTCATCGGCTAATGAAAACATAAGTATCTGCTTCTGCTGTTGCTCAAGTAAATAATCATTAGAGTTCATAAGTTCAGCCCAGCAGCATCAGAACATTTTAACAGCATCAGCAACATGTATTTGCAATAAAACCTTATAGCTTAAAAAAGATCATAATCATTATCAGCATCAGCATCAGTATCAGTATCAGTATCAATCAGCATCAGTATCAGTATCAGTATCAGTATCATTATCAGTATCATTATCAGTATCATTATCAGTATCATTATCAGTATCATTATCAGTATCATTATCAGTATCATTATCAGTATCATTATCAGCATCAGCATCAGCATCAGTATCAGTATCAGTTTCAGTATCAGTATTAGCATCAGCATCAGCATCAGCATCAGCATCAGCATCAGCATCAGCATCAGCATCAGCATCAGCATCAGCATCAGCATCAGCATCAGCATCAGCATCAGTATCAGTATCAGTATCAGAATCAGTATCAGTGTCAGTATCAGGATCATCATAATCAAAATCAGACATTTTCAAATATACTTCATCAGCCTGAAAGAAATATTATAGATTAACTAATGTACGATTCATATTTATTTATACTCACAAGCTCAGGCCAGAAACCTCGAAATGAGTTAAGACGCAACTCTAATGGACCTTGTTCCTCGGGATTTCTTACTGCTTTTAGGATCTTTAAAGCTTCATTAACAAATTCCAGACTAACGCGTGAATAAACATTGCGCCTATAAATATCTATAGCTTTTAGATTGCGACACTCTTGAAAAATCGCTAAAAGGCTTTGCGATATATCATCAAATCTATACCTCGAAAGTATTTCAAGCACTTCTAGATTTTTTAAATATGTTAATATATTGGTAGCTTTCGATTTGGCTGAATCCACATTTAAGTCTTCGAAGTGAAGTAATTTTTATAATTTCTTGAATATCGTCTTCATCAACATCAAATCCATTAATGACCAAGTTTTGTAGGATCGGCGATGACCTTGACGATATTTCTGCAAAAAGCTTCGTAAGATTGCAGTAATAGAATGATGTAATTTCAAGATGAGTTAACTTATTTAACTTTGCCAGGCTTTTAATGCTTTCGTTATTACTATGAAATGACCAAATAAATCTAATAGAGAGTTTTTCAAGCTCTGGTAGTTCAACTAATAGTTCTATGCTATTAATATCAGCGAATTTACAATGCAAACTTCGTAGGGATTTAATTCCTACAACAGCCAAAGTTTTGTTATATGATAATGATGTGAATTGTATACTCAAATGATGAAGAGTTTGTGGTACGCTAGAAGTCAATATCTGAAAAAGCTGCTTTGATTTCTTTTCAATACGATTTATAACTAGTTCTTCGAGTTGATTCAATTGAGCCAGTTTTTCAATAGCTTCTTCATAATCGAATCCACATTCTAATTTCTTTAATGATTTAACTTTTGCAACTAGAGCTGTTTCTTCAGAAGAAAGTGCCTTTCTTTTATGGTCAAACATTGAAGACACGACGATTCTCGCGAGACTAGAGTCTGGAGGAACTGATTTAGGGAACGTTCTTTATGATTTAATATCACGAGTTCTTTAAGGTTTGTTAGCTGCGCCAAGAGCTCAACGCTATTCTCATCTGAAAAGCCGCATTTTAGTTTTTTTAGAGATAATATTTTGGTTAATTCTTTCGTTTGCTCAAGGTTAATGTCAATTTTACCATCCACGATTATTTCCTGAAGATCTGAACACTTTTTTGCGGCAAATGCTTGAAATAAATATTTAAATGATCTTTCATCGAAGCTTAAATAGTTAAAAGGGTCGTACAAAATTGTCAGTTTACCCAGACTTTTATTAAACTTGATATGTTGGTCATTTTGAATAACACATATTTCATTTGCACCTCCCATAAGAACATTTATAACATATTTCGATGTATCACGAAACTCGTGTTGTGAATTAATTTCCAATATTTCAAGATTAGGCAAATTTGCTAAAATATTAATGCTTTGAGGATCGGAGAACGCAGTTTTTATATATCTTAATGTTTTAATTTGAGAAATTTGTTCAATCTCGTTATAAGATGCATTACATATGATCAATTTTTGAAGAATCGTAGATTGTTTGGAGGAAAATGCTTTCATCAGGTTTAAGGAGTTTTCATCATTTCCATATAAATGCAGACAAAGCAATATTGGGCAAATTTGCTAAAGGTGTTAAATCTGCAGGACATTTTTTATTCTCCATATCAATTTTTAGTTCTCCCAAACCGCATTCAATGCTTATGCCATCATTTAAAAAATTTATACTGCATTTTATATTACGTGCTATGAAAAGATTAAAAATTTCCATAAAACTATCGCCCCTAAGCCATGTGAGGTGATCAAATTCACAAGAAAAATCGGTTAAAGATTTTATTTTGGCAATTTCCGAAATCTCTTCGAAGTAGAGATGGAAACTCGTTATTTTTAAGTGACTAAGTTGTGTGTCTTCTTGCAATGCAAATGCACGGAACAAATTTGTCAGAGATCCGTCTTCGCGCTTTCTTGTGGTTAATTCATTGATTTGAGGCAATTGATAATCCAATGGAAAATCAAAAGGTGGCGGATCATCGATTAGCTCAGTTTCCGTGGAATCATTTTCATGTTCTCCTTTTATTCGTAAATACATAAATTTGGCAATTTGGCAAACTCAGTATATTCAGAGTCATTAAAGTAACTTTTTGCCTTAAATGAAAGTATCTTCAATTTGTTGCAATATGGTACAATGTCAGTTAACTTTCCGTAAATTTCATTACTTATAATCGCTAAGTATGTCAGGTTTGGATTTGACTTGCAATACTCGACCAACTCATCAGCATTAATTTGTACATTGTACAAACAGAGATGCACAACTTTAGGGAATTCTTCCAAGTATCTAACAGAATAGCCTGGAAATGCGATTAAAAATACATTTAAAATCATTTTTTTAAGACATCAAAAGAAAACTCACCTTTCATATCAATAATTAAACTCTCCATAGATCTGTTCTTAAGTGCACCTATGAGTTGCTCAAATCTTTCCATATGTTCACTGCAATATGTATCATTATCCCTGTATATAAATTCGACTCTTTGTAACTTTCTATTCGATTTAAATGCATACGTATACATTTTCCAAAATGCTTCTTTGTCCTTTTCCGTTGATTCGCGAAGACGTTCATGAAGCTTTACAAAATTAACGATGACTTCCTTAGATTCACTTAAATAATTGTTTCAATTTCAAGGCTTTCGTAAAGTTTGGGGTTCCATTCCGAAAACGAATCGCGAATACATTCAAAAGCAATCGCAAAATTAATGAGATCTTTGTATTTCACTTCATCCGATCTAATCGGTATTTTTGATGATTCACATTCGATTTTAATCTGTTTGAGTATTTCATAAATACAATAAACGTTCAGTCTGTCGAAAAAGTTATTAGGCTCATTTTGGTTGCTATTAGCCGTAATGTGTTTAAATGAAGTATACCCGCCACTACTCGTAATGTTAGGTTCAAGATAGTGATTCAGTTTTTGTTTTTTAGGTTTCTGTTCGTAATAAGCCATATTATTATATTAATTAATTTTTAATTTATCTTCGATTTGAGAAAATTAACTGAATAACAAAGAAAATTGTACAATATGTATATTTTTTTTTCAATATGAGTACCACACATGTATGTATGATCACAAAGTTATTGCGGATTTTTTATTAGTTGCGTATTTTGCGCGTTGCGTGTTCACTTGCTGACGGTCTCTGACTTAGTGCTAAGTATACAATATATAGAAAGTTCAAGTTGAGCACTCATCGAATCAAGAATTCTGAATGATATGCCCAGAGAGAGTAAGACCGCTGAGAGCCTCGAGAGGCGAACAATCAGTACCAAGCCTAATCTCGCTCAGTTGGTTATTATACCCTTGCAGAGGGTATAAGAAATCGTAGATATATGTCTTATAGATGGCATAGGAACGATCGGTCGAAAAGTTGGCTCTCATATGGAAACCTTTCTATACCCTAGCAGAGGTTCTTATAATTTTGCCTCGAAATGTGTTACACAAATAAGGAGACATCTCCGACCCCAAAAAGTATACATATATATTCTTGAACAGCCTAGTCGATAAAGTATTGTCCGTCTGTCTGCTTCTATGCCAACTCGTCTCTCAGTTTCAAAGCTATCGTCATGAAACTTTGCATACCTCCCTCTTCCTTCGTGCCACTATATCATTTAGCTGCCATAGGAACGATTGGTCGAACATTAAGTTCTTGTATGGCAACTTATTCTGTTTTCCATGATTTATTTTTAATCAAACTGAGCATTTACGAGCTTTACTTTTCACACATATCTGCAAAGCCGCAAGCAAATGATTGCAAGGGTATTAACCTTACTTTCTCGCTTTCCTTTTGCTCACGAGTATTGTTTTTATTTTATATATAAAAAGCCGACGCGGAATTAAGAGGGAGTAAAAAATGACGTGGCATGCGGATGCTGTGTTGTTTTTGTTTCGTATTGAGTTCGATAACAATATTTTTAAAAACAGAATATGCTGCCATATAAGAACTTAATTTTCGACCGATCGTTCCTATGGCAGCTAAGTATTTTCGAGAGAGTTCTCAGCTCAGAGGGATTGCCGTGTTTTACTTGTGCTCCAAGATTTATTTAAAAAGCTTTTGTTACTGGTGCAAAGTGCTATTTTTTGTGCAGCGAAGGCTATCAACTGTTGTTGTTAGTGTTTGTTTAGATAATCGTTTGTCTTGGGCTGTAAAAAACCTGGCACGTTCAAGCAGGCTGAAAAGTCCGCATAATTGCTGGCAATGCGAGAATATAATGCAAGATAAATGTGAAGGTCTCACTGGGCGGGACTGCCACAAGATCGCTGCCATTGCCAAGAATGTATATGTAATTCTGTAATTCTGAGAAATCAATTTTTAAAACTTTGACTTGAGTTTCGAGTTGCTTAGCAAATATAAATTCGAGGCTCCACCCAATCGCCGGTTAGAGGCATAGTTTTTGCATTTGCCCCCCTCGTCTGTCCAAACATCTACGCCTCTGTCTTGTCCGTGGCTAGCAACTTGGATTTGTCGCCAATGCTGTCATTATCGCCTCCTCCAAGCGATTGTCCGAGTATTAACGCTGTGCTATCCCGTGGAGTAGTCCCAGTAGAATCTAGCCCAGATTGGCCCCACCAACTCCTGTTTTATCTTCAGCCCCATCAGCTCCCATTTTGACTGTTGTTGCCCCTCGTAGGCAAGTTTTTGTGTTCCGGCTTTCGTCTGACTCCACTCGTGAATTAGCATCATTCAAAGTAAATGTTTCACATGATTCGTTCGTTCATTTGTGATCATACATTTTTTCCTCCTCACATGTTCGTTCTCGAGCTTAAGCAAAACAAGTAAGAGGTTCTAGTCGGGAGCTCCCGACTAGGGGATACCCTGAACCCTCTTCTTCCGACAGGCGATAGGTATAAAATGAAAGATACTTGATATGTATATACTCTTCTAGAAGCTACATGTCAAGTTTGGTGATTTTAGCTCTTATTAATTACCAAAATTGCGCAAAAAACAAGATTTCGATATTTCGATTTTTATCGATTACTTGGAAACGGGGCAAGTTATCGAATATCGGAAACAAACTCGATCTGCGCGGGCACTAGGAGGACCTTCAGCTAAAATTTCAAGTCTCTAGCTCTTATAGGTTCTGAGATCCTTGCGTTCATACATACAGACAGACGGACAGACATGGCTAGATCGACTCGGCTATTGATGCTGATCAAGAATATATATACTTTATGTGGTCGGAGATGCTTCCTTCTGCCTGTTACATACATTTGCACAAATATATTATACCCTCTTTACCCATTTTCAATGGGTTCAGGGTATAAAAAGCGAAACCAACCTTGCCCTGTCACCCTTCCGGTCCCTCCGATATCGGAGGGATATACCTCTTTCGACTCGAAATGACCAAAAAATCTTATTGCATATTTTCAAATGGAAACTAAAAGCGATTGCAATACTACTGCTGAGGTGGGGCAACAAATGTCCCCCACCGGGTCGGTGAATTCCCATCACAATCTATTTATCCTATACTTAACACTCGATATATCTAGTATAAATATTTTCACTTTATCAATAACTTCATTTTCATTTATTTTATTTCATTGTATTGTATTTAGCTGGCCGGACGGGCAAATCAAACACCTTCATCATGTCGGGGATGCTTTTAGAGAGAGAACGCCGGCGAGACGCCGCTTTGTGTACACAGGGTCACGATTGAGAGATCAGATTTATGAATATGCGCAATGCGTTCAATTTCCGTAATTGTGACGTCACAATGGCTATGATATGAGGGTATTATAATTTGGTCGTGAAATGGGGAAGGCATAGAAGGAGACATCTCCGACCCCATAAAGTATATATATATCCCCCATATATCTTCATGAGCAGTATCAACAGCCGAGTCGATATAGCCATGCCTGTCTGTCCGTCTGTCCGTCTGTCTGTTTCTATGCGAACTAGTCTCTCAGTTTTAAAGCTATCTTTATGAAACTTTGCAGAAGTCCCTCTTTCTGCTGCACGCAGCTCATATGTCAAAACCAGCTGGATCGGACCACTATATCATATAGCTGTCATAGGAACAATCTGTCGAAAAGAAGGTTCTTGTATGAAAAACATTTTTGTTTATCAAGATATCGTGACCAAACTCGGCATTTATAAGTTTTACTAAACTCCTCATATATATGCAGAATCCTATTAAAATCGGACCACTATATCATATAGCTGCCATAGAAACGATCGGTCGAAATTAAGTTGTTGTACGGAAAACTTTTTTGTTTTTCAAGATATTTTAACCATACCCGGCATTAACTATTTTCCCGGTGATTCTTAGATACAGGCAAAGCACTGTGAGCATTATGAAAAGGTTGGGTCTCAAGAGTATTAAATCTTCGGCGTGCCGAGGATAGCCCTTCTTTCTCGTGATTTATTCATTTAACTTTTTTTCGCGTGAATCCCTATGCAATGTACTGCAGCCCAGGCAAAGTATTGCATCGGATCATTATATCATATAGCTGCAGCTGTAGGAACGATCTGTCGAAAAGTTGGTTCTAATATGGAAACTTTTGTATTCCCTTACAGAGGATATTATAAGAAGAGGGTTCAGGGATCCTGACCCTGAACTTTTACTTGTTATCTACAATATGTACACTCGCCCACAAGAGATGCAGTGAGTACAACAGAGAGAATTGTGCATTGTTTTTGTTTCATATGGAAATAGCCGGCGCGAAACTTAGAGAGAGAGAGTAAAAAAATGACGTGGCATTCGGATGCTGTGTTGTTTTTGTTTCGTACTACATATGTATATTCGAGAGAGCTCTCAGTTGAGCGCGATTTACGTGTTTTCCTGGTGCTCCAAGATTTGTATATATTTCCAGCCTAGCTTCTAATCTTTATCAGAATATCAGAGGTCTCATTTCTAAGCTTAAATATCTTTTTACGGCCAGAACTTGCTTCGATGCGGATTTAATCGCATGTTCAGAAATATAGTTAAACTCGACCATATTTGATTTTGAAGCTTTTTCGAACATTTTCATTGGGCATAGAAATGATTGGCCGACTCGAGGTGGTGGGGTATTACTCGCCGTTAAAGCCACTGAAAGTCACTGACGCTGAGATTGTCTCAGTTAAGGTGACTTTTTACTTTACTCGATATTTATATCACGTGCTCCTAAGTTCCTCCCTCTTCTGATATTCCAGTTTCTATGAAACATATTTCTTGTATTTAAGAAGTTTCTACACATGTGCGTGATGATGACCTATTCATTATTCATCTCTTGGTCAAAAATGCAGTTACATTACGAATTGGAAGTGAAATACGTTTGGAAATGCAAATCGATTCGAAGGACATTCATGATTACATAACGCTCAATCTTCTCGCGATCGGACTTTGTTTACTCGAGTTGTGGGCCATTTGAAGTTTTCGAAAGTATCTTCAAATGTAAATAAAACTAGAAGCGAATAAATGAAAAAATCATTGCATACTTTTATTTGCAAAACTAAAAGCGATTGCAATACTACTGCTGAGGCATACATACATACATATATATATATAGATTGCCGGACAGGCTATAAATTTCTCCCATTTCCCATCACCATCTCTTTATCCTATACTTAACATTCTGTATATTTTATAATATTATAAATTTCTTTAAACTATTAATAACTTCTTTTATTTCATTTTTTCCTATTTATTGTATTTTCTTAAATGATATAATTAAGAACACTATTTTCTCGACTAACACCTGCCTTCCTAGCTGTAGGCTCTAATAAGCTCCCTGACAAAATTATCTATGTAACGGGGCATAGCTGGCCGGACGTGAAAATGAAACACCTTCATTCTGTCGGGGATGCTATTAGGGCAGCAATCTCCCTTGGTCGCATAATGAAGGCGGGTGTCCCCAAAGGCGGAGCGTACTCGGGCCCTTTCTCTACAATCTCTACGAGGCAGACATCCCCGCTCCGGACGACCTAAATGAGTTTGCCACCCCTGGCAAACACCTGATAGCCAACATTTGCCGATGACGGTGCCCAGGAATA